GGGACTTGTTAAAATAAGCTCGTAGGACCGAGTTTCAGAGCTAAGTCAGCCACACAGGGCCTACCCTTGTTTTGCTCCTTCAAAGGCAGAAAGCAAAAATTTAACAAAACAATTCAAAAGCCTTCCCTAATGAGAGCAATTGGCTGGATTTTGCCGCTCCCTGAAGCAAGCAAACTGGGTGGCAAAACTGGAGCTGATTTCCTTTGATGGATCAGGGAACAAGCAGAAGCAAGAGTTTCCGGGCACTTCTTCACTGGCTAGCAGGCTGATCCAGTTCACCAAGAGCACTTCTGCCTTGCCTGGATCAAGTTTCCATTTGTTTGCATTCTTGTAGTCCATTACCAACAATGAGCACTGATTTGGAACTGGAACAATTTTGTCAGATTTAGAAGGGCAGGTAAGATGCTGGAGAGGGACCAAACCCCAAAACTCTGGTCAGTCTCTCCCAGTGGTTTCTTGTACATGTTAAACAGCATGGAATCCAGTGGCCCCGGTATTGGACAGGAATCTCCCAGCACCACCCTTGCAGATTGTCCCTCCCAGCAGGAGGGACAATTTTACTTAATATTTTAAATATTTGTAACATTTAATATTATATTAATCACATCACTGTTGACACCCTTGCAAGCTCTGCCAAGTTCCTGCATTGCTGCGATTTTTCTCTTCTCCCAAGCAAGAGTTTGAAGCCTGCAAGCATAAGTGAAAAGGAAACCCTTCATTACGTAATTTGTATTTAGCCTGTGGTGCTCTCTATCACAAGACACTGGGACAGCCACCAACCTGGGTCGATTTAAAAGGGGATTCCCCTCCCTGGATCATTGCCTTGCTGTGGCGAAGGGGCTTGTGTAGCTCAATGAAGCTGTGAGCTCTGCCGTGCAGGGCCACCCAAGACGGACAGGTCATAGCAGAGAGCGCTGACAAAACGTGATCCACTGGAGAAGGAAATGGCAACCCACTCCAGTATCCTTGCCATGAAAACCCCATGGACAGTACCAAAGGGCAAAACGATACGACGCTGGAAGATGAGCCCCTCAGGTCAGAAGGTGTCCAATATGCTTCTGGGGAAGAGCAGAGGGCTAGTACTAGTAGCGCCAGAAAGAGTGAAGCGACTGGGTCAAAGCCGAAAGGACACGCAGTTGCGGATGCATCTGGTGGTGAAAGGAGAGTCCGATGCTGCAAAGATCTATACTCCATAGGAACCTGGAATGTAAGATCCATCAATCAAGGCAAGCTGAACATCGACATCTTAGGAATCAGTGAACTAAAATGGACAGGAATGGGAGAATTTAATTCAGAGGACCATCAGGTATACTACTGTGGGCAAGAATCCCTCAGAAGAAATGGAGTAGCCTTCATAGTCAATGAAAGAGTAGGAAAAGCAGTACTGGGATACATTCTCCAAAATGACAGAATGATTTCAGTTCGAATCCAAGGCAAACCATTCAGCATCACAGGAGTCCAAGTCTGTGCCCCAACCACTGGTGCTGAAGAGGCTGAAGCCAACCAGTTCTATGAAGGCCTACAACACCTTCCAGAATTAAAACTAAAAAATGATCTCCTTATCATCATGGGGGATTGGAATGCTAAATCAGGAAGCCAAAAGATAACCGGAATAACAGGCAAGTTTGGCCTTGTAGTACAAAATGAATCAGGGCACAGGCTGGAAGAATTTTATCAAGAGAATACGATGGTCATAGCAAACACTCTCTTCCAACAACCCAAGAGACGACTCTGCACATGGACATCACCAGACGGTCAGCACAGAAATCAGACTGACTATGTGCTCTGCAGCCACAGATGGAGCAGCTCTATACCAGGGGTCCTCAAACTACAGCCCGTGGGACAGATCCAGCCCGCCATGGCCATCCATCTGACCTGTGCCGCTGTTTGCTGCCCACGCGAGCGCACGCTGCATGGACGGGGAGGTGGTGGCTCGCTCACTCAGAGATGGTCTTGGACTCGCTGGGAGATCTCCGAGCATGCAAGCCACCGCGCGCAAGCCCGATGCTGAACTGACTCTATAGGGAAACCCTAGTTTAAAAATTAGTAAGAAATAATCCATGTGATAAGACTTGGATGGAGAAACTGATTTTTACCATAGATCAATCAGTGGATGCTAAGGATGAGTTGGTGTCATTTTCTGCTTTGCATGCCAGGTATGAACTGCCTGGCACAGAGGAACAGCTATACTTGACAGTGCAGCAATATTGGTTAGCCAGGCTGTTTGGACACCTTCAGCGTCTGCTTCAATTTGGAAGAACTATTACAGCTGATAAGGCACAACAACCCAAGCTCTGATTTTATAAATTCTTAGCAACAATGAATAACCGTGATTTATAGAGATACGAGCAGGGATGGAATAGAAAACTGGGGTGTGGGGGGGGGTCTGTTTTTTCCAATCCATGGATAGCCATGTTCCCATCTGTAAACTTTCAGTTTACATCTAGTCAAGAAAATCTTCCATGTTCACTGGGCACCACAATGTTACTTTAATAGCTTGTCTGCATCAGCTAAGTCATACTTCCTTTACCAGATGTTTAGGCAAATGTGTCCCATTGCGTCCTCTTTTTGAGAGGAGGTCAGAATATTGATCTATTTGGGGTGCAGTCGTGTCATCCCCAGCTCTGAACTGAGTGGCATACTAGAGTATGAGGCAAACCATTAAGCACAGCAGTAATTTCCACCACCACATCCCACACCCGGCATTTTCTCTAGATGACCAGTTTTACCCATCTAGATTTAGCACCAGGGAGGGGAAGGGAAGGAAGCTGAGGCACAATCGAAATTGGCATAACTCTGCAGCTTCCTCGGCTTGTGCTGCATGCACCATTTCCCCCCTCCAACGCCCAGGTGTGACCTCAGTAAGGGAGCAGCTGCTGTGGTCCTTTCAGTGCTAGTTGTTGTTGTTATTATTATTATTATTATAAAATTTCTATGCCGCCCCTTGCCAAAGCCTCGGGGCGGCTTACAACACAATAAAATACATTGAAATACAATAAAACATAATGAATTACCATTAAATACAAAAATACAAAAAATACCCTGAGATACAAACATAATAATATAAAATTAAAATTATCAGTCTAAAGTAAGTAAATAAATAATATAGGAGGAGAAAAGAGAAGGAAGAAGAAGTTGCCCTGGCCAGATCATATATTTTAACAATTAAAATGATGTTTAAATAAAAAGGTCTTTACCTGGCGCTGAAAAACCAGTAATGACGGTGCCAGGCGGACCTCTTTGGGGAGTGAATTCCATAGGTTGGGCGCCACCGCAGAGAAAGCCCTCCTCCGAGTACTTACTCTCCTAATTTCTTTCATGGAGGGTTCCCGGAGAAGGGACTCTCCCGCAGATCTCAAGGGGCGGTCGGGCATATACGGACGTAAGCGCTCGTTCAGGTAGCCAGGACCCAAGCCGTTTAGGGCTTTATAGGTCATAATCAACACCTTGAATTGGGCCTGGACTTCAATGGGAAGCCAGTGAAGCTGACGGAGGACTGGAGTCATGTGAGCATAACGCCCAGTCCCCGTCAGCAGCCTGGCAGCTCTATTTTGCATCAATTGAAGTGTTCGGACCGTCTTCAGGGGAAGCCCCACGAGGCACTGGAATTATCTTAATATTGAGTGATGCCTGTGTTCTCTTAAACTAATACCTGCTGCTGGAAATTAATGGAAGGTCAACACAAATTAATTTTCCATGCCATTTCAACAACTAAAAGACTGAAATTACAATGGAAGTATAACATTACTGTGAACACACAGCATTTAGATGCCACCTATGAATTGATAAATATATGGATAAATATCTTGAAAGTTGGGCATATTATATTGACAACTGTATTTTCACATAGATATACATACACATAGGTACGCATTACTACACATCTATTATAAGTAGATTATTCAAGTTTATGTAAACACACACACACAATCTTTTTTAATGGATTGCTTTTGTTGAAATGTGCAGTAAAAATATTTTTTTTACAGTAATGTAAACCCATGGCAACTAGTCAAAGGCAGTGTGCCTGGGTGCATCCATTGCTGGGGAAGAGGAGCAGAGGATGGTCTCCCGCTTGTCCCTTTCCCCTGGATAGCTGATGGGCACGGTAGGAATGAATGTCGGACTGGGTTCTTCTGACGCTCCTAAAATCCTCTTCCGCCCTCTTCAGCTCAGTACGGGAAAGGAATCTTCAGCACTGCACCTTAAGTGCAAGCTTTTATGCCGACTGCAGTTTGGGCTGCTGTGTCAGGTGCTACTTTGCCCCCACCTCCACGATGTCAGTGTAGAACTGGGAAGCAGCACCCAAAAGAGCAATCAAAATGATCAGGAGACCGGCTTCAAATTTTATCAGCTCCACTGTTTTACATCAATTCTGCAGTTACAGCCAGCCTTAAGGATCGACCTTATGCAAGTTTACGGGGGAAGGCTCTCTAACTCCCAGCAGGCCCCAGCCTGGCATGACTGCAGGGGATTGTGGGGCTTGTTTCTCATCCTGAGGAATGCTGGGACTTTTGCTGTCCAAACTGGCTTTGGGCGAGCCTTTAGCTATGCTTTAGGTCATGCTGGGAAGGGTGGCCCCTCTTTGGGAAGGGTCAGGGGGTCCCCGAGGGCCTGGAGGGGGCCGGGGCGCTCCGCATCTGTGCGAGGCCCCCACTGCCGAGCGGGCAGGTGGGCGCCCTCAGTACGATCAACCACGGACGCTGCCGGCTAGAGCGCTGCGACACAAGGCTCACCCAGCCTCCCAGCACTCGCTTGTGGTACAACACGGAGGCGGTGTAACTTCGGAGGCTTGGGAAGCGCTCAGAGCGGCGCAGCAAGACTCCGAAGTTTCCGCCCATGCATTACTCTCCATTCTTTCGTCTCTATGAGCTCTGGGTGGGTGGAACTTGGTAACTTGCCATGCAAAAAAAAAAGGCGGGAAAGCGCCTTTCAGGGCGGAAGCTCTCCGAAGCCACGCCATTGCCTTCCCTCCCGTGACGTCAACGAGGAAGACTGGGACTTCCGCACTCTCGCTCCCACGCGAGCCAGAACTTCCGCTAACCAAGTCGCCTCCATTTCCTACTTCCAGTTCCGTTCTAGGCCCGGAAACTTCTATGCCCGGCGGGAAAGGAAGAGGTGCGAAGGACACGTGAAGAGCTACTCCGGTGGAGAGCGGAAGTGTTCCTGCTGGGAACTTCCTCCTGTGGCGAGCCGCTCTTGCCTTTTCGGCCGTCTTCCGTCCTGGTCTTCCAGCCCCCCGGCGCCGCCATGGAGGCAGCTGGGGTGGCCCCCATCAAAACTCAGTGAGTATTGGGGCGGGGGGCTGCGTCCCCTGCAGGCTCCTCCCAGGTCCCTTTCCCGGAATCTTGCCAACCCCCCCTCCAGTTTTAAATCTCCCCCATTTCAAGCAGCTCCTCATAAATGTCAGCGACCGCTCCCATTTCGCGGGGAACCGAGTTCCCCACATATCGACTCTCGCCATTTCTCCATTTTTTGCGGGCTCCCCTCCTGAGCAGTTTTGGTAAGCATGTGCAGAATCGGGAGCCACTAACTGGGTTTGTGTTGCCCGAACCCTGCTGTGCCAACAAGTCAGCATTTCTTAACCATGAGCAGCCCATGGAGAGGAAGTGTGGGTTGTTCATGGTCAAAAACCCATGATTTGTTAGCACAGCAGGGTTCAGCCCACAGGATAAAGGTTGGGCATGGGTGGTCACTGAACCATGGGTTATTGTGGAAATGCGGTGATCATATGGGCTGATCCCAGCTATGCTAAGAAATGTGGCTTTTTAACTCTGAGTCACCCATGAAGATCATTCATGGTTTGTGGTTGAGTTATCTTCATGGGTGACTCAGAGTTAAAAGTGATAAGCCCAGAAATATCTGGAAGGCAATAGGTGTAGAAAAGCTGTTTTTAACTGCCCTCACACAGCTCGATAATGAATCCCTTGATTATTTTGTATCCTTAACCCATAACAACCAATCCCGCTCCCCTTGAGGTACCTCTCCACGAAAGACGAGTTTCACACCTACCTTGACCAGGAAGGAGATTTGAAGAATAATAAAGACAGCAGCAAGGATGATACAAAGGAAAACATCAGCCAAGACCTAGGTGAGCCTCCAGCCAAGCTACAGAAGCTGGAGGAAGATGGAAGTGAAGAAGAAAGCTTGCCAAAAGGGGCAAGTGAAAACACCAAGGAACCTCAGGGAAAGAAGAGGGCCCGGGGGCAGAATAAGAGCCGCCCATGCATGAAACCAGCTCACTATGAGAAGGACCGCCTGTGTCCCTCAGTAGTCCAGGTAAAGCATTCTTGGGTGAGGCCAGGTTAGGATCTTTTGAATTCTCCTTGGGTTTTAGTCACTGTGGGTAAATTGTTTTCATACTTTGACTGGCCTGGAATCTCTCAAAATGCTCTCAGTATCACACTGCTCAGCAGAAGCAATGGAGTCATAGCTCTGACGTTCTCCCAACCTCACTGTTCTTGCTCCTCTGTAGAGGCATGTCAGAATGGGCCTGGCCAGCTGCAGTCCATGGGGGAGGATAGTTACACCTACTCAGGTTTAACTATAGGACATTGTGGGGCTAAGAGGTTGTACCAAAGACCTCATGGAAAAGGTCACTTTTGAAGGGGAGTTTGAGAGAGACAAAGAGGTGCCATCATGCAGGTGACCTTGGAGGCAGTTCCAGATATAAAGCACAACAAGGAAGAAAGGCAAGTGTGTTTTGAGGAAGCCAAACATTTTTTTGGACAGTGGAGGGCCACCGTTGCTCCAGAGGAGCAAAGGTCACAAGCAGAATACATCCCTCTGAGCCACTTTGAACATACTTTGCCACAGAGAAATAGTTCAGAAGTTAATTTATATTATTCTTTATAATACCACTTAATATATTAAAATGTATGTTAAAGTATAACATAACAATATAAAAACCAGATAAATACAACTGATCATGCTTTAGCAATAGAACACCCAGGGTGACACAACAGGGAAACAGATGTGCTTTCAAGAGACCATTAGGACTTGTCCCCATTTCTGCGTTTCAAACTGAATGCAGGAGAGTTTTCCAAAGGGCAGACTGCCTCGCTTACATGCTGAAACCAGGCAACATTTCATTTGTTGTGTCAGGGTGATGAAGGTGAGGTCAGGGAAGAGAAGAGACAAGAAGACTGCTATGGCTGGGGCAGAAGATTACCAGGGCACAAATTGGAGCCCTTCATTTCTCATTTAAGCACCTTGCATAAGCCACCTACAATGCCATTTGTGGCAGTAAGACAAAATAGAAATATTTTAGGAAGGGGTTAGTGCTATCAACTGCCATCTTTTATGGAAGTGTTTTTCTTTTGTTAAAGGAATGTGCAGATAAATGCTTCTTTGGCCCACGGTGCCATTTCCTCCATGACATCAAGGAGTACATGGCCACCAAACCACCAGACCTTGGAGGCAGCTGTGTGCTCTTCCAGACATTTGGCAAGTGCATCTATGGGGTTACTTGCCGGTTTGCTGGAACGCACCTTGGAGAGGATTTCAAGAACCTTGTCAATGCTGATCTTGTGAAACAGTGGGAGGGGAGACCGGTTGTGAAGAACAGCCTCAGCAAAGAACTGCAGCAGCAGCTGCGCAAGAAGAAGTGTTCCTTTGACAAGGCCAATGAGTACCTGCGTCACTTAGCCAAGCCCGGCCCAGCAGATGCAGCCAAGGGCCGAACAGGGGTGGCATCCACAGGACAGCCAGGAGTCACAGACTGTTCTGCTTCTAAAGGAGTCATGGGCTTCGATGCGGGCAGAGAAGCGGTGCCCAGCATTTCCCATTTGTCGCAGAAGGAAGGCTCCACTGTGGCAACCTTGGAGAGTGTGTACCAGCCTCTGGAATCTGCTCTTCAAACAGCTGGCGCTGTGACAGATGAAGATATTGTGAAACTCAGACCATGTGAGAAGCAGAAGGTAAGTCGTGGAGGGAACTGTGCCGAGACTGAGAAAGCGAGCCGGAACCCTCTCGAGCAGGGCCTTCCCAGTTCCTCTGCATTAGATGCAAAGGCACACAAAGGAGCTACGTGATGCTCAGTCCTTCAAGGGGCAGCATCTCTCGGGCGAGAGGGGCCCTGTCCTGGCAGGGTGCCCCCTCATGCCTGGAGCAACTGCTCCTCGTTGGCTTTGCCAGTTCCTCCCCCCGCACTGCCCATATAAATGTGCCCATTTTAGTGACACAGCCCCCATGTGTAAAGATGCTAAACAGAGTGAATGGGATGTGTCACAAATCTTCCTGCCATCTAGGCATCCATCCAGCACTACCAGCCGCCCCAGTTTTCCATGGAGGCCTACGGTATGCTTGATTGGTAAGCATTGTTTTAGTCTAAACTCTCTTTCCCCTGTTTGGCGTCTTCCTACTTTTTAGGCTCTGTGTGTAGGATTGGCATGGCTTTTAAGCCTCCTCATGTCTTGTTCTTTCCTCCCTTTTCTCTACAGCTGGATCTCCGTGGCAAGCTTTATTTGGCCCCCTTAACAACGGTAAGTAGATGAACAGTTTATGCTGCATGTAGCTAAGTAAGTTAAAGGGAAAAACACCATTTGAACCTGCTTGCTTCACAGATGGGAGGAGACATGCTTGTACACATGCACAAGCTGTTCTGGAAACAGCGGGAAGAGCAGGCTCCATTATGCTTCTTTATGGCATTTCCATTTGTCTTGGGTGCTCTTCACCAGTGTCTCCATGGTTTCATGGTTTCTTTCATGCGCACACATTCTGGCAAGAATCCTGGGTGTGTGTGAGAAGCTGACTGTTTTGGTGGGACTGACAGCTCAGAGTCTTGAGAATGAGCTGTATGAAGGGGAGTTGGCCAATCCTGGTGGAGATGACAGCTCAGACTCTGATAATGTGAGCCGCCCCGAGGCTTCGGCAAATGGGGCGGCATAGCAATTTTCTAAATAAAATAAAATAAAATAAAATAATAAATAAATAAATAAATAAATAATGAAATGGTTGTTGAAACAGATGTACCTAGTCAGGCTACCTCATCGCATTGTGCCTGAATCTCTGCAGCGATGGCTTGGGTGTCCCAGCCCATAATTCAGTTGCAGGAGGGAAACACCCAGCAAAAGCTAAGTGAGAGGGTAGAGAAGGTTCAAGCTGTTGTGAGCTGAGTGTCGTCCCTCCACCCCCACTGCGACAGACTCTCCAGCATTTCTTGTTAAACATCTTTATTCTACATAGAACTCTCTGAGAATACACAGAACAAATGCTAAAGCCTCTGTGTGTGTCCCCTTCACCCAAAGCTTTCCTTATGAACCCTTCTGTGCCTGTCTCAGGAAAGAGGGGTGCTATGGAAGTGAGTGCACCTGTGTTCTTCTCTCTGAGATCCCAGTCAGGCCACCCTGCAGCTGTCAATGGACTTTTGTCCTCAGGAAGGTGCAGTTCTCCATCTGAGAAACTCCCGTCTCCAAATCCACCCCTTGCCCTCTCTGCCTGGGATGATGATGTTGTTTGTTCCCACAGGCAGGTTGACTGGATCTCTTGGCTGCCCTTGAACTAATCTCATCCTGAGCAGGCACAGAAAGTACAGAGAGCCTTGAATTGCAGCCAGAGCCGCATCTGTTTCAACAATCATTTCGTTATCATAGTCCAAGTTATCATCCCTGCCAGAGTCAGACAACTCCCCTTCATGCAGCTCATTATCAGAGTCTGAGCTGTCAGCCTTGCCAAAAGGGTAAGCAGCTCATGCGTGCCTGGGAATACTGCCAGAACATGCATGCATGACAGTCTCCAGTTCTCAGTCCTTTCTGCTTACCAGCCACTCATGCACAGCCTTTATTTCCTGTACCTTGTGGCTTCTCAGGAGCAAGAATTTGAGCATCACCCCTGAAAATCCTGACAACCACCTGATTCTGCCTATCGGTGATAAAAGTGAAGACATGAGGGTCTGAAAAGGATAGGGGCAGGGGCAAATATGAGGTGTGACACAAAAATAACCAGATTAGTAATAAAAATATTTATTGATGAACTTTGAACTTTGTCGCCTTCTATCTACTCCCGCTCTTGATCTCTACACCACTTCGTATGTGTTTTCCCTTGATGGAAGCAGTGCTGGAAGTCTCCTTGCGTGAGGCTCTTCCGCAGGCTTGCCCTTTATGTCTTCACTTTATCCACTGATTCAAAACGTGTTCCCTTCAGGTCACTTTTGATTTTGGGAACAAGCAAAAACCACAGGGAGCGAATTCAGGTGGAGGAGGAGGAGGATCAAGGACAGGAATGTTTTTGCACTCAAAAACTGGTTTACGGAAAAAGCATCGTGCGTGGGAGTACAATGTTGGTTCGCTGTTCGATTTTTTTCCCCAACATTGTCACAGCAATGCATGTAGCGAGTGCAGTTTGAATACTGACCGGGCTATTCATAGGATATACCTAGTCAGTCGGTGGTTTGAGAGGGCGTGTGGGAGGAGATACAGTCCTATGATGTACGTCTAGCCGACCTCCAGACAATTTTCCAAGAAAGCCCTAAGCGCAATCCAGTTATTTCTGTGTCTCGCCTCATACAGCGTACTTGCAAGCATTTGGCCACAGAGATGTCTTGCTGTTTTCCTGGCAGAAGTAACTTTTGCTCTCTGCACATATCAAAATGCCAAGCAAGGTCATGTAGCTGGACCTGAAGTGAGCTCCTGACCCTGTTTAGGAAGCTAATAACCATTAATACAGTGTCACCAAAACAAGCTATCCACTTTGCCCATCATCTGGTAAGCCCAGAGACACCCCAACCTTTTTGGCTTGGCGGGTACACGTGGAATTGCACCAATGGCTGCCATGGGGTGGGGCTTGCCTCTTCCTAAAATGGCTTCTGTGGCACATGTGGCCAGTCTCAAAGCATTCACTTTCCAGAAAGCAAAGCAGTAAGAGAGAGAGAGAGAGAGAGAGAGAGAGAGAGAGAGAGAGAGAGAGACAGAGAGAGAGAGAGAGAGAGAGAGAGAGAGAGAGAAGCAACCTGCCAAGGACAGCACACTTTTTGAAGGCCAGTGCAGGTATTGCCAGACTGCTGTTTGGGACTGGTCGCTGTTCTCATATAACACCAGTCCTCTGTCAGCTTCACTGGCTCCCCATTGAAGTCTGAGCCCAATTTAAGGTGCTGGTATGGACCTATAAAGCCCTAGGTTTATAGGACCTATAAAACCCTTGGGACCAGGATACCTGAAGGAACATCTTTTTCCCTACATGCCCGCCTGCCCCTTAAGATCTGCAGTGGAGGCCCTGCTCTGGGAACCCTCCTTGAAGGAGGTTAGGGGAGAGAACACTCAGAGGAGGGCCTTCTCTGTGGTGGCGCCCCAGCTATGGAATGCGCTCCCCAGAGAGGTCCACTTGGTGCCTACGTTATATGCCTTTTGGCACCAGGTCAAGACCTTTTTATTTGCCTGATATTTTAAAGTTTAAATATTTTATGTTTTTATCCTCAGTCATGTGTCATTATGATGTATTTATTAGGTGTTTTATATTGTAAGCCATCCAGCAACAAACCGTAATGAATGGGATAGAAATAACCAAACAAATATATATTGCTAGAAATCATCCCTTTGCTTTGCAGCATGGCTTGTCTCTCCCCAGTTCACCAATAAAAAATTAAAAGTGTAAGAACTACCCCAAAAGTCAGGAGGCACAGAGAGCCCAGCAGGCACCAGGAGAGGTGGCTGCGAGCAGTGTTTAGGGGAGCCCAAAAGTCAGCGATTTGGGAGAAAGACTTCAGTCAGGAAGTTGCCAGAATGGATGGAAAAAACATCCTGGACAAAGGAGTCATTGGCATTGGAACAACTTTTCCGGTTCAGCCCCCAAATTTATTTATTTATTTCAGCTCAGCACTGACATGACTTGGCTTTGCAGTGAGTTCCAGGGCAAAACAGTAACACCATGTGTTCGTTCGTTCGTTTGTTTGTTTGTTTATTAAAACATCTTTATGCCGCCCCATTCGTTGTTCCCCCTGCTCCCGCACTTAATGTTTTACAGTGTGGCAACCTTCCTTTCCGGAGAATATGCAAGCGCTTCGGAGCTGACATCACCTGTGGCGAGATGGCCGTGTGCACGAACCTGCTCCAGGGCCAGTCATCCGAGTGGGCGTTGCTGAAGCGGCACCACACAGAGGATCTCTTTGGAGTCCAAGTAGCTTGAGGGCTGTGGGACAGAGGGGTGGGGGTGCTACGGGGTGAGCAGCGCTACTGAAGCAGGCTGTGCGTAATTTTTCTGGCCCAGCATCATGTTTCCCACAAGCTAGCTTGACACTCCTTTGCCTTGAAATGTAGAGCTGTGTAGAGATCATGGAAATTCATCACTATTGTTCTTACTAAACAACTATAAAGCCCTTTCAAGGTATGATCTTTCACGTGTTCAGGCAGAAAAATGGCCCAACCAGCTAATGCTGGGAGCGGGAAGATTTTTTTTCTGTCTAAATATGCATAGGATTGCAACTTTAAAGGGCTTTAGCAGTGCATGATTTGTGCTCTAAATGTTTCAAGTGCTGTAGAGAAATGACAGGATAGAGACGATCCTTGCCTGCAGGTTCCCACTCAGAAAGACAGCATGCAAAATGGCAAGAGCATGGGGAGGGAAAAGGAAGGCAAGCACCGCTGCGCCTGGTCCTTGTCTGCATGATGGATGAGTCCAGGTTGATCTTCCCTTCCTGGTGTGCATCCCAGAGTAGCAGTTCGTGGCCGTTTAGCTGAGGGACGGGGCCGGTTGGGTCTTTCCTCTTCCTTCTGCAGGGACATGTGCATGAAGTGCCTTGCGGGTGCGCGGCAGGTTCACCCTGGCCCCTCTCTCTCTGCAGGTGGAAGGTGCATTTCCAGACACCATGACCAAATGTGCAGAGCTTCTGAACAGGGCCATTGAGGTGGACTTCGTTGACATTAATGTTGGCTGCCCGATCGACCTCATATACAGCAAGGTAACCTGGGAGCCATCCTTAGACTGCCCCTCCCCCACAGCATGACAAATGAGAAGAGGCAGTTCTCTGCTCTGAGAAGACCCCTGCTGCCCCAAAAGCAGGTGGGTTGCTACCTGGGCACTCCGTGGGGTGGGGCTCTAGAGGCTCTTGATCCCCTCTGGATTCATCAGTTGGTGTGGAGCATTTGCTCAGGTACCGCCCCGGGAGCTGGAAAACTTGTGCCAAACTTACTGCCCTGGGGTCAGCATCTGTGGATGAGCCAACCCATAGCAGGTTTTTATGAGTTGGTGCAGCCTTAAATGACGTGTGCTTTCACTGGGTAGTCTTTTATCTGTTTAATCTCTTACTCAAATTTATACACTAAGTTCTAGAAAGGGATCAAAGAAGGAAACACAAGATACAGTGGCCTCGGGGCAACAATCAGTCCGGCAAGAAAAACAGCACTCCGTGAATCAGTCTGCAATAAAACTGCACGCTTATCTGTGGGTGAACCATGCCTTCCACAGCAGAGAAAGCTTGTGTGAAGAGAAAATTTTTGAGAGGACATCTGAACATCAGAGCTAGGGCACTGTCGGGCATGTTTGTCCTACAGGCAGATACCTCAGCCTCATGTGCTCCCCGCTTCTGGGTTTTCTCTTCCCAGGGAGGAGGTTGCGCTTTAATGAGCCGTACCAGCAAGTTTGAACAAATCGTCCGCGGCATGAACTGTGTAAGTTGGAGTGGGTGGTGGAACAAGGCTCCTCCTGGTTAGCTCTGAGCCGCATTGGAGGCCCTCCGCTTCTCAGTTCCCCAGTCTGTAACAGCTCCAGTCCTCCTGCTTCGTGTCGCTTCAGACCCAGCGCAGACATCAATCTTTTATTTCCCCTGCGTGCACACGGGACCCTCCACAAGGATGGTGGCACTTCCCATAGTTGCTCAGGGTTGGCCCTGCATAAAGAGCGGTCGGTCTGGGAGAGTCCATAGTCCTTTGCTTTCTGCAGAGAGCCTGCACCAGAAGGTTTGGTCAGCGAGTAAATTCCATGAAAGACACGCTTTCCTAGTGCCTGCTTTTCTTCTTTGCCAGGTCTTAGATGTTCCTCTGACTGTAAAGATCCGAACTGGCGTGCAGGAGAAGACCAACCTAGCTCACAAAGTCATTCCCAGCCTCCGAGACTGGGGAGCCTCTTTGATCACGGTAAAGGCTTCTCAGCCTCTCAGAGTAATGGTTGGGGGCACTTCACAAAACCCCAGAAACTGCCTGGCCTCCTGTGGCTGGGTGAAGCAGACGTGGTCATGCAGGGAAACCGGCAGAGCTGCTCTGGGACCCCAGAGTACTGACTTTGCCCACGGGCCTGAAGCGCCCTCCCCTCGTAGAGCAGCTCCCCTGCCTCTGGACGCTGCAGCATTCTTTCTGCCTACATTCAGATGAGCTGATCTTGATGTTCACTCCTGTTCCGTTCCCAGTGGTGGGGGCGGGGCGGGGCGGGGAGAGCATGACAGTGAAACAGCCCCAGTAGAAATGCCCAGGGTAGGACCCATTCCTGGCGGACCGTCTGTTCTTCTCCCTGCACCACCGTCCCTGCCGTTTTGCTTCTGCCCTCCTTTTGGAACCAGAAGCAAACAGGCCTTTCCTTGGGGTTACCATTGATGGATCTTTCCCCCCAACTTCTGACCCAAAAAGGTAAAAAAACAGGGCAGTTGGTTTCATGCACCTGTGATGCAGGATCAAACTGTGTCTTTTCTGGGCTTGTTAGCTTCATGGGCGATCAAGAGAGCAAAGATACACAAAGCTGGCCGACTGGAACTACATTGCGGAGTGTGCAAAAATCGCTGGCCCGGTGCCTCTCTTCGGTAGGTGGTTTGGATCTGCCTTCTTCGTTTCAGCCCCTTCATGCTTTCCTTATAGCTGTTCATGATGCACTGCCAGATATACTTTGTATTTAGGTGCACTTTCTCCCCGGCTTTGGCAGAGCTTGCTCAGCCCAGATTAGTTTCCTTCTTTGCCACACCATCTCTCTCTCCTGCTTGAGTGTTCTTCTCTGGCCATGCTGCATCTTGGAACTGTTAACCCTCCTAACTTTGCTTCTCCCCCTCCAAAATGCTAAAACTCGGGTGGCTGTCTGCCACTGTGACCTGCCACGGTTCTGCCAGGTGCCTCCCTTTATCACCCATCAAACCCTGGGTTGTCCCTTCCTCCCAGCCCTGTCTCTTCAGCATAAGCCGCCCAGGCAGAGGTGTATGGAGCTGTAACTGGATGCTCATGGATGCTGCTGGTGAATGAGGACAGATCATTACAGAGCAGTAAGTCAAGGCAGGGATGGGCAGAAGCAGATCTGCAGCTCTAACTCCCAGAATCCACAAGGACCAGGGAAACTGGAAGCCAAAATCCAATGGATCTGGAGACCCACTTTCTGCCCGCCCTTGCTAGTGCAATCTCGAGGAGTTAAAACGGGCTCTTGAGTGTAATCTCAGCCATTGCTTTACACTTAAAGGCCATCACACAGAGAGCCAGCATGACCTAGTGGTGAGAGTGCTGGACTGAGACTCAGATGGTTTGGACTCTGGCCACCCCCACATCCATGAGCCCCCTGGGTGTGTCTTTGGGTCAGTTCCAGGCTCTCAGCCTAACCTACCTCTGACACCGAGGAGCAAAATTATGTAAGTTGTTTTGGGGTCCTTGCAGGAGAAAGGCCAGATATAAATAGATTACAATCATGGACCAGTAGAACTGGCAGGGGCCAAGAAGGCCATCAGGTCTGCTCAGTGCAGACTCCCGGTTAAACCATCACTCTCAGGTGGCTGTCCAGTTACATCCCAAATGCCTCCAGAGCAGGAGAGCCCACCACCTCCCTAGGCCACTGGTTCCATTGCCATACAGCTCTGCAGTCAGGACGTTTTCCCCAGTGGCCAGCTGGAATGTGGCTTCCTGGAACTTGAGCCCATTATTCCATGTCCTGCACTCTGGGATGACCAAGAAGAGAGCTGGCCTTCCTCTTTGTGACAGCCTTGCAAGTACTTGTGGAGCGCTATCGTATCTCCCCTCGTTCTTCTCTTCTTGAGGCTAAACACACCTGGTTCTTTCACTCCCTCCACACAGGGCCTTGTTTCCAGTCCCCGGATCCTCCTTGCTGCCTCCTCCGGACCCTTCCAGCTCGCCTGCGTCTTTCTTAGACTGTGCTGCCCAGAATGGGACACAGGACTCCAGATGAGGCTGAAATAAGGGGAACTAAGAGATCTGGAAGGGATACTTCTGTTAATGCAGCCCAACTAGCATTTGCCCTTTTGGCAGCCACATCACATTGCTGGCTCATCCAGCTTGTGATGTTCAACAATTCCAGGATCCTTCCCACTTCCAGTGTCATTGACCCAAGTGTTCCCCATCTTGTAGTGATGCATTTGGTTCCCTTTTCCTGGGTGCAGGTCTTGGCATCTGTCCCTATTGAATTTCATTTTGTTGTTTTTAGTCCAGTGCTCCAACTAAACAAGATCAACTTGAATCGTGTTTCTGTCTTCCAGAGTATTAAACATCCCACCCTGTTTTCTGTCACCTGCAAATCTATAATCATTCCCTGCACTTCCTCATCCAAATCATTAGTAGAAATGCTGAAAAACATTGGGCGCAGGACTGACCCATGCAGTATCCCACTTCTTAATAATTAATAAGATGAATTAATAATTACAAGGCCATGGACAACTGTTAGAACTTGCTTCACAAGCATGGCTGTATTTTTCTCTGCTCATTCAAAAATGTTCACATCAGTTTACTTCTTTACAAGGCAAGGACATTGGCCCAATTGCTATATGATTCCTTTGTGGGACCACCTGGCTTGCATTTGGCCCACAGGAAAGAGTTTAGTCTAAGCTTCTAAGAAACGTTTTGCAGGTGATTAGATATGCCTCAGACACTAGGATAAGATTGGAAACAGACAGTATGAAAGCCAAAGCCTGGATCTGCATCTTATCTATATATATGTGGACAGAGGGACATCGTAACCCACAAGGCCATTTCTCCTTGGAATTCCGCAATAACGTGTAGTCAGACTGGCTGAATGCCATTTAAAACAACGTGCAGAGAACTGATCTCACCCCCACATGCTTCTCTATTGTGAATTAGATCATGCCAAAAATGAGTCAACCAGAGAATCAAGGATATGGAACATCAAACTGATCATGCCAGTATATTAATATGACTAGATTAGACAAATACTCTGCATAACCAGCAAACTCTGTGATACCACTGGATGCTAAAGGGGTTAGAAGGGCATTTACTCTTGCCAGGTGCTTTGCTCTTCCTTCTGTCCTTGAAGGCAAGTACAACAGCATTCCTTTTGCTGACAGGCTTTGTGTTTACCAAATGGGAGATTGAGACCTTGGAAAATATGTTTTTCTGTTTTTTTCACATCTGTATTACAAACAGGCACATAAGGAGTTCATCATTCCACTCTTGGGATAATCCGATTCTTTCTGAAAAGCCAAACTTGATATTCTTTCAGATAAAGATGCTAAGATCACATATCAAGTAGCCAGTTTCTACAGGGCAAATTTAACTTAGGTTAAGATGCTCTTATCTTAATGTAAATCTGTACATTTCATACAATTAAACTGCAGTGGGTTTTAACAAAGTTCTATCAGCATTACCATTATGTATAATTTTCGGGCATTATGTGTTTTGATTATGTACCCTAGGCTACTTTATTTTTTTTAGTGTCCATTACTTACCTGTTGCTTTTAAATTTATTTTAAAATGCTATTTTAGTTGGGGTAATGGAAAAGCATTGTTCAATTTATTATGCTGATCCACATTGGTTTATGTTGATCTATGACAGTGATAAATAAATAAATATGACATCAGTTTACTTGTAAAAGGCAAGACTTTGCCTGGAACTGCTGAGGTGCAGCAAATGGCATCAATACGTCCCCCACTGCATAAATACATTTGTAATGGGTAATGTCCTGGCATCCTGGCTTCTTCCTTTTCCTCTGACACAGGAAACGGGGATATCTTTTCTTTTGAAGATGCAAATCAAGCCATGGGGACAGGAGTGGCAGGTATTATGATTGCAAGGCAAGTGACTTCGTCTCCTCCCCTTTTTCCCTATGTGGCAGTGTCAGTTGTCCTATAATCTGAGTATGAAAAACACCCCCAGGAGCAACAAACTTCTTAAGATACGATTTTTATTTTTTGCATGTGGAAAGTTTGTGGTTCAGTCCCCAGAAAGGGCTGGGAAAGGCCCCTATTTGAAGCACCACTGCAGGAGATACTGACCAATCTCCTGGGTCTTACACATTGTAATGCAATATATTAGTTCACCAGATTTATATACTGCTTCATATTCTGGGGTCAAGATTTCAGAGAAGTGAAACATCAAAGATAAAACAGTTTTTAAAAGTGAGTATGTTAAAAACATGATCCATAAAACCTTCCTGGTTGGTTCAGGAAGGGTTCTAGAAATAAAAGTATTTTCAGGGGGTGCCAGAAATCGCACCACGTGGGTGCCTGCCTGATCTCCAGAGGCAGGAAGCACCACAGAAAGGGAGCCATCACACTGCAGGGCTTTGGCCTTGTGGACTCCAGTCAGGCTGTAGGTTTGTGTGGAATCACCGTGGATGTGCCATCCAGTGGCCGTAGGGGCTGGGACAGATTGGTGAGGAGAAGGTGCTCACTCATCCGTGAACCTCAGGAGAACCTCAGCCAGTTCTCGCCTTGTATCCCAGCAGAAGGTGCAATTGCTCGGGGTGCAGTCCTGCACAAGGGCAGACAGACCTGGAAGAGGTGGGGGAGCTGTGCAGACAAGGATCGCTCACAGTGTTTAAACCTGCAGCTGTGTTGGTTTGGAGCAGAGCATTTCAGAACTGCGCATTGCAAATTCCAGATGGTGCCACCCCTTCCATTGTGCTAGCCCTTGTTTTTCCTGCTCACAGAGGAGCTCTGATCAAGCCTTGGATCTTCACGGAAATCAAAGAGCAGCGGCACTGGGACATCTCCTCCAGCGAGCGGCTCGGCATCCTCAGGGATTTCACCAACTATGGCCTAGAGCACTGGGGATCAGACACGCAGGGCGTGGAGAAAACCAGGAAGTTCCTCCTGGAATGGCTCTCCTTTTTGTGCAGGTAAAAGCTGCTCCCCTACAGCTGGACCTAGGATCTCGTCCAAATACAGTCTCCTTACACCAGTTTCATCCAGCTCTTCAGTCCAAAAGGACTTCCAGAGCCGCTGATGCAGATTAATAACGAGGCCATCTCTGCCTTCAGGCTTCAATCCTGCCTTCAATCCACAGAAAAGGAAAGGGGTTTGGGAGAGAGGAGGAGGAAGAAACATTCAATTTACGCAAATTAATTTCTTAAAAATCATATATATTTAACAGATGGTTCTGTTTCCACTAGGCCCTGCATGCAGGAACACCTGCTCCGCTGCCTCTTCTGGTTTGACAGAAGAGACACATTTTAGAAGCCTATCTCATCAGCCAAGAGAGCTAGGTTTGGGAATTTAAAAAAAAAATTAGAAAGTTGAAAGACTGCAGACAATACCAGTTGCTCTGCCTGCTTCAGAACACTGTATAAATGTGCTGTGTTCATTATTGGTAGTACTGATGTTACTTGAAATCTCATTACCACAAAGAGATGGTCATGTCACCTTTTCTCTGCTCCTTGGCATTGTGCAGGTACATTCCTACTGGCTTACTGGAGCGCCTGCCCCAGAGAATCAACGAGAGGCCCCCATACTACATGGGGCGAGACTATTTGGAGACCTTAATGGCAAGCCAAAACGTGGGCGACTGGATAAAGATCAGGTAAAGGGCTATGCCTCTTCTGGGGCTGGGTTTTCCCCTCCTGCAGTGGCTGAGTTTGAATGAATGGCTACACATGAGGCACAGTCCTTGGAGGAACACAAGGAGAGGAAGAATCGCACCCTAGAAACATATTGGACTGCCCCCCACTTGAACGTTGGTTCCACCCGCCGGCTCACAATGTGAGCTCACATGTGCCTTGCCCCCACCACCGCTCCTGTATTTCATTTCTTGGCCAATCTCAGTTGCTTTACCTGTAGAAGGGAGCCAAGGTGGGGTCAGCACACTTGATGAGTGTTCAGGGTGATGGGAATGACCCTTTTCAGACACAATCCTGTGCCTGGGTAGCCTGAGAACAAGGCTGCAGCACCCCAGTCTCCCGAGAGCATGCTTCTTCAGCCATCCTCCTTCCCTGAGTGTCATAATACTTTCCCTTCTTGAGGAAGATGCTCCATCCTTTTCTTATACTTCCTGCAGTTTTGTGGTGCAGAAGCTGTTTTGGGAGCGCCATTCTAAAAGTGGGAGGCCAGAGGCAGGAGGCTTAGGGCCAAGGCACCCGCCTGTTACAGCTGTTCCTGCCAGTAATGTACCTTAAGGACAACAGAGGAAAAACAAAAGCCAGAGAGCCACCAAACGGGTGGATGAAAGGCAGTACCCCAGGCCTGCAGCTCTGCACCGCTGCTCTAGATCCTTGCACAAGGGTGCATGGTATTCTAAGCCAAGCACCATGCATTTTTAAAGTCAGAGTGGAGCACAGGGAATATCCTGTCCAGCTACTTGCTTGGCATGGGAATCTTGCTGTCTGCCTGATGAGTGGCCATTCTGCTCAGACACCACCCACCCTCAAGGCAGCCCTTAAGTCCCCCACTGGGAGCTGATTCCTGCACAGCATAGATTTTGACAGCAGTATTCGCTTTTCCTGTTTTGTGGATCCTTATTCCATAGCAGATAGATCAGAAGTCTGTCAGGAGCTGCATTATTTTGGCAGGAGTGCAATACTAGAAAAACTAAATCTTTATCCAGATTTTTTTCTCTCATCTTTTTGCAGTGAGATGCTATTGGGTCCTGTGCCTGCCAACTTTACTTTCCTGCCAAAACACAAGGCAAATTCTTACAAGTAGGGATGCAGCTGTGGGGCTACTGAATTAAAGACTCCACTTGGGAAGTCAAATGTGTATGCTTGTGGTTCTTTCAATTTTGAATAATAGTGTTAAAAACCCTATTAATTTGGCTGCTGTGTTTCCATGTGGCTGATTTCTCTAATCACATGCCACAACTTCTCCCAGACATTTTGATAATGATTTTCATAACAAATTTGCCTTGTTTTTGTTCGTGGATTTCTGTGAAGCTTCTGCTACAGCTCTCCCCTGTCTGGGAATGACGGGAGTTGTAGTCTAATACATCCATGGGGCATCAGGTTGAGGAAGGTTCTGTTATCTTCATACATCGCTGAACATGGTGCTCTAAACAGAAGATGGTGATGGGTCTCTGTCCCAGAAAGGAGGAAGGAAAAAAGAACAAAGTTTTTGCCCAGAGGGATGGAAATAACAGCTTCTGTGGATGTCATCATATTTAGATTTGTTCTCTGAACAATCATTCCACGTGGCAGCTGCAACTCATTGCTCCTCTGTACAGGTAGCAGTTCCCCATATGTAGACATCAAGCCTTTGGTTATGAGCATCTTCTGTTTATCATGTTAAACTTTGATTCAAAGTGTTCCTGACTACCACTAAAGAAAGAGAAGTCACAGTAATGGGCTATGCCAGAACCATCCTCCCTCCCTGACACTCTAGTCATAATCTCACTGGTAACAGGTTCCCTGTGTCTGCATTGCATGCCCTTCAGATTCCAGGGCAAAAGGACCTACCTGAATGCTCTTCTGAAAACAGTTGTTCCAGAAATTGGCTCCATTGCCCCAGCATATTGAAAGTGGGGTTGGAATGTTCCATTTACAGTGACTTGCGCTGGAAAGCAGCTTCACGGTCTCTTGTCAGCACCGTAAAGCAACGCATTAGCCACCCAATGTATTGGGAGCAAGGCCCTCCATATCCCTCTTCAGGATACTGGTTTTCACTCTGAAAGCTGATCCACATCAGCTGGAAGGGCCACGGTGTGCCTGGCCAGCTTGCCTTGGGATCTGCTGCAGCATCACCTTTCTTACACTCCAACAAATGAGCACATCCCTGCACATCTAGAACAAAGAAGACCAGGCTGGAGCCCTCTTCCTCAACATGCCACTTCTCTATCTGCAGGGGATCAAGCAGCTCCTCTCCAGTATTTAAGCTGCAGTCGGGTACAACTTGCCACGTGGCTGGCTGCTGCAAGTTGTAGGACAGGGATGCCAAACCTTTTAGAGCCCGAGTGCCCAAACTGCAACGCAAAACCCACTTATTTATCGCAAAGTGCCAACACTGCAATCAAACCTGAATATGATGCTGCAGATTCAAATATGCCAGGGGGACAGCACAACATTACTTAGAACATCTCTGCTAAATCTTAGATATTAAATTTCAATTTTTCATAAGAAAACTCAGAGCTAAAATCTTGTGTTAATAAAAACGAATGTATTAAAACTCACAGCCAGTCCAAGCAAATATATATATATCCTTGGCAGCACATTGACCGGCCAGGCGAAAGCTTGGACCAGTCATGGCTAATGAGTCGCAGCTCATGACATCATCACTTGGAGCCGCTACTCCTTTCCAAGCATACACATGGCCCCTGTGTGTGCTGTTACCCGATGCTCGGATGCTGGGGCAACTTGGCTCGCATGCCGGCAGAGGGCTCTGCGTGCCCACTGTGGCACATGTTCCATAGGTTCACCACCACTGTTCTGCCCACAGCATAGGATTGCACCCTTATTTATTGGTAATATCCTAATCTCTAAATGTGTCACATAAAATATTAAAAATGACACATAAAGCAGCAACAATGTGATTCACATTTAGGAAAACATGGTTCAGAACAATTCCACCCCCAGTAACACAAATCTTAGAACAGTTCAGATGGGGTAGCAGAGATTAGTTGCAATTAATTACAATTCTACAGGCACACATTTACTTTCTCATTTCATTTATTTGGTTTATATTCTGCCATGGAGTTTTCAGACTGCTGAACCATCCAAGATCAAGAGAAGAATAAAACATTAAAAATAAGATCTGAATTATTGCTTTACTTTACCTCTCCAAATATAAAAAGAAAGAAGATAAAAAGTTTATATATATGTTTATCTATACCAGAGTTGCCAAAAAAGTGTATACTCGGTAGCAGTTCACCATCATCAGAAGTGTCTGGATGCTGATGGGAACCACTTTGAGCACCTCGTGTAATTGCAGAGATCAAGCATGACTTGCACTCATCTTTTGTTATCAGTATATATTGAGTATTACAATTTTAATACAGCTTTTCTTAAACTATAGATTTTTGGCACCCTCTGTATATGGGGAGAACGGGTATAGCTTTCAACAACAGGGTGCCCTCCACAGGGGATGGACTACCGTTCTGAGGTTAATGCAAGTTGTAGTTCTACCCTCTAGAACATGGGTTCTCAAACTACAGCCTGGGGGCCGGATCCGGCCAACCCTGGCCATTTATCTGACCCACTTCAGAGCTTTTCAATGCACCCCACGCGTTCTACAAGTGCCCACTGCCACCCGCCTTGCCCCCTGTGCGGGGAGGCGGCTTGCTCACTCGCATGCCTGCCCCTACCTTACCTTACCTTGCCTCGCCTCCCTTCGCCCACATGCCCCACTGCAGCCCCTGTGCCCTGCCAGCACCACCTTTCCAGTTCACGCCCAGCACTGGCACCTTTCAGCTGGCCGCAAGGGGTGGCATAGAAATGTTTTAATAAATAAGACTCCTGCTGTAGAACATGGGTCCTCAAACTACGGTCCGCAGGCCAAATATGGCCCAGCATGGTCATTTATCTGACCCACCTCAGAGCTTTTCAACTCGCTTGGAGAAAACAATCTCTGAACAAGTCTGAAAACTCGAGTCGGAGGAGGTATTCTCTGAAACTTTCAGTTTCGGAGACGAGCAGAGACCTGGCACACGTGCCAAATTGTAGCAGCGCTCTTCAACTGCACGTGCGCCGGCTCTCCGCTAGCTCTGGCTAGCTCCTGCTGCTTTGCTGGTCTTACCAGCGTGAATTGTGCGTGCACCAGCTCTTCCCCCCTTGCACGCATGGGAATACGGAGTGGGAAACAGAAGAGGTGGGTGGTGGGAAGAGAGAGAGAAAGACACTCAAAGGAGATAGAAGGTAAGAAAAATACAACTTTTAAAACCTATTTTTAGCTATGCGAGCCACGTCCCCGGGCTGTGGGCCAAGCCGCAGCTGCCTCGCTGAGCCCAGGGGCGGACGGGCCGAGGCAGAGCGGCGCCTCCGCCGCGGCCTTCTCTGGCCAAGCCGCCACCGTCGAGTGGCCGCCATGCTGCTTCCCCCACGGGGGGAGAGGCGGGAGGCGCCCCGCTCGGCCGGCCGCGGCCCCATCCCTCGCCTCCCCCCGCCTCGGCCTGCGGAAAGCAGCCCTCGCCTCCCTCCCCGCGGCCTCCCCCCTCCCGGGGGCCAGGCGAGCGCCTGCCAGGGGACCTCCGCAGGGAAGGCTGCGACCGAGGCGAGCCGCCCTCACGGCTCCCCCTCGTGCCGAGCTCTCCCTTTCGGCGGGTGGCACGTGGCATCTTGGGCTTCTGCTGCAGCCTGAGCCAGTGGAGCAGCCATTTTTAATTATTTTTTAATTTTAATTGTTTTAAAATTAATTTAAAATTAATTAAAATTAAAATGTGCATAGGAATTCATATTTTCTTCAAACTATAGTCCGGCCCCACAACAGTGTGAGGGACAGTGAATTGGCCCTGTTTAAAAAGTTTGAGGACCCCTGCTCTAGAAAGAGCTCTCTAAGGCAGGGGGGCAATACATGTTTCTGTGAGGCAGAGCTAAGCATCTGAACAAGATGAGGAACACTTGATTCAACAGTACTGCAAATGAGAAGGATCTTGGGGTTGTTGGTCACAAGTTACATATGAGCCAACAATATGATGCAGCTGCAAAAAGGGCAAACACTGCATTAAAAGAAGTATCACTTCCAAAACATGTGAAGTACTAGTTGCAAAAAGGGCAAATGTTATTTTGGGTGCATTAACAGACACTTCCAAATCCTGTGAAGAACCTTTATTCAGCACTGGTTAGGCTTCATATAGAGGCCTGTATCCAGTTCTGGGCACCACAGCTTAAGACGGATGCAAACAAGCTGGAAAGGGTCCATAGGAGGGCAACATGGATGAACTGGGGACTGGAAACAAAGTCGTGTGAGGAGAGATTGGAAGAGCTGGGAATGTTCAGCCTCAGAAAGAGGAGACTGAGGGGAGATATGATGGCACGCTACAAGTGCCCGAAAGGCCAGACTCTTTTCTTGGTCATTCCAGAGTGCAGGACGCGAAATAACGGGCTCAAGGCACAGGAAGCCAAATTCAGATGAGACACCCGGGAGCATTTCCGTACTGTTAGGGCAGCACGACCACAGAAAGTGTAAGCTGGGGAAGTGGCGGGCTCTCCCTTAGCTGCACACCTTCAGGAAGCGTCTGGACAGTCACCTGAATGGGAAGCTGTAACTAAGTGGTGGCCATAACCATGCCGTGATTCTATAAGCAGCGCTTTCCTTCAAAGGGGTACGAGGGGATGGGGACGTGGGAGAGAAAGGCGCCTACGAGCACCGCCCCCGGCCGTCGTTAACACGCTGCCCACTCAAGAGCAGGGCTCCCCTCAATGAGGACTAGCCTTCTTCTTACAGCGCCACTTTGTGCAGGCGGCCGTTAGGCGTGCTCCCTGCTTTCCGTCCGTTTCCCGGGTAACGCTGCCCCTCCCGCCGCTCTCCCTTCCCATTGGCCGCGCCCTGTGCATGCGCGCGCCACCGATTGGACGCCGCTGAGCCGGCCCCGCCTGTGAGGCGGAGAGGAGGGGCGGGGCAGAGCGGCAGCACGGCTTCCGCTTCCGGTGTGCCTCTATATGTGTGTGTGTGTGCCCGCCGTGCGGGGGGGGCGGACAGGAGGAGAAGCGAAAGGGAGACTCTGAAGGAACCTGGACGCGAAGGAGAGACACACTCCTGAGGCGCCCCGAGCCATGAGGAGGCGGCGGCGGCAAGAGGAGGCGAAGCAGCACCAGCAGCAGCCCTGAGGGGACAAGGCGCGCCAGGCCGAGCTAGGCCCGAAGCCCCAAAGGAGGCGGCGGAGGAGTGGGCAGGCCAGGCCGGGCCTAGCCATGGACAATCAGGTGAGGAGGAGGAGGAGGAGGAGGGGCTGATGTTCTCATTCTGCCCCCGCCCACTCTGGAAAGGGGCAGTGCCCAGCCCCATTGGACGGCCACCAGGACCCGCCCACTCTGGAAAGGGTCTGCAGCCCGACCCAATTGGCCGATATCCAGACCTCGCCCACTCGAGGGGAAGCACCTTGTTTCCATTGGCTGTTATCCAGACCCCACCCACTCAAGGAAAGGGGCAGGGCTCTATTGGACTGTCACGGCCCCCCCACTCACAGTACTATGGGTGGCTGGTGTCCCTCTCCCTTTTCAGTGATCTCTTGGGGGAGGGGCTTGTTGCTGCTTCTCCTAAATAGTAAGGGAGGTGGGAGAAGCTCTTTTTAAAAATGTTTGTGTGAATTTGGTTTCTTCTCCATAATTACCTGTGTAGGTAGTATCCACATTCAGATTCATGAGGACTAGAAGCTTAGGGTTATAGCACTTCCTTTGCATGCAGGAAGTTGCAGAGTCAAGTTAGGCTTGACTCTGAGTGTTTAGTCTCCATCAGATAGATCTGAGAGAAAGACCCCTCCCTGAGCTCATGGAGAGCTGAATCCAGACTGTTTTGCTCATATTGAGTTGAATGGCCAGCAGTTCTGACTCAGTAGGAGGGATTCCTGCATTTCTGTTCCCTGTATTCAGAACCATACTAGTATCTTGGTTAAGTTTTAGAAAAGCAGTGTGACTGTGCCCCTGCTTTGCATGCCAATGGTCCTGGGTTTGATTCTGATTAGCATCTTAAGCTATGAGTAAGAAGAGTCATGCCTGAAACCCTGGAGAGCCTTAGCTGTTGGTCAGTGCTGAAAATGGACCAAACAGATTACTCTATACAATGCAGCTTTCAGTGTTTCTGACCAAATCAGCCCTTTAGTCAGAATCATGAGGACTAGAATCTCACTTTCTTTATCTTCAGGGAGAAGGAAACAACTTAGCAGTAAAGCACATGTTTGACATTTAGAATGTTCTGGGTTCAGTCTCAGGGCATTGCCAAGCAGGGCAGAAAAAAATCCTGCATGAAAAGTTTCTGGTTTGTGTCCACAATACTAGGCTTGTTGAGCCAAGTGGGATTTGACTCAGAAGAGAGGGGCTTCCAATGTCCCTACAGCTTCTGCTTTCATAGTTGTCACTGCTGCTGTCTTTTTCTGGGAAGGGGAGGAGTGCAGCGGGAAGCCCCTGCCTCCCCACCCCCCCAAATGCAGAGACAGTGAACCTGCCTGGAAAATAACTACCTGCTGTCCCTCCCCAAAGTAAAGTGAGTGAAAGGGCTTCCTGCTGCTGGAGAGGTTTTGCTCCCTTTCTCAGTGAGTTCACCACACACTGCTCAAGAAAGGCTTGGTTGCACCTGAAGGTTGAGTGGACACTGCCTTATCTGTCAAACCTTGTCCATTTGACCTAATTTTGTTGACACTTGCTGGCAGCAGCAGTTCTCCGGGGTTTCGGAGAGGTCTTTTTCCCACCCCTATCAAGAGATGCCAAGGAATGAGCCCAGGATCATCTGTGTAACAAGTGTGTCCCCAGGAGTGTCCCTGCCAAAAATGAGGGTGATAAGCAGTGTTAGCATAGCTCTTTGGCATGCCTGAAGCACTTTGCTCACATTACCATAGGGCAGACTGCACAACAGGCATGAAAGAATAGACCAAGTGTTGTCCTTTTCCTCAGTCTTCTGATGGAGGCCATAGCCTGGAAGTGTGGCACAACTCAGGCCATGCTCCTTCAAGCCCAGCCTCTGCATTCCCTTGCAGTCACCACCCTGAACTTGTGTGTGTGTCTGTGTGTGCACAGACCCTTGTGTGCAGGACTATGCATGTTTTTATACCTTTACACTATGCATTCCCTTGCCCAAACATATTGGGCAAATGTTTGTCTGTACTCAGCTGTCAAGATTGTCAAACGAAAATAGACTAAGTGCTTTGTCAACTTCAGTTTTGGTATATCAGTAGCCATTATAGTGTTATTCAGTAGTGTTGTTCCATTCAGTAGTTATCATAGGTAGTGTTATTCCATTTAAGGTCATTGTTATGTGCCATCATGTTGCCTCTGACTCATGGCAACACTGTGAATGAATGACGCCTCTCCAGAATGGCCTGTCCTCAACAGCCCTGCTCGGCTGTGATAACTCTTGGCTGTGGCTACCTTTGTGGAATTGACCCATCTTTTAACTGGTCTTCCTCTTTTGCCTTCAACTTTCCCTAGCATAATTATCTTCTCCAGTGAGTCTTGCCTTATGATGTACCCAAAGGACAACAGCTTAGTTTTGACTTCTTTGCTTCCAGAGAGCATTCTGGCTTGATTGGATCTAGGATTGACTTGTTTGTCTTTTTTTCAGTCCAGGGCATTTGCAAAGCACCATGTTCTGAATGCATCCATTTTCTTCCAGTCAGCTCTCTGCAGTAGGAGAGTTTGCCGTCCATACATGCTCATGGGTGTCTGTGCAACTCACACTTGATCACACTTGCATGCATGATCTTTTGACCATGTCATATTATACACTTGTACTCATTACAGAAGTAAAAGAGTGCATACTCAAATGTGCAGCTCTGCTATAGGGGAACATAATGGATTTTTACACCATGTGTGCAGCCAACATAAGGCATTTATATCAGCTTCTTCCCAATGTGACTTGTGAGCATATTCATGTGTATATATGTCTGGGTATATGGGATGTAACACAGAGAAGGGAGGGCTGGCTGTGGATCAGCTGGTTCCCAAGTGTCAATTCATGTCTGCAGCATCAAGAGATGACTGAAATGTCTTGATCGACCATCACAGCTCCAGCACCAGGGGCAGAGATTTCATCTTCTCAAAGGCACAAGCCCATGACAGCCATTCTTCCTACTGTGCTGTGTTCACAAGTACAAGCCACCAGGATGGCAATGTTAACCGGTTCTTGAGAGTGGAGTGGGCAGATGTGAAATATGCATCTGCAAAGCAATAATGCCAGATGTTTGCAGATCCAGTTGGAGCTTTATTTGCCATCTAGTCCAACCCACACTTGACATAGCCATTAAGGACCAGAGCATCCCCAAATGCCTGTAGAATTTCAGAGTATGGGAATGATTTAGTCCATTTGCTGGGAGAAATCTTTCAGCTGCAGCATCCCTGGCAGATGCCATCTAGGCAGTGAGAGCCCATCTTCACCTTCAGAGGGTGCTGTTTCCATTTTCAAGCATTTCTAACCATCAAGGATTTTCTCCAAATGTTCACCCCAAATTTTCAGTCCTACAACTTCAACCCCTTTGACCAAGTCATGTTTTTGGGGCCACGGAGAACACATACTTGCCCTTTTCTTTGGTACAGCCCTTTGAATCTTGGGGAGTGCTCTCCCATGTGCCATCCCCCCCAACTTGTGGGGTGCTGAGTGGCCATAGGGATGGAAATCAAACTCAAATACGGGATTTGGTGTGACTGGGAAGGTCATCCCTTTTATGCTTTGGTAGAACGTGACTTTGGCAAATTATTCTGCCACTTCTGAGTTCCAAGCACATGGCTACTCTGGATAGCTGAATTATCCTGAGCTAGGACAAACCTGCCCACTTACCTACTTCAAAGATTTCTTAGCACTGGATCAGCACCACCCAGGAGTGTTGGACTACAGGCAGTGAACCCAGCCAGCATGGTTACTGGGTATGATGGAAGTTGTAGTCCAGCACATCCAGAGGCTCCAAGTTGGGGAAATTGCACTAGACTCTTCACACTGGTACTTGCCAAACCAAGTGTGTCACTGAGCTTGGCAACCATCTCTTTACTATGGCTGACCATATCTAAATGACTTTTGGCTAGAGAAAAAACTTTGGTTCTTGATGTATCATGCTAGGTGAAGGCAGCAGTGATCTTGATCGGTTGCATAGTGGAATTGACTTGAGCCAATTCGAGTGCTTTCTGAAAGGATGGACCCAGCCTAGCTGAAGTTAGGATATGGAACGGGCTTCCAAGGGAGGTGGTTGAGGCCCCATCAGTGAGGGTATTCAAGGAAAGGACACCCTCACTGATGGACAACCACATGCTGGGGATTACATGAGCAGAGCCAGCTGGAGCTGAGGCTCAGACCAGATGGCCCAGGAGGACCCTTTTGACTTGCTTTTCCTCCCTACATTTCTATGTTTCCTTCCCTTGCTCAGAGTATACATAGTTCCTTCAAACTTTGCTCAAAGGATGTAACATAGAAGTGACAGGAAAACGGAAGAGAACCTGCTATGGCAGACTGAGGGATTTTTCTGGCATTTTTAGAGTTGCCTGGTTGTGGCCTTGCCCTGTTCACTTCCAGCAAGATGCTTGTTCCAGTCACTCCTGGGAGCAGTATTAGCATTCACTGATCATGTGTGTTCTGGAGAAAATGTAGAAATAGAGTATCTGCCTTTCAGGGCAGCTTCTCTATCAATCTCAGTCTTCTCCCCACATTCTCTCACCTCTGCTCAGTTTCCTTGGGAAACCATTTAAAACTGCAATTTCTTCATTCCATGAGCACCAGCCTTTTCTGACACAAGAGCCCCAACATCCATTTGGGGGCATGTTCCTTAATATTGGGCATGTCAATATTGTTCTGCTTCTGCTGCAACTTCCTAGCAATGCAGCCTTGGTGCCCTCCAGATGTTTTAACTGTTTAACTGCAAGGCCTTGTCTGACAATCATAATATCTGGGTATTTACCTTAAACATCTCAAGGGCAGCCTGATAGGAAGGCAGAAATGCCTTAAGCGGCAAGGAAAAAAACAGATTGTTGGAGAAATCCTGGTCTTACTTACTCAATATGCACTTTTCAGGGTTGTTGTTTTTAAATCTTTTTTCCCCTGCCCCTCTCTTTTCTGTTCCATACTTCTTTTCCCCCATCTAGTGTACAGTCCAGGTGAAATTGGAGCTGGGGCATCGTGCCCAGCTACGGAAGAAGCCCACCACTGAGGGCTTCACCCACGACTGGATGGTGTTTGTGCGTGGCCCGGAGCAGTTTGAGATTCAGCACTTTGTGGAGAGGGTGGTCTTTCAGCTGCATCAGAGCTTCCCCAAACCAAAACGTGGTGAGTGAGCAGGTCACGTGCCTGTATGTGCATGATCAGAAGCATGTGGCTTCCTCCATGTAGTGATACAGGCCTTCAGGGCTTCCTAGAAGTGTCTGGCCACTGTGGGAAGCACAGCTCTGGCAGAACTTTCCCTGTTGGCCATGTTCACAGGGGCAGATAGGAGAGGAAGGGTGTCTCAGAGCCCTTGCCTTGCCTGTGAAAGGTTTTTGGCTCAGTCCCCATCGTTTCCAGGTAAAGCAGGAAAAAAGAACCCTCCCCAGTACCATGGGAAGATGCTGCCACCAGCCTGCCTCTGTGTGCAAGTATCCTGGGCTAGATGGATCAGTGGCCAGCTTGGTGGAAGCCGGCTTCCCACTTTCTGGTTGCAGATGGCCTGTTTGCAGACTGCAGTCTGTGTTTATCCAGTCTGAATTGCCTTGTTTGGTTTGTGCACCCATGGGCCAAATCTGTAGAAGGCACCTTCAAAATGCTGCAGTTTAAATCAGACCTTTACCTAAAATCACGAGCCTGAAAACTTGATTCCTCATCTTATCATTGTTAAGAACGCAAGACAAGCCCTGCTGGATCAGGCCAAGGCCCATCTAGTCCAGCATTCCTTCCCCATGGGGGCCAGCCAGCTGCCCACAGGAGGAATGATGGGAGTGCAGTGGCGCCCTCCTGCCCTGTTCCTGAGCCACGGGTGGACTCGCTGCCTCAGATACTGGAGAAGGACCAATAGCACTGATGGCCTGCTCTGCCATTCACGGTTAATATTGCTGCACTCCCAGTAGCCAGCATTTTCTGGGCAGTTGGCAACATGTTTGCCTCCACCCAGATCAACAAGCAGCTGTACTACATCTTGTCATAGTGAATTCCATAGCTTATCCTCACACTGGAAGAAGAGGTCATTTCTCCTGTGGGGCACCTCCTTTGAAATTCGAGTATTATGAGAGGGAAGGGAATGCCTCCCATGCTACTTGCTCCACACCAGGCAGTGTCCTGTTCTTCTCTATCACATCTGCCTTCCTCTCCGTTTTTCTAAGCTAAACTATACCAGAGGTTGAAACATTTGCTCACAGGAGACTTGGTCCAGCTCCTGGCTCTCTTAAGTTGCTCCTTTCTGCATGCTTCCCATGTTCTAATGCCCATTCTGAGGTGGGTTGGCCAGAACTGTCATTCCCAGTGTGGCTGCACTACAGAGTTTTGTATAGAGGCAATATGATACTGGCAGTTTTAATTTTGATTCCCTTTCTCAAAAAAAAATCATGATTATACTTGGCCCTCACATAATGCTCTACATATATTATATGTAGAGTTTTTTCTACATATATTCCCTTGTAATCATGACAACAGCCCTGCCAAACAGGCCAGTGTCCTTATTCCCATATTCAGAGGGCAGGGGAGCTTGGACTGGGCTGAGAGAGAACAGCCTGCCCCTTGATTTGTTCTGTGTTTGGACAGTGCTCCTTCCAGACACCACTCAACACTCACTTTTTTTCTCTCCTTCAGTCTGCAAAGAGCCCCCTTACAAAGTGGAGGAATCGGGCTATGCGGGCTTCATTATGCCTATTGAAGTTCACTTTAAGAATAAGGTATGCATTAATCCTCTTCTCCTTTGCCCCTTCCACTTTTCATTTCTGTTAAAGAAGGGCGACCAAACAATTTTACCTGATTTCTCTTGGACGTGCCTAATTTTAATCAAGGTACAATTCTCCAGTAATCTGCTTGGGTGTTTTCTCTTCTGTTCTATGAAGGTGATGAAGCTGTTTGGTCTGAGTTGTGAGTCACAGTAACCCAGAGTTCAGCAGCTCAGTGAACTGCATCATATGTGAACCAGAATCCCTGGGTTGGCTCTTTCCTCAACAAGCCAAAGTAATCTCTGGATTATTATTTTTTAATCCTGCTTTTCAGGCAATAACTGTTCAATTTTGGGCAGTATTTAATGGGAAAGGCAAAGCATACTTCCTGGTTCCCATGTGATGCATATCAAACCACAAATGGAAGGTCGGTTTGTTTGGCCATGCAGAAGTGGTCAGATTTGTTAGTGAAAATTCTTTGTAATCAAGGCATGTGAACCAGCCTTTCATGTATTTCATATCCACTTTAATGTGTTCTTTTGTGGTTGGAATTCTGGAAAAACAAAGGGCCATCCAAATATACAACTCAAGCACATCTCTTTCTCCATTTTATCCTCAGTTGCACCTATTCATCCCTCAGACCCACTAAATACCAGAGGACTTTACAAAGACTTGGTCTTTCATATGTGGACATTGCCTACTGTTCCAGGGGCTGGAGGATTCTAATAGCTGGAGTATCCATGATTTAGTGGGAAAAGTGGCCAGATTGTGTTATTCCTCAGACCAATGTCTGGAAGATAAAATGGAGTCTAGGAATGTAGCGTTGCTCCTGCATGGCCAACCCATAAAGTTGAATGGCGCAACTTGGTGTGCACAGCAGACTGCCAGTTTTGCTTGGTCCCCCAGCTGCTTCTCTTAGTACATAAACCTAGTCTTGTTCCGAGCATCCTGACAAGTTCACTGCCAGGTGTCATAGAGGGCTACATGCTGGAAGTTTCCATAGGTTTGCAGTACAGCAGACAGGATGCTAACAGGAGTTAGTATGATGGCCTGCATTCTCAGCAGAACTTCACATTCTTTCTTGACTCCCCCTGTTTCTGAATAAAATTATTTGTGTTTACTTGGTGCCCTCCCCCAGCCTTCCCCAACTCGGCACCCTCTAATGCTGGCCTGCAACCAGCAGTCAGGGTGGGAAGGGCTTTCCTGAATCTTCTGTGATAGAGTATCTGAAAGACTGTTTGCTCCCAGCCATACCTGCCTGCACATTACCATCATACCTGCAGGCCGTGCCTTTAGAAGTGCAGTGGATGGTGCTCTCCAGGGGACAGGACATTGTCTGTGGTGGCTCGCAGCTACTCTTCCTGGAAAGATTCATCGTGCACTTTGTTTTCTTGTGGTAGTTGATGTTTTGGAGTTTGGGCCAGGTTGCACCTTTTCTCTGCTGTGTTTTATGCTGCTACTGCTGTCTTACAGGGTTTTTAAAGGAATTTTCTGTTGTAAAATTTAAGCAAAATGGGAACCATAAAGAGAAGGGGAAAGAACTGTGCATTGACTTTTAACAAAGGCCAGCTGCTGATTCATTTTGCACCTATTCTGCACATGTCACCCATTCAAATAGTGAGAATGTTGTTGGGTGCTTAATCAACTGAATTGTAGGGGGTGAGCATTTGCTGGGGGGCAGGGGGTAATGCAGTGGCAAGCCCCCATGGGTGCCAGGCTATAGTCAGAAACAGCTGGCTGTGGCATTTTCTTCAAACATGTTTGCCAACTGCTTTGCAATTTTGTCTTCAGGAGGAGCCAAAGAGAGTGTGCTTCACCTATGACCTGTTCCTGAACTTGGAGGGGAACCCACCTGTCAACCACCTCCGTTGTGAGAAGCTTACCTTCAACAACCCCACGAAGGAGTTCCGCCACAAACTCATCAAAGCTGGAGGGGTGAGTGGCTGAGGCATCCAATCTGTGTGCTGCCCAAGAGCAGAACTGTGGCCATATTTGAACACACAGGTGCTCGTTGCATGAGCCCTCCTAGCCAGGCCTGCAAGAAGACTCTCAGAGTGCAGCCTGCTGCATTGACCCATATCAGCAAACCAGAGCAGCTCTTTTGTCAAGCTGGTCATCTGCAGAGTCACCCCAACACCAAGTGTACTTTGCATGAAGGCAGAAGGGCAAGATACTGTCTTTGGGGAAAAAGAATCCCCCACTCACCCCAGTTATTGCACAAATTACAGCTCAGCGGGAATAGGGAGCTGTGTGTGGAGGAGGGACAGATGTCGCTGGGCGCACCCATCCTAGGTCAGAGCCTCCTGCCAGTGCTGCGCCCTCTCAGCGTTGCCTTCACACCACCTCAAGTTCTCTGAAGCAGCCAGTGAAGTGTGACTAATATCCCCAATCTTTCTTGGATTATTGCAGCTTTAATATCACAAGGGAGGTGTCTGCCCCCCCACACCCTTTTCTGCTTTCTTCCCCCTGTCACAGAGCAAGACAATAAAGAGGTGGGATATGAAATCTATACTCCACCCATAAATCTCAGAGCTAAAGCTTCCTGCAGCTTAGAAAACAGCAAGACGGCAAACGCTGTTCCTTTTCCAGTAAAGGTGGAAGGAAATTAAAGCTCATTTGTAAAGCATGGATTCTTAAGCTTGTCTGGCTTTCTTAATTGGAAAGTAAAATGAGCAGGGAGCTCTCCCTGAAAAGGAAGGCCAATTTCTGTGGTAGCTGCAGGAAGCAAAAAGAGGATCATGGTCAGTTAATTTTGACAATTACTCTCTGGGGTAGCCAGGCAAGGGGACCACACTTCAGGTGTGTGCTCCAGATTCTCACCTGCATGTTTTGTAATGACCAAGCAGTATGTAGATGTGAGCATTGTCTCACTCCACATGCAAGCTATGGCTTTATATTTCACTGTGTGCACAAAATATTAAGGCTGGGATTTTCTCCTGACTCAGAGTGGACAAGGGCAAATGTTTGTTCCACACGGTGCCAATTTCACTTCTCATCTAGCTCAGTCTGCTTTACCCTGACTTGGCAGCTACACTCCGGGGCTTCAGGCAAGGGCACCTTTCCCAGCCTTCCTTGGAAATGCCCGGGATCAAACTGGGAACCATGCGCAAACAGGGAAGGTCTTCTGTTGCTGGCTTCCCCCTAAAAGTAACATAGGGTTCCAGGTTTTCCGGTTCCATGTGAAGGATGGGTTACATGTTAGGACCATCAAAAGCCACCTGAGACTGATTTAGGTGTCCTGTAGGAATATCTGTTCCTTGGTCCATCAAGCTCTAGATTGTCCACATGGACTGGTGGAGCTCCCCAAGGTTTGGATGAGGGCATCTCGCAGCCCTGATTGCGCTCTGGTCCAGCGTTAACCAGGTTTGCAAGTTCTAGCATTGAGGACTCCCTTGCCCACCCATCCTTCCTAGGTGATGGTCATGCCAGAAGGTGCGGAAACAGTCTCCAGGCCTAGTCCCGACTATCCCATGTTACCCACAATCCCGCTGTCTGCCTTCTCCGATCCGAAGAAGACCAAACCATCCCATGGGTCCAAGGTGAGTCACCAGAAAGGGGTGTGTGGTAAAGAGACTGCATTTTCATGTAGTTTTACTTGGTCGTCCTGCCCCATTCTGGTTCCATCTGGATATGTTGGACAACAGCTACCTGCTTCCCAGGTTCCAGAAACTTTGGTTCTCATTCTGCACTGATGCAGGGAAAGCCTTCCACATGCTAGAATCGCAAATTCAAGCCAGAGCCCTTGTCCTTGGAGCAGTGCCCAGCTGTGTATCCCATTCCTTTATTTGGTTTCCATCCCATGGAGAAGGCATGGATGAGGTTGTATGCATAGCACAGGACAGGAGAAAAGATTCTCTCAGCCAGATGCCAAGAAATCCAGAAGCTGGTCACAAGTGGTGTTTAGAGTCCCCAGTTTTCTTGCAGCTATGCCTGAAGAATCCTTTTCAGCTACAAATTGTGAATTTACATAGTGGGACAAGGATGACTGACATGTGTTAATTCTCCTCAGGCATTAATGTCAAGATGTTGTTTTTCTAGTGCTCAAGAGCTCCCATCCCAGCAATTTGAGGGTGAAAAATCCCAATGTCTTGGTGGTATGAAGGAGTGTCATCTTGCATCCAGCCTCGATTCCTAGTTGAAAACCCACGAATTGGACTTAATGCTCCTCCTTCTGTTGCCATGTGCTGTCCCTAAATCTCTTGTTAGTTTCTCAGGATAGTAGAATTGCAGCTGAATTAGCATCTCTTGCTCTCTCACACACACATGCACAAACTTCCTTTTCCATAGGTTTGAAGACTGACACTGTATGCATTTTCCTCCCCACCTGCATGTCATCCCCCATCTTGGATTCCCTCCTGCCCCCACCCCTAAGGTGAATATAACCAGACCCCTGACAGCTTTCTTGCTCCATTTTTCCTTCCTGTCCTTGTATCTTGCTTTTTCATGCTTCTTCTGAGGTGTCAGCATCCTTTCTGAAACTTGTCATCACCCCCAAAGCAAACATGTGCCCACACCTCCTTTTTGATTATTACAAGAAGGGCCATATTAACAAAGTGCATATGTGTATAAATGAGAACACTGAGGAAAGCAAACACAGGAATGTGTAATTCAGCCAGAAAACTATCCCAGTGCATAATAAAGAGGCTCCTTGAATCAGCATAGCTGTTAGCACGACTTGTAAAAGCTGTCCATTTAGGTAACAGTGTGATATCCTTGGTCATGAGTCTGGAGCCCAAGTCCTATGAAGAATGCTCAAAATTGCTGGGTATATTTAGCCTGGAGAATGCTAGGAGGAGACATGCCATTAGACCTTAAATGTCTGAAGATCGTTCTTCCATACTCCAAAATGCAGAACTAGAATCAGAAGGTAGAAATTAGATGGAGGCAGTTTCCACCTAAACAATAAGAGGCTCGCTCGGTGCTTGTGCTGTGACCATAAGTGAAGGCCATAATTTTCCAGGAACTAAAAAGAGTTTAGTCCATTAGTTTGTGTTGTTTTTAACTTTGACCTCATCTTTTTAAATTATTACTGAAGTTTAGAAGGTTTAAAGTTTTATATTATGTATTCTGTATTTGACTTGATGCCTTAAAGGTCCCCTCCAGTTTTGTGATTTCATGTAATCCAGGGTTGAAACGGCTTGTATTCTTCCCCAGTGGAATGTGTTAGCTGCACCATAAGTACTGCCTGGATGGTCGAAGTCAACATCATTCTGTAAATATAACCTAACCATGTTTTCTTTTCCTTATATTTCCATCTGCACTTTGTTTGCTGTCCAGAGTTTCTTCTCTGGGTTTTGGGTTTTCTTGGCTTGCTTTACGTCTCCATCCTTTCCCTGATACTTAGGAGGCAAACAAAGACGGCAGCAAAGCCTCCAAGCCCCACAAGGTCACCAGGGAGCATCGTGAAAGGCCCAGGAAGGACTCGGAAAGCAAACACTCCTCCCGTGACCCCGACAGGGAACCAAGTAAGCCCGGCAAGGACTCCTCTCGGAAGCCGCTGGAGAACAAGGTGCCCAAGGAGGAGAAGCCCATTCCCAAAGCCGCTTTCAAGGAGCCCAAGCTGGCTCTGAAGGAGCCCAAGCTGGAGAACACATCTCCCAAGGGCGGCCCCCTGCAGCCATCCGAGGCCAAGTCTTCCAGCAAGCGGCCCCCCGCTGTGGAATCTCCAAAGCCCAGTGCCAAAAAGCCCAAGAAAAGCAGCTCCAAGGCTGCCAAGACCATCCCTTCCACCTCTCCACGGACCTCGTCATATGCCGAGAAGAAACCAGCCAAGGAGAAGCCCAGTGCCAAAGCAGAGAAGGTGAAGCTGGAGAGTGAGGCCAAGGTCATCAGGAGGCCCCTGGAGGTGGCGACTGCAGCTGTGGCTGAGGAGTCTAATTCGGAGGATGAGGCCTCTCTGAAATCAGAGGTGAGGACCCTCTGCCACAGGTGGGGGGATGAGGGGCCCTCCTTGGAATTAGAGGGAGTCACTTGGGATATGCTGCTCAGGAGCAGATGAAGGGAATTGCCAATAAGCCCCATGTCAGAGGTGCAAATTGTGTCCCCCAAAACAGCCTCAACAAGCCAGTTTGGAAAGAGTGCTGGCCAGCTCTTTCTTTTCTCTGCATGTGTGTTTGTATGTTTGTTTAAAATATTGATTTATGGGCCTTAATCCATGTAAGATCTTAGAAGGGTTTACATAAAGACAAGAAAACAACAATAAAAATCACGATAGCGGAATACAATATACAGTATATAAAATATATAATAAATCATTTTAACTAGTAAAACAGTTGGTAAATAAAAAGGTCTGGCCTGGTACTGAAATGAGTAAACTGTTGGTGCTAGGCGTACCTCTGATTCCACAGTTGGGGTGCTACCACTGAAAAGGCCCTTCCCCTGGTAGCTACTCTTCTAGCCTATTCCAAAGAGGACTCCCAGAGAAGCACCTCCTCAGATGATCTTAGGGTCCAGGCAGGTGTGTTTGGAAGGAGACAGTCCTTCAGCTGCCCAGGCCCTCAACCACTGAGGTCTTTATATGTCAACAGTAACACCTTAAGATAGTTGGCAACCATTGAAGCTAGTAATGGGTTGGCTTCATATGATCTATTACCCCTGTTGGGCTGGAGTTATTAAGCCACCTGGTAGTCTGGGCAGGATCAGGGGTGCCTCCCTGCTTCCCCTGCTTTCATCCTTCACCTGCAAGTTAGTAACTGGCCCAGGTCCCCACCAGCTTCGTGACTACCTGTAAGTAGAGCCACACTCTGCACCAGACATTCCCTCACTGCCCCTTCCAAATGCTGAATCTGGCCTGTGGGATTAAGGCTCCTTTCCATTCCTGGGGCACACTGCACTGCCTGCCCTTCCTGCTATTTGCATGCCTTCCTTTGTTTGCGTCCTGCCTGCCTTCCCAGATGGCCAAGGGCTGGGAAGGGGGGATGTGTGTTGGCAGTGAAAAGCAAGATGCTCCTTCCATGTTGGCACAGTTCAAAATCTTGCCTGACACAGGCAGAAGTGATGGATGTCGCAGTCACCCCTCCCTGCTGTCAGCAGTTCATTCTTCCATTTGCACAGAAATCGAGGCAGGCTGAACAGCAGTGCTCACTTTTCAGGAACTTTGGGATCCAAAGGCAAATGAGGCTTTTTGCCTAGGCTCAATATGTTGAGTTCATGTCAAAAAACACTGGGGAGGGATCTCAATGTAAGAAAAATCACCAGCAAAGTTTTTCTTAAAGTACCCTGTGCTAATTTTAGGATGCAGGACACCATAAGCCTGTGACCTGAGATATTTGAGAGGAAAAATTAGGGCACATTTAAAACCATTTCAATTTATGTTATGCAGACTCTTTTACTGGAACACTTTTTAAAAATTAAGGACAGTAGGGTTTACTTCCCTTAGATGTCTTAAATGTTAGAAATAAGCAGGTTCTGAAAACAATTGGCATGCTATGGATGCAGTCCTGTGCAAGCTTAGACTAAAGGAGGCCTGCAAATCTCAGGATCCTAGTTGGCCATGCTGGGCCTTTTACTGTCTAAACATGTATAGGGCTGTGCCCTAATGCAGCCTTCCCCAGAAGAACACCTAGCATCCTTCTGCCTGCAAACTATTCTGAAGACAAAGAACTACCTATGACAACCCATCAACTCTCTTCAGCTGAGACTGCAGAGGCAGCTTCCAAGTTTCATTGTCTTTCTCTGTTAGTTCCATTCCATGCTGCAGTGTAGATGCATTTTAGTGGCATTTATGTATCCTCTCAAACACCAGTTAATCATCTGAAAAACATTAAGTACACCCTAAAACTGCCGTGCTTGCCTGACATGGCATTTTACAGTGTTGGCATCAATTCCTTGTTTCTACCGAATTTGTAGAACAGAAACTTTTCCTTGTGTAAATAAAAGCATTGGAAAAATGTCGCACCCTATACCACTGGGGGATTCAGGAGCTGAAATCAAAGCTGTCTGGAGGGCATCCAGTTGGGGAAGGTGGATCAGAATTTCCCTTAAACTAGTTGAAATCCTTAGCTCTTGGATCATTGGTAAAGTGTCCTCGGGATGTAGCCTTTGTTCCCTAGCCAGAAATACAGGAAACCATAAAGACTCATCCCTGACTGAACATACCAAGGGTGGTGCCCCAGGGATCCTGCCAGTCAGCCCTACAAAATGACAGAAGAAGCACCTTGGGGTGGAGCAGTGACCGCATGGGTGTTGGGCTTTCCTCTGGTTCGGGTTCATCCCCTTAGCCCTCGCCCTCCCAAAACACTAGCAGGCCAGCTGGTTTGTTTTTCCTGTCTAAATGTCCGTAGGGTCACACCTGAAGAACTCCCTCACTTGAGGGAGAAGGGGAACGTCCGAAGGGTAGTGATGCTTCCTTTCCTTCTTTCCCCTTTCCACGGTGGTGGCAGTCTGCCCTGTCCAGCCCTTCCAGCTCCAGCTCCAGCTCCGCTTCCAGCTCAGACTCTGATTTCGAGCCATCCCAGAACCACAGCCAAGGTGCGTTGCTGTTTGGAGACCTCACGTGAGTCTTGGTGCGCCTTAAGCATATCATGCCCGAGTAAGAGGCAGCCCTTCATTGCAACGATTAAATCGTCTGTTGGTAAATTGAGCGTTGCTCTTCCTGAATGTGAAAAGTGCTGCACATGCATCTCTTCTTGGTCCTTGCCATGGTTGTGCTACAGCAGGGGCTTTCAGAGGGGCAGCCTCCAAGGAATGTCCCTCTGGAGGCAGCCATCTTGGAACAAGGGCCTCCCCAAACATCTCGGGACCCAGGCAGGCCCACGTGGGAGAAGATGGTCTTTCCAGCAACAGGTTCCCAAGCTGCGCAGGGCCTCACAGGTCACAACCAGCACATAGAATTGCTCCTGGAAACAGACCCATAGCCAGGAAAGCTCTAGTAAGAAGGAAGTCAAGCGCTCGCTGTAATAATTATTTGAATACATACTCGGCTTCCTTACAATAAGCTGGCAACCATTCAAAATAGGCACACCTCGGGAGAATAGTGTCCCAGGCCTTTGGAGGCCACTGGTTGCTTGCAGAGCCTGCACAATTTAGCTCTTGACCTGCACTGACCTCCTCTCTGGGTGGCAGAATTCTTCTGCTCACCCAGGTAGACACAGAAGAAGCAAAACCAAACCTCCCTCCCAGGCAGGCCCACATGGGGAGTTACCATGGGGGCAGCACTGGCCTTAAAGAATGACACTTGGAAGTCTGCAGCAAGAGCAGGGCAGGATAAACGAGTGCTAAACTTTTAAGGGTGCAAGGACAATGCCTCCGATAATTTTTTCAGAGTAGCAGCTTAGATGTGTTCTGACCAATGCTAATTGGTCAGATATAATTGAGTAATATAATTATTGATCTGGCCTTCCCCACTCTGGTGCCCATCCCAGATGTCTTAGCTGCAGCTCCCCTCATCCCCAGGCTGTGCTGGCTGGGGATGATAGGGGTTAAAGTCTGACACATCGGGAAGGACACCAGGGCGGGGAGCACTACACCGAACAGTAAATATTAACGCACATTATCTTGTTGCCACCTCCTACAGCAGCCCTGTAAGGTAGGTCAATGTTAGCCCCATATTGCCAGGCTTCAGTGCGAGGGGCACAGACTAGCCGAAGGGCAGCTCGTGCTTCACAGCAAAGAGGAGATGCAGATCTGCAGACTTCCCCGCTCACAGCTCTGTCTCTTGGCTGGAACAGCTGTTGCCACAATGTCAAAGAAGACTTGCATGGTAGACATTCGGTACATAAATGTGTGGGATGGATCTCGCATTGTGCAGGGAGCATGCCAGCCCCAGGCCACTGTGGCTGCTGTGCCTCTTTGGCATGTCCAGAGCATTTTACTGGCATTGTCTTACAGAGCCTTCTGGCAGCCTTGCGAGATGGGGATGCTCTTTTTCTCCCTGCTGCAGGTTGGGAGGAGGTCTGTGGCCGCCGAGAGAACATAGCTGCGCCAAGGCCGCCTCCTAGCATGGGTGGGGGACGGGGGCAGTGGAGGCTTCTGCGCATGCACACCTTAGGTGCTAGGCAGCCCCAGGAGCCTGAGGGTCTGTGAGAGGGGCCCATAAAACAGCAACCCCACATGGCGGCCCTCATGGAAGCACACTGAATACATTCCGCCTAGCCATGTTTCAGGCTGCAGGGTGTGCAAAAGCCCTTGGAGTGAGTTTCTTCTTGCTCGCTTCTTGCACTTGGCTGGCCCTGACTGCTGCAGGATGGTTCTGCATGAGGGGCAGTGCTAGATGGACCCTTGGCCACCATCCAGTGGGACTTTTCTGGCATTCTGGCAAGAGCTGGTATGGCTCAGAGGACAGGGGAAGAGTCACCCAGGGCCCCCTTGCCTCAGGGCAGGCTGTGGCATGCTCCTTTCCTGGCTGCTGGTCTTGCTGGGTGCCGCCAGGCTCTGCTGGCCAGCTGCATTGGGCTTGGTGAGCCTCCGGTTGCCCTGGCTTGCTCTAAGGGGAGTCCAGTTGCTCCTGAGGCACGGTGTCCCTTCGGGAGGGACTGGCCCACACTGGCAGTGGCCTGCAGCCCAAATTCTTGGCCAAGATACCCCCTTGAAATGGCCTTTTCCCGGCTTCTGACCCCCAGGGCCACTGCGTTCCATGGTCGAGGATCTGCAGTCAGAAGAGTCAGACGAGGACGACAGCTCTTCGGGGGAGGAGACAGCTGTCAAGGGTGCCCCCGTTGGCAGGAATGCCAGGTGAGCACAGCTTGGTGGCCTTTCCGGACAGGGCTTACTGGATCGTTTCACACACAATCTACAATCTGCAATTTAGCGGTTAATGTTCCAGGGAAATGGGGCCTAAAATTGCAGAACTCCTAAAGGAGCAGCCCAGGGGCTTCAATGGACTCTTCAGCTTATCACAAACAAAAAGGCCCAGGGGGTTTTACATAAGGTTGAATGTGCAGTTTCAGCTTCTCTAAGTATCCTGGTTGCTTATGGATGTGATCAGGGTGGGCAGGAAGTAGATCTGCAGGTGACCTGTACTCCAACTCCCATTACTCCTGACCATTGGCCTTGTTGGTAGAGGCTTCTGGAAGTGCCAAACATCTTAGCCCTGGAGAGAGGGTTGTTTTACATGGTTCTACATCATTGGAGTTGACCTTAAAAGGAGGGCCCTGTACACAGCCTTGGGGGCCCCGCCAGAGGGAAAATGATGCAGTGATGGCAATAATGATTATAATGGGCCTAAACAGCTTGGGGTCCCCGCCATAAAGCAATGCTTCCTCTTTTGGTAGAGCCCTTTTTGATGTGCCGTGAGCAAAGACAACTGGACAGGCGAACAGGAGAGAGGGCCTTTCTCAGCTGTGGGACTCCATTCATCTCCTTGTACCCAGGCTATTGATCTTCCTGGCAGCAGCCTCTTTAAATTCTAGATTTTCGAGCAGGGCCAGACAAGTGCTTGTGTGTGTTTGATATCCTATTTTAACTCCTGTGCTCATGATTAAAGGAGCGGTGGTGACTCTTTGCTCCAGACAATGCTTTTGTTTTGCTTTTCTGAAGCATCTGCCCATACTGCTCTTCCTCTGGAGCCTGCTCAAAATGTTAGAAATGTTCCCTGCAGGGAGGAAACACTGAAGCTTCCTCAGGTGGAATCAGAACCTTGGTCCATCCAGCTCTGTTACCAGTCGCTGAAACGCTCCCACACATGTTGTACTCATGTGTGGCATGACAACACCTGAGTGGGGCAGCCAGCCTCTGGCACGCACACTTGACAGGTAGTCTCATGTGCCCCGATGCATCTGCAACCCCCACGGCAGGGGGCTTAGTCCCGCCTGGCTCACAGCCTGGCAGGAGATCCCCGACTTCCTCAGCACTCAGCCGTCTGAACAATTCTCTCTGCTTTCTCTCCCACACCCCAGCTGTCAGTCGCTCAGAGGAGAGCGGTGAGAGTGCTGGGCTGGAAGATCCAGGTTCTAGTCCCCACCTTCTGTGAAGCTCACTGGGTGACGTTGGGCCTGTTTGTGAGACTCGGCCTCGCCTACCTCACAGGGCTGTTGTGAGGATAAAAGGGAGAGTTGGATCATGTAAGGCACTGAGGGCTCCTTGCAAAAAGAAAGGCGGGTATAAAGGTGGTTGGTCTTGTTATAGGGCCCCAGAGCTGCCAGGGGCCTGTCTCTGGCAGTCACCACCCAGGTGTGCCCTTGCTATGGGGGAGCCTTGCCTCCAGCCCTGCTATGGGGGGGCACCTCTGCCACACCCTTCACCCTTGCAGGATCCCTGGCAGGCAGGTGCAGGCAGCTCTCTCTTCCCAGGACTTGCTGCTGCCACCACTCAGCCACCTGCCAGCCAAGCCAACAGCTCACCCTGCATCCCATCCTCAGGCTGCTGCAGCTTCTGCAGACTTGGGCTCTCATGCAGTGGTGGTCCTCCTCGCCCGTGCGCACTTTCTCCTTGCTGTGTTGTGTGGGGCTACCTCCCTCCTTATTGTTCCTTCTAACTCTCAGCATCTTCCCCATGCTCAGCCACAGCGACAGCGACAGCGACAACAGTGCAGACTCATGCCTCCCCAGTCGGGAGACCCCTCCCAGCCAGAAGCCGCCCCCGCTGAACAACAAGGTAACAGCACTGGATCAAGGCCCCAGTATGGGGTGCTTTGCGCAGCAAGCTGCCCTCCTCAGCTTTGGACTCTCCTGGCTGGAGTAGCCAGTTTGTTGTCTCAACCAAACCAAAACCTCCAGCTAGGTTGACCCAGGGGTGCTGGGAGGGAAGTCCAAGAGGGAAGTCAAAAAGCCCCACCATTCCTGGCTTGTTCTGACAAGCCAGAGTTACCCAAAAGTGAGTTCCCAGTTTTGATGTAATGGCCAGACTAGTTTTCAGTCAGGACGGTGAAGTTTCCTGTCTCCACCCGGCAGCCACGTCTGAGGATGAGAGCTGAGACACCCTTGCCTGGGCTGGTCCACGTGGTGCTAAATTGTGGTTTGGTAGTACATCTGAACCGAGTGAGTGCGTGCATGCGCCCAAGTACACAAGGGTGCTGTGGAGATGGGTCCAGCCCTAAGGGGGGCTGTTTGAAATGCTTGCCCTGGGTTGCAGGGTGACCTCCCTACCAACCATGTGAGCCAGGCCATTATCCCCGTACCACGTGGGAATGGGCTGAGCTGACAAGCAGCTTACCCAGGGGCACCCAGCAAGTTTGTGCCCAAGCTGAGACCAACAGGAGAAGCAGGTGCCTCATTTGCTTCCTCCTCACGAGCTGAGACCTGTGTGATGGGCTGGTCACATAGGGGGCTCCAGCAAGGTACCCTCTGTGCATCTCTGCAGCAGAGGCCCACTTTCTCAGTTGGGGGTGGGCAGGACTGAAACCATACACACCCACACACGCCCTGTATTGGAAGGACTTCCTGCGCCATGCCCATTTTCTGATGGAAGGTTGAGCAGGAAGGTGTGTTCTGCTTCCGTGCTCCTCTGTGGACCACACACAGTGCTTTTGCTCTGCTCAGCAGCATGAACCCAGCTGTTCCCTCCCTCCATTCTCTGCCACCACCCCAACTGGTTCTTCTGCCTGCTTTCAGGTCCCTGGGAGAAAGAGCCCCGAGTCCTGTGGCAAGCCTGAAAAAATCTTGAAGAAAGGGACCTACGATAAGGTATCCCCCCGGATAGGGAGCTTTCGGAATGGGGAAGGAGGGAGGCCACATGGTGGGCAGTGGGGGAGGTAAACCAGCCCCACAACATGGTCCAGGGCCCACTTCTCTTGTGGGGACAAGGGGCTTCTCCCCTGGCCTGCTGTGGGCTGAAGGACTTGGATAGTGGTTGCCTGCCAGTCCCCGTTTTCTGTGCATGCCGAGAGAGACTCCATATTTGGTCTTGGTCACTGCTGGGAGGCACACATCTCCAAAGGACTCTGCCAACCTTAGATCAGGACAGCAGCGTGGTTTCCTGCAGGGGTTCCCTCCAGTGGGCAGGGCTGCTGGAGGAGCCGAGGGCAGTGTAGTCCAGATGCAGAGCCTCTGCAGGCTGGAATAGGGCGGACTGTGTGCCAGAAGTCCCGCCTTGCTGCCCAGAAGGTTCAAGCCATCCTGGGGGCAGAGCCCTTCAGAATGACGGGAGCCACTTCCTGTGCCATTGGGTCAAGCAGCTTGCTCTCCTAGCCTAGTCTTGCCTCCCCGGTCCGGTTGGAACCTGCCTGCCAGGCTGCTGCTGTGACCGCCAGTCCTTGAAAGGGTTGGGGAATGAAACAGTGACCCTGCATGTGGAGCACAAGCCCTGGGTCCCCTCCCCCCCTGCTGTTTTCAAGGCTGGATCCGGCACTGCTGGCTGGACGCATCTCTTTTAACTGGTCAAGGACAGCCCCAGGGAGCGCCCCCGCCCCCATGGTGCAGGAGTTCCAGTTTGTTGTTTTATTCCCTGCTAGCACAGGAGGAAAACTTCTCCACTGGTCAGCTTGCATTAACTTGGATCTCTGCTGCTGTTTGAGTGCTTCTGGCTCCTGCAGCAGGGTTCTGGGGTACCCTGCGTGAGGGGCAGGGTCGCCTGGGGCCATTCAAGCTCAGCTCACGTGGCAGAGTCCTCCATCTTCTTGTCAAATCAGTCCCTGCCTAATTTCACAAGGAGCCCCAGTGTGGTTTTCTGCTGGCTGATCCCCTTTGTTCCTCTCCAAGGCCTACACGGATGAGTTGGTGGAACTTCACCGGAGGCTGATGGCTCTGCGGGAACGGAATGTGCTTCAGCAGGTACAAAGCTGCTTTGGTCAGAGGCGGAAGAAAGGCCAGGCAAGATGCTGGCTCCCCTTCTGCGTGAGGAATGGGATCCCTTTTATTCTTAGAATTGTCTTGTATAAACAACTTTTGCAAGCTTCCCTTAGTAACCCACACATAAAGCTTCAAGCTGGGCAACACTGTATTAAAGGTACACACGATCTAATGTTAGTGAGCTTCTGCATGGCCTGAAGGGCCTGATCCTGCCCAGTCTTGGAAGCTAAGCAGGGCCAGGCCTGGAAGAGGTGCCTTAAATGTAATGGACTGCCCAGAGAGCTGCAGGTGGTATAGAAATGCAGTGTAATGATAATGGAATGCGATGACGATAGTGCCATCATGCGACTGCCAAAAAGCTTACTCAGTTAGTACTACCTTGAAGTAACAATGTGCCCAGGCATGTTAATATCAATAAAATAATTATTTTTATTAATATCAATTAATATATAATAATGACATAATTATTAATATCAATAAAATAATAAAAAATCAATAATAAAATGTCAATATTGTGACCATCACATTAAAAACTTACCCTTTCTCCGCTTCCCATCTGTCTCCCTTGTCCAGTCTGCTAGCAGGTTAGTTGAGTTTGTTACGTATGGCAAATGTCGTATGCACTGTATCCATTTCCAAGTAAGAAATTGAAGGACCCTGCCTGGAGGTCCCAGATATCTGAATGCATGCTAGGTGTGGCCAAAAAAGGCAAGAACACAGGTGGCCAACGGGCGATCCAGTCCCCTGCCTGGCAAGATGGTCCCTGAGGTTTTTCCCTGTGTTCCCTCCTTTTTTCCCAACATTTTTCTTCTTACACTGAAGACCCCTTTTGTCAGGGCAGGGAAGGCATCTGTTCTGGAAAGCTGAGCAGTTGGGGGTTGTGAAACATTCCTTCCTGCTGTGTAGTGGCGACCAACAGGAGAAGCTTTTTGGCTGTGGCACCTGATGAGCAAAATTCTGTCCCAATAGCGGCTTGCCTGGCACCTCTTCTCACATCCTTACTTTCCTGGATGCTTCCTAAGAGAGCAATTCTGGCTAATGGGCAGGAGGGAAGGAAGGATGGAAGGAAGCACAGACAGGCGGACAGACAGTGTGTCTGAATTGCTTTCAGCCTGCCTTTTCTTCTCTTTTGTTCTTCCACCATTCTTTTGACCCTGTGGTTCTATAGTTTTTATGGTGGGGTTGAGTAAATTTTATTGCTTGGCCTGAATTCCCCAGAGCATTTTTCCTGAAGTGAGCTGGGGGGTGGCAATGCAACAAATAACGTAAAAGAGGACTGTCACTGGATGTGGCCTGTTCAGAAGCTTCAGCTTGTGCAAAACACAGCAGCCAGATTAATACCTGGGACCAGGAGGCCTGAACATGCAAAACCAATGCTGGCCTGCTTGCACTGGCCGCTTGTGCACTTCCAAGCACAATTCAGAGTGCTGGTTTAACATATAAAGCCTTACACACCTTGGGACCACCATACCCAACAGAACACTTCTCCAACCTGCTTTACCCAGACGCTGCAGTCTACATCTGGGAGGCAACAAAGAGCAGGACTTTCTCAGCAGTGGCTCCTCTGAGGATGCATTTACTTCCCCACTGCGGTCCACCTGTTACTGGCATTATCATCTCTTTAGTGCCCTCTGTTCCCAGGAATTTAATGATGTGCATGTAACACTGGGATGGGTCAGCTATTTTAACAGGCCAGGCTTTTATTGAATTAGTTTGAGTTATTAAAATGTCTTGCATTGGAAACTTATGCTCTGCTTTACTATATTCATATTTTATTATTGCACGGGTATTTTATTGTCGAATTATTATTCCTTTGATGAATGGATGTGGTTCACTTAAAGAGCTTTGGGTATTAGGTGCTATAGAAATGAAATAATGAGTATTAGTACAGCAGGATCTCCATATCTGTGAGGGATAGGGTCCAAGCCCCCAGCAGATGCCTGTAACTGCTTCTGCTTATGGTAGCAAACACTACATTTGTGGAGGTTATGGGCAGAGGACCACTGCGCAAGTGGAAAAACCATGAATATCGCTAGAGTCTTCACGCCCTGAGAGACAAAACGTAGGAACAAGGAAAAGAGTATGGTGTTCCCAAACAGAGTGCATAATTCCCTAGGGATGTTCACAGTTTTACCATAGAGGTATTTGTGTTTTTTTCCACTTTTGTGGACATCCTAAATCATGTGAAGGGCCAATAGTCAACCTTGTTTAAGTGAAACTGGTAATGGAGACAGCAGATAACAAGGTCCTGCTGTATTAATATTAAAGAGCAAGCAAGTGTAAAAAGACAACCTGACTTCTGAGAACTTAGTCTGAACCTGGAGAGGAGAGGGACTGCCCATGTGCAATGAACACCACTTTGTGGTGCTGCTCTTTTTCTCCTGGTTAGATCGTCAACCTCATTGAGGAGACGGGCCATTTCAACGTCACCAACACAACCTTCGACTTTGACCTGTTCTCCTTGGACGAGACGACCGTCCGCAAGCTGCAGAGTTACCTGGAGGCTGTGGCGACGTGACCTTTGGCTTCTGAGGCTGGACGCTTTGTTTTGGAAACCAGAATTCCCATCGTGCTGGTATCAAGAAATGGACCCATGGACCTCGGCCGCTGCCTTATCCTGTTGATTTGCCTGAAGCACTGCCTCAGGGCTCAGCCATGCTCTAGAAACACGCTGCCCCAAACTGCACTTCTGCTCTTGGGCCTCTGCCACGCCCTTGTCCTCAGCAATTCTGCCCTCCCTCGCTTCGGCAGGTTGCTTGAAAACTAGTAGAGTCTGAGCCATGAGGACCCTTGCCGCACCTCTGCGCTGTTCTCATTGGTTCGTTTTCATTTGGTTTTTTTAAATTCCAGCTTCTTTTTAAAAACATTTTAGAATGAGACTCTGCAGGTCTGTTTTTAAGAATACACTTTCCAGGTGCCCTGCCAGCACCAGATCGATCCAGTTGTTCCTTCTACAGACGGACAAACCAGCTTGCAGTACGTGAGGCTTCTTCCACCCTCCCCCCGCCCCTGCCCCCGGCCACCTGCCCCCAGTGCACCTGTTCTGTTCCTGTCCTGCTGCACAGAGATGCTCACGCCACATCAGCACAGCAGGCCCATGGGGTGCCCTGGGGCTGCCGAGAGACTTCCGCCTTGGTAGGGCTGCTGCAGTTCCGGTGGACAGTGGGCTGCCACAGGGGTTGACGCCACAGTGCCAGCCCTTCCAGGCGCGAGGAGCTGAGCTTTCGCGAGTAGCAATACGCTGGCTTGGACCCACTCCTGTGAGCACGGGAAAGATTTCCTGGACTTGCTCTCCCTGAAAGCACTTGCTGTCTTGCATTTGAGGCTTTAGATAAGGCACTGGATCTAGTCCCTTAAAGAACACCTCGGCTCTTCCCCATCTTGGTTTTTTGATCTGCTTTAACTGTAAGGACTACACTGTTGTATGCTGTCTATTTTATATATATATTATATATGTGTGTATGGTGTAAGAAGGGCCTAATTGGGTCTTGAGGTCTCAGAGGGATGTGTAAGGGGAGGGTCAGTTAATTATTTGAAGAAAGTAGGTCATGCGGTAATGTCAGAGTGGACCTGTGGGCAGTGGGAGTCATTCAAATGCTTCTGAGGAAGCTTCTTAGCATCCAGAAGCCAAGTAAACAGCCCCAGCGCCAGTTGCTCTGTGCTCTGCAGTGGCTTCTCCCCTCCACTGCCTTCACAGTGTTTCAGAGAACTTTTTGCCAAAACACATTCTCCGTGTTGCTGTCTCGTTCCCACACCCTTCAACCTCTGGGCTACTAGTCAAGCTAAACCAGCAGAGTATTTCCCTCTTCTGGGATGTTCTTTCTTCTTTTAATTCCTTGCAAATCCCCTGGGTCTTGGAAGCAGACTTTCCCAGGTGCTGGATAACTCCAGCTGGGCTATTTGTAAATATTCCTTGCTCAATGTGTTGGGGCAAATTAGTTGTGGGAGTTAGAAACCCTAGTTATTAATCTGAAAAATCAGAAATGTGTCCCACACCAGCCTCAGCTTCAGCCTTTTTGAGGTACCGCTCGCCTTCATCCAGAAGGTTTTACAGAGTGATCCTTTACATAGTGGGGTTTGCTTCCAGGAAATGGGGTACAGTGTGGCATTTTCAAGCTTTTGCCCAACTTGGCATACGTGAGTGGGGAAGAAACCATTTGCTTGCTTTGAGCTTTCTTAGGATTCCTAAAGTGAACACTTGACCACGGTGGGGTGGGGGGGGGTCCTCTTTTCATTCAGGTGGGGAATGCTCAGTCCTTCGGTGTGATCTTCCCCTTGACCCCTTGTCTTACCATGCAAATGTTGCCACTAAAGAGACTGACCTGGCAATAAGCTGTACCTGGGTTAGGTCATGTTGACCCCAGTCCCTGCCTGAACTTTGCTTTTCCCTGCCTTCCTATTTGTTTGGGCCATTGCTTGTTTGTCATTGTGAAATGCCCAGTTTCAGCACTGCTTTGCCCAGCCTCTGCTGTGGAAATTCCAGGGCAGGCCATTCCAGAGGAGAGCAGCCAAGTGGAGGAAAAGTACCTACTGAGACACTCCCGGACTTGCTGTTCCCAGTACGCTCCAGTTCAGTGCATGGTTTGCTGGGCAGCCTGCTAGTGAGGCCTATTTTGCACCCTGGCTGCGAACAAGCACCCAGAGGGCATGTTGAAGCCATCCTCTTGCAAAGCGAAGTGTGTGGCTCTCTGGCCCCTTCTCCCACATAATGGCCCCCACCCTTGCTTTTATCACACACATGCACCCCGTCTGGGCAGAATCCTTCTGCTCAAGGGTTGTTTGCCTGGACACTTGGGGTTTTATCCTTGAGAGCAACCGTGCAACAAATAGGTGGAGAATTCCCTCCCTTACGCCTCCTGGGGTTGAATCCACACACTTGGCCACATCTTGGGTGTGCGGAGCAGCCCTGGAGGTGAAGCGCTGATGCCGGGGGATGCAAGGATCAACTGAGCGGGGGGGCTGCTTCAACTTAAAAAAAAAAGGCTTTGTAGACGCTTTAGAATGATGCCCCCATGCACACCCCCATGTCCTCTGCCCCAAAGAGCACTGGTGACCACTCAGGCCATCAAAACTTAGCCTGTTTTTGTCCTTTTGTGTTTTCAAATAGCTGGTTTCGGAGCTTTATGATTGGTCAGGAGTTGCTTGATAAAGCGTGGACTGGCTCCCTTTTTCTGTTGTTGACCCTTTCTTAAAGTGGCTGATGTGTTTGTGGGTCAATTGTGGTGTCCTTGTAGTGAGCGAGAGCGTCTATGGGTAGCCGTAAGGCAAGTGGGAGATCGGGGGGGGGGGGGGGGGCGGAGTCGCACTGCTCCTGTACCTGCCCTGAAGGAAAGCTGAGGGGGTGTCTTACGGAACAGAGGGTGTCGTTCCAAATGGATGTCTTCTCTGCGCTCTGTCCCTCCCCCTTCGACGCTGTCTTCCTTAAAACTGACAGAGCTCTCATCTGTCTTCCTGTCTTTCTAATTTTGTAATTTAAAGAGCCCATTTGAGGAATGCTGGAATGGATCGTGGTTCTGCTTGAGTGAATCTGCTTCTCTGGGCAGGTCCATGCATGGAACTGGGCACCGGCCAGTAACGTAATGTAGTTGTGAAGTTTTTAGAGGTTCTAAAGCTGTCGGGGATGCAAGGGAGGGATGGGACACCCGTGGTTTAAGTAGATGTGAAAATTTAGACATTCTAAATCTGTATTTCCCTCTATGGTTCAAATTTTCTTTCAACTGGGAAAGTTTGGGGGAAGCCCCAGTATATGCAATGATGACACTTCAGGGCGTGACGTGTGATCTTGGCAGGCAAAATACAGTTCCCTCCAGGCATGATTTATTTCCGATTCTTGCTTCTGGGATGCAGTGGTCACATTTGAACAATGATGAGAAATGCATTCAGTATTGGAACAGCATCCGAATTGCCACGTGTCTGGCCCACTGTGCCTGCAGGTGGCTGGATAAGGATACTGTTATAATATGTGATTCATCAGTTTGCTACATGCTATTAATAATTCTACAGAGAGATGTGTGGGAAGGGGGCATTTTTAAACAGTAAAAGAACCAATGTGGACTAGCAACCTCGAGGTTCCTCACATGTACTTATATGTGGTTACCTGGAAAAGCATGGCTTGGACAGAGAGAGAAAAGCAGCCCTCACAGTCTCAACTGAATTTTGAAGAAATTGATGTTTAAAGGGCGTCTGCCCTTCCTTGATTGGAGGAAAGAGCCCGGTCTTGTCCCAGAAAATATTAAATAGCTAACAGTGCAGTGAACTGCTTGAGCGGAGGAGAAAACAGAAATTGAAATAATTTACACTTCTGGTAAGCTTAGAAGGAAATGTCCATGTTGTGCAACTAATTACACCCATTTTTTCAGAGAGAGTATTTCATAAGGTTTAAGAGTTTTCTCCAATTTCCCTCTTCTGTGTGTGGCCTAGTTTTCTCTGGGCTGCTCACCTCCAGTGCAGGTTTTTGCTTCCCTGATATTAAACAAAAGTGTTAATAACTACTGTGTGCTGTAAAAATGAATTTCTAGGAGCACTTTTTTGAGCATGAGAGCCTTGGAGCCCACTTTGGCAAAGTGAGCCATGTCCTTCCAGCTCTGCCATCTTTCCTTTTAAACCACTGCACAGTCGCATTTCTGCATCCAGAGTCTTCTAAACTGGAAGCATCTTTCCGTGGCTTTTGGCACATGTTACCAGTCAATTGGGATTGAGGCACAGAATACATCCATTGCAAATGCCTGCTTTCTTCCTTGTTTTTGCTCTGGCACGTTGAGGCCAAAGAGCCCAGAAAAGAGCAATTCGTTTGCTGCATTTGCATTCAGTGAAGACGCTGCTGGTTCAGCAGTTCCATCTTGCTGAGAATCTAACATTCTCTCCTGTTCAAAAGTAAATAAGCAAGGTTCCAGTCCTTAGGGCCGTCAGTGCTGAGGTCTTAAACCAAAAGGGCTGACTAAGGTTTTCTGTATATTGTGCCTGTCTCCCATGGCTAGCAAAATTAGATTTATGCAAATTAAGGGAATTTGCATATAATATATGCAGGTAGCAGTATTCACACCCTCCCCCAAGACAGACACACACACAACTTTTTATTTAATTGCAAGGTACAAACAGTCCTTGTTCTCCTTGGAATAATAGTAATACATACTGGTTTTTAATTTGGGGTGGTGGGGGCAGTTGTAGATGTGTTAGGCCTTGAGAACAAAAACAGATGAGAGTTTGCACTCTTGAAGGATGTGAACAATCCTCTCTCTGGGTTGTATTTTTAGGCTGTGTTGTGCCAGAAGCAAAGGTATGAAATACCTGGTCCTTGTATAGAGAATATTAAATTGTATTGGGGAGAGGGATTTCTTTGCTCAGGTGTAAGAAATAAACCTGGCCCAAGACTCCACAATGAAAATGGAGGAAAAGGCGTGAGGTGGGTGGGTGGGTGGGTGGGTGTTGGTGGGAGAAAAAATGTTTGTAATAAGTTATGGGAGCGTTTTTTTTTTTTTTGTCCTGACTTTTAAACTTTTTGTTAAATTTGTGAAATTTTATGGAGGGGTTTTATAGGGAAAAGAAAAACATGAAATAAAGGTGAGAGTCACAAAGGGCATGGTGGTGTGGTGTTTCTCTTGGCACAGGTCCAGGTATCATGGGGCTTGACAGGAGTGCCTGCCAGCCTTCCAAGGGCAGTGCACTCGCCCCCTGCTCTCGGTTCCTTTTTGTCCTGACCTCTGGGGTGAGAGGGAGGCCAGCAGGAAAAGCACGCACTGGCAGGCAGGAAAAATGCAGACCTCCCATTTGATAGGTGGAGCGTTATTCGGACTGAGGGCTGCCAGGAAATTAGGAAGTAGAAAATTTGCACTTTTCATCTGTCGACAGCGTTCCTGTAAGCCGTCCTGAGCCGTTCGTCAGAAAGGACAGGATATAAATGTTTGTTTAAATTAAATATTAAAATTAAATTCCTTTCAGCTTTTTTTAAAGCCTCCCTCAAGCAGTTTACAAGGATGAAAGTTTAAACCTTCCTGCCCCCCTGCCTTACAATCTGAAAGACATGACAAGGTGAAAAAGGTTTGGGAGGGAAGAGGAAGAAGCAAAACTCGGGCATCACTTCTTGGTTTCAGCATTCAGCTGGGTGTTCCTACTGATGTGCCCCGCAGCCGTCTGTTCTCTGGCAGGTGGATGGAGCCAAGCTGGTTTCCTGGGGAGAACTTTAAAACAATGAAACCTGAACACAATAAGACACACAAGCATTGCAACAATTTGGTGCTTCAAAAGGTTAAAGAATAATTTATTCACACCTCTTTCTGCATGCCAGGGCAGTGGGGTGGGGGCCATTACAGTTCTCTAGAGAGCGCATTTCTCCTTATGCAGGAGCAATGCAAGAGAAAAGGGGCCAAAGTGGCATCCCACAGGCCTCGATGCCCTGAAGAAGCAGGTCTCTTGCAGGGCGTAAGACTTGCTCAGAGTCAGTGCCTGAGGATGTGGTGGGCGTGAATCGCCAGTAACGGACCTCTGTGAAAAGGGCCCTGCTGGTCAGACCAAGCCTGTCTAACCTGTATCCTGTTTCCAAACATTTCCAGGCAGAGAGATATGGAACAAACCCCAGAAAACCACCAGACAGTAGGTGTGGGGAAAGGGGGTAAGATGGAAGACCCCAGAGGACTAGGTTGTCCCCCACCCAGCCAGCCTGGTTCTCTGGACTCCTGATAAAAACACATTAACCTCAGCAAGTGCAGATGTGCCTCATTCCTGTGTATATTGTGACTGGGGTGCTTCCTTCATACTGTTACTTCTTTGAAGGATTTTGTTTTACCTTGCTCTGACTTCAGCCACACACACAAAAGTTCTTAATTCGGCTTACCAAATGTCAGTTGTCCTCAGGTTCCCAGTCTAAGGCTAGGAATAAGGATTTTCCTGGCAAATAATCACAGGTGAGCTGAAATGCAGGGGTTAAGAACAAGTCACCTGCAGTAAGGGCTTTTTACAACATGGTATCCTGGTGTGGATTTTTTGGGGTTTTGTATTTTTGGCCACACCCACGTTGCCTTCAGCCTCACTCACCCCTGGAATGTGGCTCCCAAGAACTTTGTGGGAATGGAGTTTGGCCCTTGGACTGAAAAAGGTCCCTCACCACTGGATTAGATACATCAAGCAGCAACATGCGTACACATTGCTGTTCAGGATGCCTGCTAGCTAACTGTGTGCTTTTTCAAGATACTCTCTCACATTTTCCTCTCCTTGTGTTTTATTGCCCCTACCCTTTAAGGTTTCTGACACCTGCTCCCACCCCATTTTTGGGCTGTTCCACAATCTCTGGGGTTCTTTCAAACTGCTACCTCCATTTTGCCATTTGGGGCAAATAATGGCACTTACAGCTTGAAAGTTGGAAACAGGGAACATTTCCCTGTAGCTAAAGATGTAGCTTATCAGGGTGAGTGCTAAACTGCAGCCTTTCTAGATTGGAGGATTTTTATTTTGAGGGGTATTCAGCGATGCAGATCCCAACTGCAGGTGGAAATGGTCCAATACCACAATTCAGTTACCAAAGATTTTCATGAGAACAGGGCCCCAGAAGTGGAACAATATGGGAGAAGAATTTTAAATAATACAGAGATGGATAAAGATGTGCTTACTTTCTAGTGTTCAGCTGTATGGCCCTTGTGGGTATGACAAAATTCCCAGAAGCAAGACAGGAAGGATGAAACCATAAGGGACCCACATGTGTTGTGCAAGCAAAACACCCTGTTAATTACAACCACCACTTCTCTGCTTCCTTAAAAGAACAATAAGTGTACACACACTATTCCAAAAGGTTGCTTGTACGCAAAGATTGGTGATTCCATTGTTTTAAGCAGCAACAGAACATTTGTTCAGGAGAAATGGCTGTAAAGCATAAGAGGGGCATTATGACAGCTCTGCAAGGGCCAGTCCATGGTTTGACCTACACCAGTGTCCTATTTCCAACAGCACCCTGATAGGAAGCTTGGAGCTGGTAGTTTGCAGGTAGGTCCAGCTCTCCTCAGCATTTCTGTTAATTATGTGGATGAAGAAGTGCAGGGAACACCTGTCAGATTTGCAGCTGACACAAAACTGGGTGGGATAGCATAGCTAATGTCCTGGAATAGAGAAACAAGATTCAAGGTGATCTTGATAGGTTGAAGCACTAGGCTGAAAACAACAAAATGAAATTCAGTGGAGATAGTGCCACGTTCTGCACCCAGGAAAAGGGAACCAAATGCATCGCTACAAGATCGGGAACATTTGGGTCAATAATATTGGAAGTGAGAAGGATCTTGGCATTGTTGCATATCACAAGCTGGATACAAGTCAAAAATGTGATGTGGCTGCCAAAAGGGCAAATGCTAGTTTGGGGTACATCAATAGAAGTATCCCTTCCAAATCCTATGAAGTGCTAGTTCCGTTTTACTAACCACTGGTTAGGCCTCATCTGGAGTCCTGTGTCCCGTTCTGGGCAGCACAGTTTAATAAAGATGCAGACAAGCTGGAAGGGTCCAGAGGAGGGGAACAGAGACTGGAAACAAACATAGAAACAGAGCAAGTCAGAAGGGGCCTCCCGGCCCATCTAGTCTGACCCCCGGCTCCAGCTGGCTCAGCTCACAACATGCCCACCACGTGCATGTCCAGCCTATCTTTGAACACCCGCACCGATGGGGCCTCCACCACCTCCCGTGGAAGCCCATTCCACACCCTTGGGGTCCTGTCAGGAAGTGCTTCCTGAGATCCAAATTGAACCTTGGTTCCCTGATCTTTGCTCCATTGGAGTGCGTCCTGCCTTCCTCTGCAGGGGAGAACAAGTCTCTGCCCACTTCCATGTGACACCCCCTCACATACCTGTATGTCACCAACAGATCCCCTCTAAGTCTCCTCCAGTTCCCTCAGTCTCGCCTCATACGGCATCCCCTGCAAACCGGCCTCCAACCTTGTGGCCCTACGCTGCACTGACTCTAACCTGGCTATATCCTTCCTGTAATGAGGGGCCCAGAACTGAACACAATACTCCAGTTGCAGGCACACCAGAGTTGTACAGAGTGGTAATAATACCCCTCTTGATCTAGAAGCCACACTTCTGGCTATGCATCCAAGGGTGGCGTACGTCTTCTGGACTGCCGTGTCTCACGACTGGCTCATGTCCAGCTGCAGTCAACCAGCACCCCGAGGTCCCTTTCACAAGTGCTGCTCTCCAGCCAATTCTCCCCTAACCTGTACTTATGACAGCTATTCCTATGCCCCAAGTGCAAGACCTTGCACTTATCCACATTGAACGCCATCCTGTTGTCTCCTGCCCACTTCCATAGTCTGTCCAGATCCTTTTGGATCCGGAGTACCTGCTCCTCAGTCGTGGCCACTGCCCCAGTTTTAGTATCATCTGCGAATTTGATCAGCAGACTGTTCACCCCTTCTTCCATGTCCTTGATGAAAAGATTAAACAGGATCGGCTCCAGAACAGAGCCCTGGGGGACCCCTCTTGTCACTGGCTGCCACCCCAATGATTCCCCACTAATGGTTACCCTCTGCTTTCGGTCAGTCAACCATGCCCTAATCCACTGGACAGTGCTTTGGTGTATCCCAAAACTCCTCAGTTTCTCAACCAGAATATCAAAGGCCTTGCTGAAATCCAGGTAAACCACATCCACTGCATCCCCTCCATCTAGCCATCTCAAAACCTTGTCATAATTCCACAAGGTTTGTCTGGCAGGACCTGTTTTTGCGGAAGCCGTGTTGTGTGGCCGCCAGCCTCCCTTCCCTATCCAGCATCACTGGATCTCTCTCTATTATGAGCCTTTCCATTGTTTTTCCTGCAATGGGCGTAAGGCTAACAGGTCTGTAATTCCCCATGTCCCTTCTACTGCCCTTTTTGAAAATTGGGACCACTGATGCCACCCTCCAGTCCTCTGGAACTTCACCCGTTCTCCATGAGGCCTCAAAAATGGACACACGGCTTGTGGACCCTTGTGACACATGGCTTGTGTGCCCATTTCTAAAATGGCGACTGTAACTAAAAAAAGGAAAGTTGACAGCGAGGGGCGCAGCTTCCCGGACAAGTGGAAACTGGAGTATTTTTTCACTGAAATATGAAACAACTGTGTCTGCCTAATTTGCCAAGAGACTGTGGCTGTTTTCAAGGAATTCAATATCAAGAGGCACTACCAGATGAAACATGCTAACTACAACAAGCTAACTGGGAATGAACGCGGCGAAAAATTGAAGGAACTGGAAGCTGCTTTAACGGCACAGCAGCGCTTTTTCACAAGAGCCCGTGAGTCAAATGAAAATGCCACAAAGGTGAGCTACGAGGTGGCAAAGCTGATTGCCAAGCACTGCAAACCTTTTACTGAGGGTGAATTTATTAAAGACTGCGTGATGAAAATGGTGGAGAAAATCTGTCCTGAGAAGAAGCAAGAGTTTGCCAATGTTTGCCTGGCTCGTAACACTGTGGTACGGAGAACTGAAGACGTTTCATCTGATATTAAGAGACAGTTAGAGACAAAAGGAGTGGAGCTTGACTTTTTTTCGTTAGTCTGAGACGAAAGCACGGATGCATCTGACACCGCTCAGTTATTGGTTTTTTTGAGAGGAGTGGACAATGACATGAACGTGAGTGAAGAGCTACTTGACCTCCAGAGCCTTAAGGACCAAACAAGAGGAACAGATTTATTTGTTTCTGTTTGTTCCGCCATAGATGACATGAAACTACCGTGGAATAAAGTCACTGGGATTATTATGGATGGTGCACCTGCCATGGCTGGCGAGCGAAGTGGATTATCAACCCTAGTCTGTAACAAAGTCAGCAAAGAAGGAGGCCAAGCTATAAAACTCCACTGTATTATTCACCAACAAGTTCTCTGTGCCAAACATCTGATCATGTTATGAAACCGGTGATGAAGGCTATTAATTATATTCGCTCCAAAGCCCTGTGCCACCGCCTGTTTCAACAGTTTCTACTTGACATCCAGGTTGTATCACAACGAGGTAAGATGGCTCAGTCGGGGGTCTGCACTGCAGCGCTTCTACTCTCTTAGGGAGGAAATCGGACAATTCTTGGCAAAAAAGGGACAACCAATGCCAGAGCTATCTGATCCTGTTTGGCTGACTGATTTTGGATTTTTAGTTGACATAACACGACATCTGAACGTGCTGAACACGAGCCTTCGGGGCAAAATGCAGTGGTAAGCCAACTGTATTCACATATCAATGCCTTTGGGACCAAGCTGCTACTTTTCCAAAGGCACCTGTCACAAACGCAGCCCAATACCACACATTTCCCATCGCTGCAGGAAATAATGACCAGTTTTCCACAGAACAGTATGAGTGTGCAAATAAGGAGGTATGAAGCAGACATCTCATCTCTGGCTGAGGAGTTTCAACAGCGCTTTCGGGATTTTGCAGCTATTGAAAAGGAGATCACGCTTTTTTCATCTCCTTTCTCTGTGGACCCTGATGACGCTCCAGACCACCTGCAGCTGGAGCTCATTGAGCTGCAGTGTGACGCCGAGTGTCGCAGTCGGCACCAACAGCTCCCTCTTGTCAACTTTTACCGCCAGCTGGATAAAGAGATAAAGATAAATCCAAGAGATTCGAACATTTGCTAAGAAAATGCTGAGCTTGTTTGGTTCGACATACTCGTGCGAGAAGACATTCTCGGTTATGAGCATTAACAAGAACCATGTGAGGACGAGACTAAGTGACTTTCACCTCCATGACATCTTGCGCATCAAAGCCACTGTTTTTGAGCCAGACCTGGCCTGTGTAATGCAGTCGAGATCTCAGTATCACCCTCCACATTAGTGCAGTTATTTGTTTAGTCTTTCATAAAATAGTTCATTTGCATTTAATGTTAATGGTTCAAAGAATGTCAGGCTGAATGGTCAGCCCCCACACATTTTCACCTCACCAAATCTGGCCCTCCTTGCAAAAAGTTTGGACACCCCTGAACTAGAAGTATCGTCAAGGCTTGCGCTTCCAAACCTCCCTTTGAGTGCCAGCCACCCCTCCGCAACTCCCTTGCCTTCCAGTAACCAGTAACCTGTAGTAAGCTAGAAACAAAGTCCTGTGTGGAGAGAGTGAAAGAACCAGGTGTGCTTAGCCTTGAGAAGACTGGGGGGAGGTAGGATAGCATTCTTCAATTACTTATTAGATTTTTATCCTGCCCCATTAGTCATAAGCCTCCCTTGAAGAGATGTCAGTCATCCCATAGTGTAGAACATGGAATTATTAGCTCAAGTGACAGGAATCCAGATTCTGACCGAACATCAGGAAAAATGTCCTGACTGTTGGAGCTGTAGAACAATGGAACCCATGACCTAGGGAGGGGGTGGGTTCTCCTACCCTGGTGGCATTCAAGAGGCCACTGGACAGTCCCCTGAGAGGGATGGTTTAACTTGAAGTCTGTCCTGAGCCCTTTCCAGCTCTACTATTCTATGATTCTGTTATCATGGAAGTTCAATACTTCCCCATCTCTTGAAGCTCCTTTGGTGTTTTATAACTATTTAAACCAAAAATCAAAACTATTTATTAAAATACAGCATAAAAGCTTAAAGCTATAGGATAAAATAGGAGTAATTCTTTTACTTTATATATATATATATATATATATAATAAATAAAAATAAAAATAAAAATAAAAAATAGAGAGATCTGCCTTATGTAACCTGAAAGGCCTCTCTCCTGGCCCACGCATTTGGGCTCCAAAGGGCTGGTGTTGTGCTCCAAGACTCCCTTCAATGGGATTCTGCCTTGGACATTCTCCCTCTATTCTGGCTACTTGGACTGTCGAGAGGAACTGCAGCTGCTATTTCACCAAGAGGCTTTGCCCAATAGCCCACGGCAGCCATTTTGTGAAAGCAGCCAAGGCACACCCTTATGGTTTATTGATTGATTGAATGACTGATACCAGCAGCAAGATTTCGAGACAGGGCAGGCCACGAGTGGACAGGGCAAATGATAGCCTGTCCCTGGTAGACTGTCACTGTTTGCTGAGCTTCCTTTGAGCTGATAACTGCGCGCAACGTGGTGGTGGTGAAGCGGCTTGGGGGCGGAATTCAGCCGCACGGGAAGCTCCTATAAGCCCACTGACTAGGCGGTACTAGCCCGCCCTGCCTATACATAAGAGGTTCCGATAGAAGTAGGGAGCGCTGCACCAAGCTACGCTTCGGAGCCCTTCCAGCTTCTCGCCGCCACGTGTGATCCACCCTCCCTCGTTCCCGAGGTCAATGCCCGAGAGTAGCGCGGCGGAGCGGGGCTTGCGATCCGGATGATGAATGGGAAGGGGCGGGGCCTCGCTCCCCGCCGACCAGCCATAGGCCGTCGGCAGCTCGAATCTGCCTATCAGCGGGAAGCTCGAATACGCGGGCCCGCCCCTCCCCGCCTTTAAAGGCTCTCCGGGTGGCGCGTGCTCCACGGTAGATTGTCCTCAACGGAGACAGGTGAGGGAGGTGTGGGGGTTTTGTTTGCATTTGCACCTGTCGCGGGCGCGCGTGCATGTGCTTCTGTGCAGTGTGTTTTTGCCATTGTGTGCGTCTGTGTATGGCTATATGCGCGTGTTTGTCTGTGCGCTTGAGTATAATTTGGGCGTGTTTGCAAGCAGTTTTCCTTTTCTGCCTGGCAGCGGCTGAAAAGCTTCATGCTGGTCTTATTTTTCGGCTCTCGAGCCTTTATTGCATGCCAGGGGGTGGTTTGTTTGGTGGAGGGGGGAGACACAAAACCGCTCCTTCGGACACGCATGTTCTGGGCTTCCTTTGGTGTTTGCCGATCCTTCTGAATTCCCTGTGCGGTTCGCGCCTCGGCAGCCGCCTTGCGGGGCTGTTGTTTAGAAAAGGCCATCGAAATGTCTGCGGGAGGGCGGGGGCGTCTGAAAGACAGCAAGGGCGGCCTGGGCGTTGTAGGTTGGCGTGCCTAGGTTTGGTTTAAAGGTCTGTGATACGCGCAGCCTCTTCGCGGCCTTTTTTTCAGTACCTCCTGGAGTTTGGGGCAGCGAGAAGGGGGTGCTCTGCTTGTGGGTTCTGTGGGAATTGGGCCGTGGCGGGGAGCCGTCTGAAAACCCTGCCGTAAATCTTACCCCGGACGCGAAGCAGTTCTGTAAAGCGCACACCTGTGCGGGGCAGGGCGTGTGCGGTGGAGAAGCACTCCTACTCCTTTGCACCTGGAGCTGCCTCCAGGCTGCACAAGCACAAGGAAACGCGCCTGAGAAATTTTTGTCCTACCATTTCCTGCTTGAAACCTGAGGCCTGTTGCAGCGTTGTCCTCCCCTGTCTCTATTTCTTATAAAAAGTGATGGCCCCAGAAGCCTCCCATGATTATGGCGGGGAGGGGGGATTTGAACCCATGTCTCTTCCTCCCTAATGTTCTAACTGCTAGGCCACACTCCTTCTTTTTTCTCTACCAATACTGGCCTTCCTTCCGCGAGCTCAGGGCGTGGCCTCGCCGGTCCACATGTTATCTTCCCCCCAACCATTTGCGGTAGTCCAGTTGAGGAGGGGGACTTGACAATACTTGCTGAATAGCATGGAAATGGTAGTCCTTGTGTGTGTGTGGGGGGGGGGGAGGAAGCCTTTATGCCACAGTGGGTGTGGTTTGGTGTATAAAAGCTTGCCTGTGTTTCTAGTTACTTCTGCAGTACCTGATACTGTAAGCTACTTTTTTAAAAACAGAAGATACAAAGCATCCTAATAAAAGAATTTCAAAAGTGGGATACACACATACAGTTTTTTCACAATGGAAGCAAACCTTAAAATTTCAGTCTGTCCAGAGTGTAGGTGATTCTTTTATGTCTCTTTCAAGGCTTTCTATCAATGTATCCCATGGTGAGAGCTCTGCCAATCTTTTAGCTGAGACCTTGGAGGATCATGTCATCATTTTTCCTCCTGAACGGGAAAAAACAAACCAAAAACACACTGCTGTTAATTAAAAAATAGCTGTATTCTCTTCCTGCCTCTCCTCCTCTCTCCAGAACCAGTCATTTAGCACACCGAACAGTAAAGCATGGCTTCAAACACATTTCCTTCTGCATTCTGCCTGCTATTTTTGCCTGTACTTTTGTACCCAGGATGGTACTCTCCACCAAAGGTGCCTCCGTGACACCTGGAGGTGCAAACGAAGCAGTGCTGCAGGTGGGAAGGGACGGTCCCTGGGGTTTCTGCCGCCACTCAGCAGGGCAGTTCGTGGTAGTCTCAACTTGAAATGGTCTTCAGTGGTGCTGCCTTTAGCCCTCTCTTGGCCTCTTGAGTTCTGCTGCTACAAGGAAAGGGAGCCTGGCTATCTCTAGCTTTTATAAAACAAGCCTGTATTAAGAATGCAACTCAAAGTCACCCTTCAAAAATGCTCCCTTTTCTGGTTGCTGTCACGGCAGTCGGGCAGTTCCTGGTTTCCCTGAGCTCTGCGGCTGCCTGCCAGCTTTTCAGGCATGGACTCACTGTGTGTGCTTCGCCAGCCCCCAACTACGCACACTCAGTGGCATGGTCCCAGTTCTGCATCAGTTTGTTTTCATTTTGTGTAGCTGGCCAAGGAGAAGACTGTTATGGTGCACCCTTCCCAAACCTGGAGCCTTACAGGTGGGTTGGACTATACTTCCCCTTGCCAAAGCATCTGGAAAGGGCAGAGGTCAATTCCAGACATGAGCCTGTTTAGAATAGATACACTGAAATGAATGCAATGCATATGAATCATGAGTGCCTTAAGCCCTCAGTGGGTCTATTGTAAGTAGGATCAAAGTAGGATCCAATACTCGGTCCTCTCCTGTGGAGATGTAGTTGCTGAAGGCGTTAATCCTGCCCCCAGCCCGCCATCTGTCTCAGTTCTTTAACACAAGAATAAAACTGACCATGTTCCTTGTCCATTTTCCTCATGCAAAGATTCAGACAATAGGGCTATTTGTAAGCAGAAAATAAAATGGAAAACAGAGGCTTGGGGTATTTAAAGCTGTAGCTAAAAGTGCTTTCTTAAAAAAAATAGAGGGAGGAAAAGATGTACAGAGGGAAACAATGCAGCTAATGGCAAAGCAAGTACTTAATATGCGGGGAGGTGGGGGGTCGTGGAATGGGCAGGTGGCAGCTGTTCTGGGTGGCCCGTGTATCCTGGGGTGGCCGCGCAGCATGTCCATGTCTGAGGTGGGACATGAGCCCTCTCTGCATGCCTGTGCTGTGACTTGCCTGGACCCTGGGAAGCTTTAGAGGGTGCTCGCTTTGCAGAAGGCTCTACCAGGCAACCATTCCCTGCATGTAGAAAGCAAGTATGTCAGTGCAAAGCTGACCTTCCGTTGACATGCTAGTTCTCTACTGTCAGCTCATGGGAGCAGCAGCACCGCCCCCCGCTGCCTTGGACACTGAATCCCCGTGACGCATCGGGGTGGGCAGTCTTTGAACGTGGGAGATGTTCCTCATTTTTTCCAGGAAAGCTGAGGTCTCACTGATGGGAACTGGGTGTGTAGCAGTGGGTTCAGGAAGGGCAGCGCTGCCCAGCGCAGCGGTGGGTCTGGAGCCTTGCCCGGTCTCTTCAGTGTCCCTGCCGCCTAAAGAGCCCACTGCCCGCTCCAGCCCTGTGTTCAGCTGCCACAGTGGGCAGGTGGTGCCTGGGGGAAGTGCAGCAGTAGAACAGGAGTGCAACTGCTTGAGCTCCCCCAGTTTTCTGCCTCTGATAACTATACCCATCGCATTGAGTATCCATGGAGAGCATTGCTGCGGGGGGCCCTTTTTGGTCTGAGGTATAGGAAATCCCAGCTGATCCACCAGGGAGCCCCAAAGATGTACCTTTAGGCCCTGCCTTATCTGTGGCCTGCCCCAAATGTGCGCGTGCCTATGTGGCAGACGGATCCTGCTGTCCCCTGCCCTTCCTTCCTGCTGCCCCTCTTGATGGGCTAGGAGCGGGAGGAAGGCAAACAGGCTGTGATGGTGTGCAGGGTGAGTGAACCTGGGGACTCCTGGGGTCCCGATAAGTGCCCACTCATGCTGACCCATGGCCCAGGACTCTGCTCCATGTTTGAGATGGCAATTGTTAAAAAAGCCAGAGCAATCTGTTTCTGTCCCTGGGCAGTTTTTCTCACAAGACTGCCTGCAGAGTGAGCGACATTGCTGCTTTCCTCTGGAGGCGTGTGGGCATACAAGTGGTGTTTCTCTTTCCACGTGTGAATGAGAGGGCGAAACGAAGTGAATTTTGCCCACTCAGTTCGTCCCACAAGCATGTAAATGTACTCGAGTAACCCCGTAGTGTCTGGGGACTGTTGCACACATGACGGGTGCTGGGATGACGCTCAGCACCTCTCCCATTGGCTGAAACGGCTTGGATGATTCTCTGGTTGAGCGATGTGGCAGCTGAGCAAAGATGCAGAGCACAGACAGTGCGCTGGGCTCTCTCCCTTTTTGCATCGTCAACCAGAAAGGGAGCAGGACGAACGGGTGAGGTGACAACTCAGTGTTTGCCTCAATTAGTTAAACATTTCCAGAATTCGTTTTTGAAAACAAACAGACCAGAATAACTTGGCCAAATCCCAAAGTTTCACTTCACTGACTGTATTTCAATGTCCTCAGGTAGCTAAGACTTTCTGAACCGTTAGAGAATCAAACCTTGCAAAATTTATTATACAAACTATATGCATAGAAACAGGCACATACAATACAGAGACATACACAAAGCTAAAAATAATTTTAACTGATCATTAATGCGGGGGGGGGGGGAGGAACTGATTAAAAACTCCTTATATGCTTCCAGATGCCTAAGAAAAGGGTTTAACCTGGCATCAGAAAGGTAACATTGATGCCAGATGGCTTTCCTCAGCAGGATCATTCAGGAATTGGAGTCACTTCCAAGAAACCGCTGCCCCTTGTTGCTCCCTTCCAGGCCCCTCTTGGAAGAGGTATCTAGAAGGAGGCATCAGATGTTCATTGCCGTGTATTGGGAAATTGACTCTGAGGAGAACAAGGAGCTGGAACTAACCAGGGTCTGTCCAGTCCAGCCCTCCCTTCACACAGGGGTGATTAGCTGCCCATGGGGAATTCACAAGCAGGGCAGGAGTGCAACAGCACCCATATTCCCCAGTAACTGTTCTACACAGGTATACTGTTTTAGCACAGGGCCACTGGCGATTGCCTTCTCTTCCTCCAATCTCTCTTTGAAGCTGTCCAAATTAGTACCTTCTTGTAGAACTGATTTCTGTAGTTTATCTCTTCACTGGGTGAAGTAGTTCTTCTTGGGACAGTCCCATCTGGGGCCTAAGGTTAGGGGAAGGAGAACAACGCCTCCCTCCCTCCCTCCCTCCACGTGTCTCCACAGCAAGCGTGGTTCTGTGTGCTGCCGCCCTCTCTTCCTCTCTCGCTCAGCTGACCCCTGGAGTTGCAGCTGCTTCACACAGAGTTGCTCCAGCCCCTGGTTATCGTCATTGCCCAGCTCAGTAATGCCCCTTTCCAGGTGCAGCAACCAGAGGGGGACTCGGCATTCTAAGCAGGGTCACACCAGTTAGAGTCTTGGCAGTTCTCTTTTCTGCCCTGGTCCTAATTAAGCCTAGCCAGGAATTGGCTGCTTTCATGGCAGCTGAGCACTGGACTGGGGTTTCCCTCGCCTGCCTCAAGATACTTTTCTTGCTCAGCTCAGATCCCGCCAGCCTATGCTTGCAGCCAGGAGGCCTTGCCCAAATGCATTGCTTCACACGTGCTCACATCGCAGTGTATTTCCCATTTCAGCGCCCATTCCCTGGCCTTGGAGAGTGGCTTGGGGGTTCTAGAAGTACCACTCAAGCTTTTTTTTAAACTCCTGGGTCATCTGGGGTTCCCCTAAATTTGCAGTAAATGTCCCTTTTTGGCAGAGAAATGGTGCAGGGAGTAAAGAATGTAGAAATCTATCCAGCATTTCCTTGGATAGCCACTTGGCTGTGCCTTACCCTTTCCCGGTATGGTTGGTGGATCCCATCTCCTTGTGGGGGGATAAGATGCAGCAACTTCCCCCCTACGCCAGCTTTGTTTGCCCAAAGTCACTTTTTGAGGAGTTTGCAATTTTTTAAAATGTTTGGTCACCTAGATAAACACTGGGACAGGTTTGCCTGACTTGCAATGTCACTGTTGACATCCTGGGGCATAGCAACCCTAAAAATATCTCAACTGTTTACCAAGATTGTGCTAAGCATGGCATGACTACAGGGGGAGGTGGCCGGGGGCAGGAAGATATCTTGCAAAATCAGTTGTTGAGGGCATCGATCCATTGTCCATTTGCTGAGTTCATCTGTCTGACCCTTCCTGAACCAGCGGAGAAAGTGAATGATTAGCCCATGTCAGAAAAGTCATCTGCCAGCTGGTCTTCCTGGCTGATCGTGCAGAGGCGATGTTTTTCCCTTGCAGAGGCCATCACGAGTGGCTGCTTACCAAGTGGAAATGCTCTAGCAAGGGACCTGTGGTGTTTTGCCACGTAGTGAATTCTTCCCTGCCCCCTGAGACTTTACCAGCACAATGCACACGCCCTCACACATGTCTTTGCAGCCTTGAGACTAGAAGCTTCTGACATTGTGACATCCAGGGAAACTGGCTGCAGTGCCAGCTCTTGGTGCGTGTGCGGAGTGCAAAATACTTGTCTCCTGGCATATGTCCGAACATTGCTGTACTTCTTGTCTCAACATGCCTGCGTGGGTTTTTTTTAAAACTGGCTTGCCTGCTCCCAAAGTACTGGCCTCAAAACCACTGGGGAGCAATCCCCCCCTCCGCCTTTAACCAGGTCATGGGGATAAAAATAACATGGAATCTACTAAAACCTGGGGTCCAAATCATAAGGGGGAAGGCCTGGTGGTGATGGGGTTAAAACAGACCCTCCTGTTCATGGCCAGTCTATCACTGAGTGCCCAAGTTGGTGGGGGGATGGGAAGGCGGGGCGAGGATTCAGCCCCAGGCCTGAAGTCTGTCGGACTCCCGTGTAAAATGCCTCTGGCTGCCTCGCGCTCACAATCTGATGCAAGCACATTTTGTGCATCCGTTTGCACAGGAAGCGGTACAGTCCCTGCTGGTTTTCCTGGTAGTGCAGCTGTCACAGCTGTCTGATATGGAAATTATTTCAGTAGATTGCTGGGCCGGAAAAATGACTTCAACTCACAGGGTAGCAAACTGAGGGCGGGTTTGTTTCCCGGAGAGGGCACGTGGGGCGATGCACATCTCTTTCCTGTAGCAGTTCTGGGGCGTTTCCTACCACCAGCTGCTGCAGCCTTTTGTGGACACCGGATTGGAAAAGGCCATGCGGAAGTGTGGAGCGGCATGCCTGCTCAAATTCAGCCGAAGGCCAGCGGCTGTCCAGGGATGGGCCATTTTCGAGGATGCTCATAGGATCTGGGGCGCTGCCTCCCTGCAACCCTTACCTAAAACAGCACATGGGTTCGAAATGCCCTGAATGCAGATCTTGGTCCTTTTTTCTCCAAGCTACAGCAGGATTGAGGGCTTATGATGGCTTGTCAAATGCCTTCCAGCCATGGGGCCAAGTTCCCCATTGAACGAGATCTTGGGGTCCCCTTTGCAAAGCCAAAGGCAAAAGAGGCAAGACCAAAACTGCTTCTGGGTGTCTTCTCAGCATTAGAAGGGGCTGGGACTGGGTTTTGAGATTGGCTAAGCAGGATAGTCAGTAAAAAAGGAAACCCCAAAGGGACACCCAATATTATCTATTCAGCCCTGTGTGTATGTTTTTCTTTGTGCATTACTCATATGCTAATAAAACTGTTCTCAATGCACCATATCAATGATTGAAAAAAGCAATAAAATATGAAGCTGTAAGACAATAAAATTTTAATTGGTTTAAGTTGTAAGTTGCCTGGTAGGGAGGGAGGATTATGGTGTTCACAATAAAATAAAAACAGATTGCATGTGAAATAAGAAACAGGGACACGCGGTTCTCGTGGGAGCAGGAGAGCAGCAGCCACTTTGGTTGTCGAACTGTGCGACTGAGCATGTACCTCCTTGAAGCTTGAATCAGTGCACCTGGGAATGGTTGGGATCCTCCTCCTGTGTCCTATTGTTTGCTGCTGGCGAGGCTGTCTGGGCCTGGGGGGTGTTGTGGGCTTCTGAATATTTTGCCCTGCTGCAGAAGGATGGAGGGATACTCGGAGGCCATCTAGTCCAACCCCTTGCTTGCTGCAGGAATCTTGCAGAGGCTGCCACCCACCTGGCTCTGCTTAAACTTCTTTCAAGGCAGCCTCTTCCTCCATTGAACAGCCCTGGCATTAGGAAGTGCCTCTCAGTCTTCCACCCAGATCCACTTCCTGGTCTTTTCCACCTGCATTCAGATCATCAGAACCTAATCTCAGGTTTCAGTCATCTCTTCTGGTGAAAGATGGCCAGCTCTTTCATCCTTCTTCAGAGGTCGTGGTTTCCCTCCCATTGCATTTCTGGGCCACCCTGTCCTGTCTGCCCTCTCCCTTCAATTAAGCACTTTCCTGTTTCAGCAGAAGGGGTCCAAGATGGCAGCGCTCGCCCAGACACCGGACTCATGTGCTGAGGCTTCAGTCCAGCCTCCCCCACCGGGCACCTGGAAGGCCTCACTTGATGGCATCACAGTATCAGCCTCTCCCAGGTTGGTGAGCGTGCGAATGAATAAGTCCTGTTGTTGCTTGCCCCCAGCCTGGCGCCCCCCCCCCCCCCCCGATGGGTCAGTTGGGAAGCTTGCAGACAGCCAGGGGGCTGTCGGGACCAATGCTGTGAGGATGGCACGCGATGGAAAGTCCCTTGCAGAGCTGTGGGCCACGAGGAGCCCCTGCCTTGTTGCTCTGTGCCGCAGAGAGGCCTAAGAGCTCATTTCCTCGGGGGCGTTTTTGCCCCTCAGCCCTGCTGGCACATGTCCCACAAATGGCGGAATGCTGGCAACCTGCCTCTTGTGGGGCTGACCTCACAAGGGCCGGATTCTAGAACAGGGGCCCACTTGGCTAGCCGGAGCAGGGAGACTGCTGCCAGGACATCGCCCTCCTTGGGCGCATGGGGGGCAGGCAGTGGGGAGGGGACCCGCTTCTCAAAACCGGTGCCTTCCACTGAAACCCCTGGGGGAGCTGGCATGTGTTTCCACCCTGCAGCTGAAGGATGCCTCGTTGACATGGGGAGGAAGGAGGTGTTTTAAAGTGCGACCCCAGCGCTCCTGTGGAGAGAGAGTAACAGCAGAGGAGGTGTTGGTGCGTTGCCAGCTCTGGTCACCCATCTACTGCAAAGGTTCAGACAGACTTTCGAGGCCCTTTCGCTTTGCCCCAGAGCTACATGCCGCTCTGTTCTCCTGCTGCCTCTCTCCTCTGTGGGTTCGGCAGGGTTCTGAAACGGAACAGAAGTGCCTGAGGCAGCAGCTGAATGTCTGCTTTCAGCGACATGAAAAGCACCCACCACCTACAGTTCCCAGGTAGTCAGAGCACTGCCGCTCGCCCTCCGCAGCCTGTTTCCAAGGGATGAGCCCTTCCCCGATCCCTACTCAACTGGGGTTCTTCTCCGAATACTCTCTATACAAAGATGTGGAGGATACGCTCCTTGTGAGTGGGCTTTTTTTGGGGTGCCCCGCAAATTCTGGAATGCCTTCCCAAAGAAACACAGCTGGTACCGTCTCCGCATGCCTTTCAGCACCAAGCAAAGCTCTCTTCATTCTCCCAGGCCTGCTAAATGGATTTTAACTGCTGCCTGGTGTGGGTGTCTTTTTAGTAGTATGTCGGAGCAACTGTGTTTTAAAAAGCTTTCCTCTATTGCTTAGCAGTCTGAATATCTCCCTCTTTTAACCTGTTTTAAATGTTCTGATGCTTTTACTTTTAAAAAAATAACTTTATTAATGGGTGTTCTTTGTTTTTAAAACTGTTTCTGTTTGCTTTTATTGTGTAGTTTGCCTGGAGAACTTCCACTAAAGGGCAACTCATACATTCCATAAATGCTATTTGTATTAATAACAATATTTGATAAATGCTCCTTTATCAGAAATCATGGATGAGGGAATATGATTAGTCTGTGTGGGGTAAGAGCAGTTAAAGGCCATTGATGTAAACTTTAGCAGAATATTAGGTATACCAGGACAGCAGCTTGGTGGTGCTTTTTATTTTAGCAACCAGGGTGACACGAAGCTCTTGATTTACGCATCCTCTTTTCTCTTTCCCCTTCCTTTCTTCCTTCCTCTTTCTTTTTTCTTCTTCTTTTCAACAAACTGAGCTGGGCAACTCTTGTCCAAAATCCTGAGTTTGCAAAAGATTGCAGAGAGCACCTGGCTGGGGCTAGGTCGGGATGCTGCCTCTGAAGCGGCAGAGCAGCCATGCCAAGAAGGATTTCATTGTGGGCCCAAGCAGAGCACAAACTGACCTGTCCCTTCTCTGCCTTTGGCAGTATTGAAAACCATCAGGGAGAAGAAGTCAAGGAAACCAAAGAAGAAGTCGAGGAAACCAGAGAGGCCGCAGCAGAGATGTTCCGGTCCAAAGGTAGGCAGGAGTGGCAGGCACACACTGGCAGCACCTCCTCGCAGCAGAGTCCCTGAGCTGGCCGTCTCACCACCTGGGGGCTGGGAGCCAGTGCCTGCCCGGGAGAGGGCATGGGAGCTGTTTGTGGAACACCTGGGTTGATTTTGAAGGTACACAATCTAAGAATTGGTGCTGGGCATCACCTCCTCCTGAAAACGCCCCCTCATCACCCTCACAGGCACAGCCCCCAGATCCATTCCACCTAGATTTCCTGGTTTGCTGTCTGTCCCATTTCTGCCCCCAAAATCTTCTCATGCCTGCTTGGTTCTGCCTCGCCCCTTTGTCTTGTGTTTGCCAGAATGTTGCCCAATTATTGCAGCCATTCCGGGGACGTTTTCCTGCATTCTCTCCCACAGCTCACGCACCTCCTGCCTGGCCAGGAACTCTTAACAACCTGGTGCTTTCCACATGTTTCAGAAACCAGCTCCCACCAGACCCATGCTAGCATTAGGGTGGCAAGAGTTGTAGTCTAAACACACGGGGGACACCAGGGGTGTGTTGGGCTCTAGCATGGTACTCCCCTCCTGTCCAGACCAGATTGCATCCCTGGAAGCTTGTTATAATGGGAATACCAGAATTCCCTTCTACATCCCTCTGACAGAAGATGCTACTAGTCCTCAAGATCTAAAATTAGAAGTGTTGGGGACACAAGGAACCCAATTCTCTTCTCATTCCAGATGCACAGGAGTTGGCTCTATAGCTCAAGGCAGGGGGCAAAGAGGGAACACAACTTTGTGTATGCTCAGGGTTATATGGTACAGCCAGTCTTTGCAGAACTTAAGTTTCTCCATGTGCATGTGAAGGAACAAACATTGGGCTTGCAAAAGAAGGGGAAAGGGGCCAGAGCCCAGTGGCAATCCCAGCATTGCTTGCACAAGGTGCCAGGTTTGTTACCCGGCAGCAGCTCCAGGTAGGGCTGGGAATGGAATCCTGGAGAGGCAGCTGAGATGGTCCTTGACTCAGTGGGCTGAGAATGGAGGTCAAGGTGAGTTCATGCCCTGTGTCCATCCTTAATTGGCCCTTTATTCAGAACCATGAGGACTAGAAACATGTTGGCTCAGTAGCAGAGCACCTGCCTTGCATGGAAAAGGCTTGACTTGCGATCCCTGGCATCTCCAAGCATTAGGAAATCCACTATCTGTCAGCATCCAGCTGCTAAGTTACAAGAACAACTTTGTATTTTCCTCATGAGCAGCTTAGAGACCTTTAGGAAAAGGCTTAGTATTGGGATGGCATATAAAATCAATTAATCAATCAATGGCTTTTGTCAAATGTGAATACTTTAAGAGGTACTTCTAAACATATTTATAAGCTGCTGTAACTCAAATATGTATATCTGAGACTACTTCTAGGAGCACCTTAAAAAGTTTTCAGTCTCCAATCTGACAATACAAGCTTAATGTTCTTTAAAAAAAAAAACCCTGGTTGCAAAACTTGTTTCCTTGATTCTATACAAGCTGCTCTGAGAGTCTTTTTGGCTGTGAAGCTGTATAAACATTTTTCTTCTTCCTCTTATTTTATTCTTCCAGCAGCTTTGACAGGTAGGCTAGGCAGAGGGTCAAGGACTGGCCCAAAGTAATTGCGAGACTTGCACTAACCATTATACTACGCTGTCTCTTAAGGCTTTTAACCTGTTTCTCTTCCCTTTCTTTCCCCCTTTCTCTGTGGGAACCCAGCACCCCCTCCTCTGGGGCTGTGGACCTGCAAGCGGGATGGTTTGGTCAGACTGCGGATGGATGAAAGTGGGATCGGCTGTGAGTCCCCACTCACCGTCCACGAGCTCTTCCTGAGTGCTGTGCGCACCTACGGCGACTACTTCGCCCTGGCCTCCAAGAAGCAGGGCAGGTGGACCAAGCTGACCTTCCGGCAATACTACGAGGAATGCCGGGTGGCTGCCAAGAGCTTTCTGAAGGTGCGCAGGGCTGGGCTTGTGTGGGGTGAAGAGCTTTAGCTCATGGCTCAATGCTTAAACTGTTCAGGATGCACATCTGTGTTCAGTGGTTTATAGCCACACAGTCAGGGTTGGGTCAGTTTCACAGGAGGCAAAGCCTGGCAAGTTTATTCCTAACCCAAGAAGAAACTGTCTTGAGCCTACAGAAAATGAGTTTTTTTCCCTACACGTACCTGTCTGGCAGAGAGGCATCTCAGATGGGAGGTTTTTCAGCACATGGGCAACATAGAGCCCTCCCTGCTGAAATACCCCTAAAAAATTACCCCCCCCCCCCATGGCACCAAAGCTGAGAAAAGAGCAGTCCTTCCATTTGCACTGGGAGACACCCTTTCTCACCAATAAATTTCCTCAGGGTGCTGGGAAATCAATATGGGGCCAGGACTCCTCACAACTACCCTGCTGCTGGGCAGCCAGCCCCAGCTTGCATATTGCGGCTGGTCACTTGGCGAGCTTTGCGTGGAAATTTGAACCTGGGATGCCCATCCTAGTCTGGCTCAACCTGAGCCAGCCTGGTCAGGGATTCTGGGAAATGTAGTTTGAAACACCTGGAGGCTCCAGCTGATCTTTGACTGTAATAAAGTTAATCTATAAGAATGCCTGGAGGATGATGACATGTCTGCCCCGAATCCCAAAGCCTCCTGGGGCCCCCGGAGTGGCTGTGATCCTGGGCTGAAGCTTCCCTGCGCTAAAATACTGTGTGCAGCTCTTGCTTGCTGCCGTCCTCTGCCCAGGCTTTGCCACACAGCTTGGGGACGCTGGAGTTGCGGTCCCGTGCGGGGTCTTCCCTGCGTCAGCTCTCCAAGGCCTCCCCCAGGGGGTGGGCCCAAGCCCTCCCCTCTGATGCTTCTGCCCCAGAACGGTGTGCAGCAGAGGGTCACGTCCCCCTGCTCCCCAGCCAGCTGGCTTGTTCTCGTGCAGCAGTGGCAGACTCTGCTAGGCTCGCTTCCACTGGGTCTTTGCTGCAGGGCCCCCCGCCATTGTGAGACCTCCGTCTGCTCTGGGGGAATAATCTGGCCCAGGCGATTTGGGGAGGAACAGTGGGGTTCACCCTCAGGTCTTTGCTTTACAGCTGGGTCTGGAGCCCTTCCATGGAGTCTGCATTCTGGGGTTCAACTCAGCAGAATGGTTCATCGCTGACATTGGAGCGATTCTTGCGGGGTAAGTCTCCTGCCCCAGCGCTCGGTGAAAGAGGAAGAATTGCAGCCACACAGGCCAAATGCCGCTGGGCCTGCTCGCCCCATCACTCAGCTGAGGAAGATTTTCGCCAGGGCAAATAACCACAGCCCCCTTTGCAGCAGTGTTCGGTTTGCAGGGTCTGCTTTGGTGCCAGATGCCAAAGCCCTGAGACCCAGTGCGCGAAGGTTGGTGTGAAGCTGCGGCCAAGGAAGAGGGAAGTAGAATTGCAGGATGAGTTCCCAAGCAGGCTGCGATTGTCCCGAGAATGTGCTTTCCGTGGCAGAACTGGGGCTCCTCCACCTGCCACCCCATCCCTCCCCTAGGAGCTTTCCTGATTTTATTGTTCTAATTTAGGAGAGGAAATAAATGGTGGTTTTTGTTCTGTTTTGTCTTGTTGCTGCTGTTAAACCATTGGAAACCAGAAGTTTTTGCTGACCAAGTGTAGATCAGCCGGGGATGCACAAATTCCAGTCTCTGGACAGTTCACAACTTTAAGTCACCCAACCAGACTTCAATGAGGCCCAACCCTGCTTAGCTTCCAAGACTGGGCAGGATCAGGCTCTTCAAGCTACGCAGAAGCGTCCTTCTGCCTCCACGATCTAATGAAAGTTTTCTGCTTTTCTGTTACTTTCTGGTTTTGGTAGGAATCCTCCTATTTCTTTTCTCCTGGAAAACTTATTTAGAGGCCTCCACTGATCTTTAAATAGATCCCCCCATTGAGTGCACAGCCTTGCTGCACCCAGTTTGATGTCATTCCCCTGACCACCAGCAGCCATCAACGCATGAGACACAGGGCTGCTTTAAACCCACGCTAACCGGAGTAGCCAGGGATCAAATCTGGACTTGGAGTCTCCTTTTGCGTCTTGCCCTGTGGCCTCACCTCGCAGTCTTGCTGACCCTCCAGGGCATCGCGGTGGGACAGTTCACATGGCAGCCCAGTTCTGAATTTCCTCTCTGCAGTGGAAGGAAGAAGCAAGAGCTGCTGTGCCCGGCTCCTGTGGAGCAGGCTGCTTCCCTCTGCAGAACAGGAGAGCAAACTCCGGGCTGGGAGAGCAAAGCCAGGCTCCCGTGGTGTCTCCCAGGGGCCATTCTGCCTTTCCACGGCTTGGTTTCCTGGCTGTTGCTTGGCTTTTCTTCCATTCCAACAATGTGCAACGCCGCCCCTTCAGCGAGAGGGCTTGGGGCCCAGGACTCACACCTCTGCTCCCACCCCACAGAGGCCTTGCAGTGGGCATTTACACTACCAACTCGCCCGAAGCTTGCCAGTATGTGGCGGAGAACTGTGGGGCAAACATCATTGTGGTACAGAACGACAAACAGCTGCAGAAAATCCAGGAGGTGAGGCGTGTTGTGCTGTCACGAGGGCGAGCAGAATCCCAAAGCGTTGCTGGTTCAACAGAGTGTCCTCAGGAATGACTTAAACTGATTTTCTTACTCTTGGTCACATCACAGCGCCTATAATCGGGGGTGGGGGGGGAGGGTGTCCCTCTATAGTGCAGCCTTTGGGGTTGGTCTGAGGGCACCTTGAGCATTTTTGCTGATTGCCCAGGAAGGAAGACCACTCTTTTGTCCTCTTCCGCATTGCAGATCGAAAGGACTAGTTTAGCAAAGCGGAAACTGCTGCAGCAGAGCATGTCTTCCCCAGGGCCAGGGTTAGGGAGAGGTTGGTATCCAGCCCAAGAAACGATTCCCCTGGGAAACTCGGAAGAGATGCCAAAGCTCAGGCTGGGAGGATCAGATGCGGCTTTCCTGGGTTCCCGGCCATCTGTGCCCCCTTTCTTGCATCCCAGGCTTTTGCACCCCTTTTCCCTCATTTGGAGAGGCCAAAATGTCTCTTGGGCTTTATGATGTCCTGGAGAACTACATGCCAATTCTGAGGTCCACCCGCCCCCAGAGCCACTCAGTTTCAGCACTGCTGCCAGCAAGCCAACTCCCGGCACAAAGTCTTCCCTCTGGCCGGGACTGGTCCTGCAGGGCCGGTTGGATGAGTTGCTTTCCATCTGGTCAGGGTGGGCCGTGGATGAGGCATAGCTGAGGAGAGAGACAAGGCTTGGGTTCATTCCGGCTGGCCTCGGGTGCAGGGTTTGCAGCCTGCTGCTCCACTGAGGTCAGGACAGCTGCTGATGCCTGGTGGGTGTGGGGGGGATGCATGGGGGAACACAGGCCTCTAACCCACACAGTGCCTTTCGCATCCCATTCGGGTCCCCCATGATCAGATGCCATTATGTAACCTGTTGTCATTATGTGTGCAGAGAAGAAAAACTTCCTGTTCTTGAGCCTTTCATGTGTTCTGGTTCTTGAGTGCTTTTCTTTCACTTGACCTTTTCTGCTTTAGATCCAGCACAGGCTGCCCCTCCTAAAAGCCATCATCCAGTACAGTGAGGAAATCAAAGAGAAAAAACCAAATCTCTACTCCGTGAGTGTTTTTATTACTCATTTTCTCATCTCTTCATTGAGCAAACTCTGGAGTACAATGTGGGGTTTAACCTTTGGTTTTGGCGGATTTTTTTTGTCAGGGGGAACCCTGCTCAATGCTGCTTTTTTTTTCCTATTGCCCCCAACCCATTAAATAGTTGAGCCTTTGCCCCAGCTCATTCCCATGCCTTCTCCTCTTTGCAACTCATGAGGACTAGAAACTTTAAAGAGCCTCAGAAGACAGCATGGTCCCTGCTTCTTTTCTCAATTCTTCTACGAGGAGTGTAGAAGCGTGCATTCTGCTGCTGCCAGTGGTCTATTTTATCTTCACAATAGGCTTGTGAGGTAGGCTGGATGAGGTAACAAGTGGCCCGTGCTCATGTTTGTGTAGGAATTCCATGGTTCCCTCCCCACATTTTATTCTTATAACATCCCTGTAAGGTAGACTCAAGGGAGAGATGCTATTGATCATTCTATTCTATTTTATTTATTTGGGACATTTCTATCTGTTCCTATACAAAAGTCTCAGGATAGCAGATCATTCTTCAAGTTTCATGGCCCTGAAAAGGCTTGAACCCGGTCTCAGTGATGTTTTCTACCCCAGGACTGACCTGACCACTCGGTTGAGAGGAAGATGCAGCAAATGACTGGTTTAAATCAGTTTTATCTTACTTCTGGACGTTTATTACTCAGGAGCGGAAATCCCCCTTTTATCCGTTGTTGCTGAGGCAGCCTGGGCAGCAAAGGTCCTGGGCCTGCCATGCTCTAACCACTGCATCACACGGCACGCTGGTGAGCTCTGGCGGTGTGTCTAAAAAGCACATGCTGTGCTTGGTGTTGTGGTTACTGTTGGACGGAGAAGACCTGGGTTCAAGCCCCACTCAGCCATGAAGCTCACTGGGTGACTATGGGCCAATACTTCACTCTTGTCCTGGCCTACCATGCAGGGTTGTTGTTGGGAGGATGAAATATTGCTGAGGAGAACCTCCAAGCCACCTTGCAAGGGCAACCCGGTGGGGTCAGGGGAAGCAGGATAGATGTGTAACCATAAAAACAAAAGTAAAACAAAGTGCAAATTTGTGTCCCTGGATCTCTTTCTGATTTTTGTTTTTGGGGTCCCATGCAGTGGAGCGAATTCATGGCCCTTGGCAGCACCATCCCAGATGACCACCTGGATAAAATCATCGAGTCTCAGAAGCCCAACCAGTGTTGCACCCTGATCTACACCTCGGGGACCACGGGGCACCCCAAAGGGGTCATGCTTAGCCACGACAATGTAAGTGGCGCCACGTGTGGGCCTTCGGGGAGCTGTTGGGCACCCTCTGTCCTCCAGCCACTTCCCAGGGCCCGGAAAGGATGGCAAGGCTCAAGGGGATAAGGCTGCCCTGCTTTATCTAGAGGAGGGCCAACTATCCAGGCAGTCAAATGGCGCTGGGGGCAGTGCTATCCGAGTGCAGGAGCTAGCCCCCTCTTCCGCGGATCAGCTTCCACTGGCACGTGGCGGGAGCTCACTCAGAGGCGGCAGGCAGACATCGCCGACTGGCGTATTGGTGACTTCTGTCTCGGAAGCTCCTGTTTTTGGCTGGATGAGGGCCAAAAACCTGAGCTGGGATCCCAGCAAGATGATGGGTGGGTGAGGGGCTGCCAAGAGCTCAACTGTTGGTGAACTCAAAGAAAAGCCAGGATGAGTGCAGTTGTTTCTGCTCGGTGGGGCTGCCTTCCCCTGGAAGGAACGGGGGTGTAGCTGGGAGATGCACTTAGACCTGATTTCCTCCCCAGGTGCACAAAAGGCCTTAGTGTGAGTGTTCAACTGTTGGTGACCTCAAAGAAAAGCCAGGATGAGTTCAGAGAAGAGCAACAAAGAGAACTAGGAACTTAGCAGATTGAGCTTTAAAATCTCTATTAGAAAGCCGTGCAAGGAGAGTTGGGAGCTTTTCTGGCTGTGGGCTGCTAGGACTGGAAAGCATCCGGTGTTCTCCACATTCCAGATCACATGGACGGCCAGGGCAGGAGGGGAGTATGTCAGCATGCGCAGGGCCACGGAGCAGCAAGAGATCATCGTCAGCTACCTTCCACTCAGCCACATCGCTGCGCAGATGATCGACATCTGGCTGCCCTTCGTGTTCGGGGTGCAAGTCTGCTTTGCACAGCCTGATGCGCTCAAGGTAGGGGCACCAAAGACAAAAACACCCTGGTGTGTTTTTATTTTTCAGGTGGGCAGGAGGCCTTCTGAAATAGTGCTATGAGGAAATCTTCCTTTTACTGCATCTCTGCTTGGCCTTTCCCACCAAAATGCCCAAGCCCACCTTCTGGCTGACTTGTACCTGTGCTGGGTTTAGGGCCCCCTTTCTCCTGACTCTTCCTCCTTTCCCCCACCAGCAAACCTTTAGTGCTTTCCCAGCTGCCCATCCAAAAGCATCAAAAGTTTTTCCTGCAGTTTTATTAAGTAGAATCATAGAGTAGTAGAGTTGGAAAGGGCCATGAAACCATCAAGTCCACCCCCCTGCTGTTGCAGGACACCAGTTTACACCCTCCCAATCAGAGGGCTGCCCAGCTTCCTTCTGAATGCCTCCCACCTCTCCGGGCAGCTGGTCCCACTACCATATTGCTCTGATGGTGAGGAAGCTTTTCCTGACGTCCTGCCTGAATCAGGGTTGTCGCAACTTGAATTGATTATTCCATGTCCTACCCTCTGCCATCAGCAAGAAGAGATCTTGACCTTCCTCTTTGGGACAGCCTTTGAAGAACTTCTGGTGAGATATCATGTCCCCTCTCAGTCTTCAGTTCTCAAGGCTGAACATGCCCAGTTCTCGCTGTCTGTCCTCACAGGGCAGTTTCCAAACCCTGGATCATTTTTGTTGCCCTCCGCTAAACCCTTTCTAATTTTTCTGCCTCTTTCTTCAATCTTGGTGCCCAGAACTGGACACAGGATTCCAGGTGAGATCTGCCTAGTGAGGAGTATAGGGGAACTACTGCTTCTTGTGATTTGGAAGTGGTGCTTCTGCTGATGCATCCCAAAATAGCGTTTGCCCTTTTGGCGGCTGCATCGCATTGTTGGCTCATGTTCAGCCCATTGTCCACAATCCTCCGAGATCTTTTTCTTCTCAGTTCTGTTGAGCCACGTATTCCCCATCCTGTATCGATGCCTTTGGTTTCTTTTTCCTCGGTGGAGGACTTGGCACTTGTCCCTATTCAATCTCCACCTGTTGCTTTCAGCCCAGCGTTCAAGTTGATCAAGATCGCCCTGGATCTTCATTCCGTCTTCCAGGGTGTTTGCTATTCCACCCAGTTTTGTATCGTCTGCAGATTTGACCCTCTTTCCTCGTACTTCCTTGTCCAAATCATTAAGAAAGAAGTGGGGACTCGAGCTGGGGCTTGTGCTGCACCAGGTGGATTCTCTGTTTCTTCCATCTCATGGCATCTCCTCTCCCCGATCCTCTCAGGGCAGCCTGGTGGAGACACTGAGAGAAGTGCGGCCCACGGCTTTCTTGGGTGTCCCTCGAGTCTGGGAGAAGATGCAGGAGAAGATGAAGTCAGTTGGGGCGAAGTCCTCGGCCCTGAAGAGGAAAATCGCCACGTGGGCCAAGCTGGTTGGACTTGAGACAAATCTGAAGCGCATGAACGGGTAGGAACAACTCCGGGGACAGGATCGAAATCGCACGTGTGTGGGAACTTTGCTGGTTCATGCTGAGTAGTGGCCTTGCGAACCAATTTTCAGGGTCAGCCCAGCACCCTCAGCATGTGTTGGACTATAAATCCCATCATCCACTGAGATTCTTATACATCCAGAAGGCTGGAGTTAATTGCAGAAGCAGTTAAGTGCAAAAAGATGAGGGACCCCAATTTTATTTCTTATGGGACTCATACCAGTAGGATCCCTAGAGGTTTCTATCTGTGTCAGTATGCCATTACGACTTGCACTGGCCACTCCAGCTCATGAGTTCCCACACATCTTATACCTCATATACAACTGGCAGGAACTGTAGCAACCTCCTATTTAAACAAGAGCTTAGTCCTCATGGTTGTGAAACAGGGCCGCTTTCAGTCAGAACAGTAGAAGGTGCCTTCACCTGAGTTCACTCTATGATCTATGTAGCCCAATATGGTTAACACTGACTGGCAGCATTTCTGCAGGGTTTCATACAAGGGGGTATTTCCTAGTCCTGCCTGGAGACACCAGATAATGAGTCTGGAATGTTCATGATGCAAAGCAGGGACTCTTGTACTCCTCTGTGGTTTAAAAAATAAAGCAAGTTTCTAGTCCTCATGGTTCTGAATTAAGAACTGATTTAAACAGGAGCAAAGAAGCAGCCTGACACTGAGTCGTCTCAGTCCATCTGATGCACTTATTGGCAATATTGATCAGCAGCTGCTCTTGCAGGTTTCAGACACAGGTTCTTCTGTAAAGCAGAGGCTCTGGCTGCATCCCTGGTGCAACACCCTAACCTAGGGCATGACTGAGCCAACAGCTCTCTTGCCACGTTGCATAGCTGAGTGGGAATTTGAACTTGGCTCTTCTGTGTTCTGTGCTGAGTCTGGCACCCTGCACAGCCTTCCCTTGGATTACCTTCCCAAAAGCCCCCAACGTTTTTGTTGCTTTCCCTAAAGCAGAGCTACCTGATGCATGTCCTGTTTTCTGGCCCCTCATGCCTTCATAAGCTGGCCTGAGCAAGCGGGACTGCAGGAAAGGTGCACTCCACCTGCTGAAGAAATGTGCTGCTTTCCTTCTCTTCAGTAGCCCAGAATTTATCTCAGATCCTTCTGGGTTTTCCTGCCCCCAAGCTCTGTTTGCTCCCCGTCCCTCTGAACGCAAGGCAGAATGGTTTTGCCCGCCCTGGGAGGAGCAGACCTTCCCAAGGCCCTGCCTCTCCAGCGGCTGGCTTGCCATGCGGCAGCCACTGCCAGGAAGGCTGGCGCCACGCAGCAGGCCCCATTCCCTCGGGTGGCCTGGTGTTTCCACTGGCTGGGTCCAGCTGGGGATGGGCTGGAAGCTGGCTCGGGGTTCGTTTTGTCCGAGGTGAGCTTGGCCTGCAGCGGGGCCTTCCAGACCCTCTTCCAGGTGTTCCGTAGAGGGATATCACGACATGAGCTCCCCGCTCTCTCAGAAGAGCCTCCATGACTCCGGCTGGAAGGGGCGCTGGGTGTGTTTGCCAAGGACCTCCTACCCCCAGCTTCGTAAGCCTTCCACTGGGAGGGCCGGCAGCCGCAGGCTGCAGTTCTCTCATCTCTTCTCTCCGCCATCTCCACGCTCATGGGCTGATCAGCAGGCGGGCCAGGAGTGCGGTTCTGCCCATCCGGAGTGCCACGACCACGTTCCACCCGCAACCTCGCATGCGGCATGTCGGCCAAGGCAGCCTTCCCCACACCCTCTTTTCTCTTTCCTGTAGAAATGTGCCTCCAATTGCATGTTGCTCGAAGGAATCGGAAAGGTACACTTCTCTTGAGTTGACAGCCAGACTGTGCCGCTCCTGTACCCAGCGTCCCTTGAGTCAGTCAGGCAATGCGCATCGGGACGCCAGCAGAGGCGCGGCAGGGAATCGGGGCTCACAGGGAGAGTGCCAGACTGTCACTATTAATCCGGGCGGCTGCAGTCCTCATGGCGGTGAGAGTGTTGGACTGGGGACTTGGGCAATCCGGGTTGGAGTCCCCACTCATTTCCCTGGGTGACTTCAGGCCAGTCCCTCACTCTTAGCCAAACCCACCTCACAGGGTTGTTGTTAGGAAGAGGAAATGGCACTATGCAAGTCACCTTGGGTTCCTCACAAGAGGGGCATAATTGCATAACAACATCATTGCTGCCCCTATTGTAATCACAGTATATTGCGAGTGCCCCTGGGCTGGAACACCCTACTAGGACTGTTCACTTTACCAGGGATCCATTCCTGATTGGTGGCTGGGACCAGTTTGAGACAGATGTGCCCAGCCTTGTTCATTTTTGCACACTCCTCAGGGCTATGGCCAGGGAGGCAATCGGTTTTTTTATGTATTTGCACACCTAAACATATTCCAGAGCGGTGAATACAAGATTTTTAAAAATAAAGGAAATACCCTCTATGAAAACAGAGCAACCATAAAAGCTGAGGGACAGCCCAAGGAGGGCTTCGTGGAAGAAAGATGTGTCAGGAGGCACAGGAAACCGCACGATGTCAGTGCATGCCTGAGGCCAGGAGTTCCACAGAAATGGGGCCTCCAGCCTGAAGGCTCTGCTCTGGGTGAGCACCCATCAGGGCAAGGACCATGTGGGACCACCCACCCCATGCAAAGATACGTGCCCTGGGATTATTTCTTAGGCTGGAATTCCAGATGCGCAAAGATGCCTCCCCTTGGCTCGGCATCGGTGGCTGTCCTGTTTCTACGCTGCTGCTCCCAATTTCATGGGCTGCCGTCTGTTCAGTTCTTTTGAGGATTTCTGTTTATTTCTTCTAACCTACTGATATGCCTGAAATCTTTGAGCAGTCAGAGTAAGAAAAAATAGAAACAGAATGCTGCATAAAGACCCAGCTGAGATATCAGAAGCCTGCTAAAAGCATCACAGAAAGTGGCAAAGCCAGAGCAGTGCAGTTTCTAAGGTGGGAAAATCCGGAGCAATTTAACTGTTCTTCACAAAACCACCGTTTTCTGGCTCAGGAGCCCCTTGTTGGGAGAGCATGCTAGGGCAGGGAGCCACCACCAAAAGGCCCTTGTGTGTTGCTACTAGCTGCCCCGCCGTTGGTTCTGGGGTGGCCAATCTGGCCTCCTCTGACAAACCTCAGTCCACCAGGCTGCAGAAGGCTGGTATGCTGCATTTTTCAGATGGCATCGGTAGGTACCACAGGCAGACAAGACCCTTCCTAATTTAGGGAAGGACCTTGCTGGACTCTCCTTCGGGGTGGGCTCTTCTTTCTCCTCCAGATGGTTTGATATAAAGAGATGCCTTGTTTTGCTTGCAGTGCCTTGAGAGGCTAACAAATTTATTTCAACCCAAACCCAACCTTCTGCAGTCCATTGTCATTCAGATGCAGTGAACTACATGTCCCATTATGTCTGGCCAGAGTCTGCCCATGTTGGCTTAGGTTGATGGGAGTTTGTGTTGGGTAAGGTAGCTGCAAAGTAATGGCTAGGGTCCAATCCCTCACTCAAAATTCTTTCAGCCTGATCTACCTCACAGGGTTGTTGTGAGGAAAAGCGAAGTGGTGTGGGGAAGAATCACACAGCCATCTTGAATTGCCCAAGAGAGCAGTGAGATGCAACTGTAATGTTAAACAGACCAGCTTCACCTCATTCAGACATGCCTCACTTTGTGGGTGTTTTCAGCTTGCAGAATGGCCGACTTGGTTGTAGTGAGACAGCTTTCCATCTTAACCGGCCTCCTGGGCCAAGTTTCCATGGCACACCTCTGCCTTCTGAGTGGTCTGTGCTTGTGGCAAACCTCAACACCAGTGCTGTGAGGTAGGCAGTCTGAAAATGAATCCCAGATTGGCAGACTAGGGCAGAAGCCAAGAGGACTTCAGGCTGCCTGGGAAGTCTGTGGCAGGGCAAGGCTGCAATACCGACTGGGCCGCCAGTGAATCCAGCTGCATTTCATAGGTTGTCGGGCATCTTGCGTTCCTTTCTCAGCTTGCTGACCAAATTGGATTTTTTCCTCAGGATTGTTCAAGATCTTTGTTCTACTTGCAGAAGTGTGCAAGAGCATAAGTGTGTGCTTGCGCAAATCCCCCATATCCTTTGCGGTATTTGCATGGCTCAGAAAAACCAGTCCACTCTGGAAGATGCAGGCTGGACTCATTGAAAGACAAGCGCATTTAAATCTGTGGTGGATCTCTGTGCCATCTGACTCGCGGTCTGGAGAAGGGGGCATCCTTGGCGATGCAATGGCCAAAGGGCAGCTCTGCCTCAGAGAGATAGTTCTTCCCTCAACGGCAAAATAAGGTTGTCCTCCTGGTTCTGAATAAAGGACTGGTTTTACATCAGAGTTGTCTTACACAGAGTTTGCCCTTGGTCTGATGAACTCAGCATTCCATCAGAAGGGAAGTTTCCAGACGTTTGGGACTTCCACTCTCAGAATTCTCTCCCAGCATAGCTCATAGCCAAGCATGTGCTGAGTGAGGAGTCCCAAGACATCTGGAGGTACCCCTGGCCTACGGGAACAGACAATGGTTCTCTGGAGTCCCTGGGAAAATAAGGTTTCCCAGCCCAGGGCAGGCACACCATATGACAGGTCTTTCCTAGCCCTTCCTGGAGACTCAGGGACCTCCCACCTCAAAGCTGGGATTCCATGCCGGAGCGGTGCCTGCTCCCTTGCCAAAGCTCCCGGCTGCTCTTTGAAAGCCTTGTGGAGGTACCAGCCACCCGCCGACACTGCCAACACCTGCTGTTCCTGTCTCTGCAGGGCTGTGGATCTGCCCCTGAATTACCGCCTGGCCAGGACATTCATCTACAAGAAGGTGCGGAAGGCCCTGGGCCTGGACCGGTGCACGAAATGCTACACCGGAGCGGCCCCGATCATGAAGGACACCTTGGAGTATTTCCTCAGCCTTGACATTCCAATCTTTGAATTGTATGGCATGAGTGAAAGCACTGGCCCTCATACCATTTCTGTTCAAAGTTCCTTCAGGATAACCAGGTAGGGAAAAGGAGGACAGGGTCAACCCTGCTGTACTGCATGTGAAATCTCTGCATTCAAATGCTTGCTTTTGTGTCAGGTTTCTAGTCCTTAACCTGCAAGATCTGATCTTATCTCCCTAGGCCTGAGGGGGGCCAAGAAGGATTTCTAATAGATCACCAAACCATTTATTTGACAATAGAGCCCCCAAATGTCTTTATACCTTAAAGGCATTTTTGAAATAAAAATAAAATAACTGTGATTTTTAAAAAAAAAAAATCTAATCACCAAAAAGGGACATAAGCAGGGCAAAAAGAATCAGAGGGTGTTGACCAGGTCAACATTTGGCCCCAAGGAAATGGCTAATTCACTGGCTCAGTGCTAAAACAAAAGTGTTGCACCTTTCTTGTAGTTAATAATTTGTCTACACTCAGAGATACAAATGGCTTGACCTCAGTTTACTTTAAATACCTTTCTGCATTTGTGGAAAAGACTTGGGGAATTGGAAATCAACTCCCTGAAGGCTGTGACAAAGACAGTGCAACAGAGCCCTCTCTCAGTGCTGGCAGGGGATGATGGGAATTGTACGCTGAGTATCTCAGTGGCGCCAGGTCAGTGAGTAGACAGTGGTGCAGAAATAAGGCAGGCTCCCGCTATTGGGGTGAGCGGCGCGTGTCCAACGCAGCTGCTCACGCCCCAGCTTGCGCCCTTCTGCAGCTGCGGCAAAGAGATCACGGGCTGCAAGACGATGCTTTTCAAGCCGGACCATGAGGGCATCGGAGAGGTTTGCTTCGCGGGACGCCACATCTTCATGGGGTACCTGAACATGGAAGACAAAACGAGAGAGGCGATCGATGAGGATGGCTGGCTGCATTCTGGTGATCTCGGGAAGCACGATGCGGACGGCTTTCTCTACATCACAGGGCGAATCAAAGGTAGGCCCGCCTGCCCCTTTTGCACTGTCCTCAGAAGGGCTGGATCTTGCACAGGACAACACTGGGTCTTCCAAGCTGGGCGCACCACAAGGCATGGGCTTTGGTGGCTCAGCGTTTGCATGTGGCGGCAGCCGTCCTGGTCCTCTAGATTTTGGCGCACACAAACATCCCCAGGTTCATTCATACTTGCCAGTCCCTGCCGTGCATGATGTCGGAGCACTCCTCTGGACCTGCTGTTAGATGCACTTAGGAAACACATTTACCTACTTTGTTTACTGCCCGATACCTGAAACCCTCAGGTTGGTTTTGCCACAGTTCCTGTACCGGGACCACAATACAATAAAAACACCACCCTCCTTCCCACTGTGCAAAATGCAAAAAAACAATTTTGCAGTTTTAAAAGAGTAGTCAGCACAAAGCCAAACTGTTCAGCATGGGAACCTCTATTGCGCGATCCACTCTGTGTGAGTGTGTGCGTGTGCGCGCGCATGGGCATGTATGCAGCCGTCCTGTTGATACCAGCGTCCAGAGGCATGTGCCATTCATTTTGTAGCCAAACCCAGCATGGATCTGTCCTTACAGCACGTGTGCCATGAGCTTGTACGAACACGCTTCTGCACACTCTGTACCCAGGAAGCCCCGTGAGATTCCTGCCTCACAGGTGAACTCATTCCTGCCTCCTCTTGGCATGATCCCAAGGGCCAGTGCAGGGTGGCAGTGGAAGTGTTGGCTGGGGATTCAGGGTATCCCAGTCACGGTCTCCCCTTGGCCATGAAGCTCCCCAGGTGACTCTGGGCCAGTCACTAGCACTCAGCCCGACCTACCTTGCAGGGTGGTTTTCAAAATCAGAGCGTTGTTTCCAAGTAGCCCCGATTTTTCACCTTTTTCTTCCAAATAAATGAGCCAGTGTGGTGTAGTGGTTAAGAGCGTGGGACTGGGACTCAGGCGATCTGCGTTCTAGTCCCCACTCAGCCATGGAGCCAACTGGGTGACTTTGGGCCAGTCACAGCCTCTCAGCCCAGCCTACCTCACAGGGTTGTTGTGGGGATAAGATGGAGGAGGAGAATGATGTAAGCTGCCTTGAGTCCTTTGTAGGAAAAAGGCAGGACATAAATCGGAAAATAAATAAATAAATAAATAAACACTTGTCAAAACCAGGGGTGAGAATAGAGCCAGTGACACAGCAGCCACTGGCCAATCTTGAGTTGCCCACAACTTCATCCAGATGCTCAGTGGCCTTAAATCTCAGCGAGAGGCGTGGGGAGAGTTGCAGTGAACCAGTCTCCAAAACCATCTCCGGCCTTCCAATTGCATTGATCCAGAAGAGTCCAAAGCATTGGATCTCCTCCCCACAAAGTCAGGGTCACTGGCATGCCAGGATCCTGACAGGCCCGGGCCCTGCGGTCTCCCTTCCAGAGCTGATCATCACAGCAGGTGGAGAAAACATCCCCCCGGTCCCAATCGAGGAGGCCGTCAAGGAGGCTGTTCCCTTCCTGAGCAACGTCATGCTGGTGGGCGACAAGGCCAAGTTCTTGGGGATGCTGATGACACTGAAGGTATGTCCTGGCTGCTCTTCTTGGTGCCCCCTCCCTTCCCTTCCCCAACCCAAGACAAAGCCAACAGTGTAGTTAGAGCTGCAGTCCCCAAACAGTGCCTCAAAAAAACCAGAGTTTGGGGTGGGGAGTCCTTTTCCTTCCCATCCATGTAGGGCTTTGGCCAGGGGACACTCCCAGGAGTCAGGATACCTCAAGCCCTAAGAAGGCAGATGACCTCCACTTTTTCTTTCTTTTTCTCTTTTCCTTTCCTTCTCTCTTTCTTTGTCTTTAGCTTCTTCCTCCCACTTCTCTGTCTTGATCTTCCTGGTCTCCTCTCACTCTTAATTTCTCCCCCTTTATCTTTCACCATCCCTTTCTCTCTCTCGCTTCTCTTTCTCTCTTCCCTGCCCTTCCTGCCCTGCCCTGCGCACGGGCAGAGGGACAGTTTGCTCCTGCTCAGCTCTGGCAGCGCAGCCATGGAGGGCTCATGAGGCTGGGGGGGCCTGGACTGCTTGCCACCATCCACTCTCACTGGGGCGGGTGGAGGGACGGCAGCGGCTGCTGTCACAGCTGTCCCTTGTTTTCCAGTGCAAAGTGAACCTGGACACTGGTGAGCCCGAGGATGAGCTCACCCCCGAAGCCATTGAGTTGCTTCACAAGCTGGGCAGCAAAGCCACCAAGGTCTCTGACATCGTGAACAGCAAAGACGCGGCCGTGTTCACTGCCATCCAGAAAGGGGTGTCCTTGGTCAATGATCACGCGACCTCGAATGCACAGAAGATCCAGAAGTGGGTGCTCCTTGGGAAGGATTTCTCCATTGCTGGCGGAGAGCTTGGTAAGTGTGGAGTTGTGGGGCAGTTCAGAGGCCTGGGGCTTGTTACAGCTCAGACCTGTGGGGAGCAACCTTGCCTTTGCTCCTATGTGCCCCAGGTGTAAATTTAGGATGTTCTTTCAGTTTAATTTAATTTCCCAGGAGGCAAAGCCAGCCAACCCACTGCCATTCATTCCAGCTTGTCTCCAGCGAAACACATTTTTCCGTGACTTTGCACCCTGCCCCGGATCATCTCAAAGTGATTGGAAATCTCCCAGTTTCAGTTGCTTTGTGGGAGGGGTTCTTGCAATTTGTGGGGAAGGGGTCAGTGAACTCTTTCCTCCTCAGCTGCATTTCTTCTTGAAAATTGACCCTGTGTGGCACTTCAGCTGAGAAGAAAAACTTTCTGTTTGCTCCTTAAGCGCTCTGGGTGCTCCAGTGAATATATCAGGGCCTTGCGAAATAGATTTGGGGCCAGCGGCCCAAAACTTCACAGAACCCCTATGTGTATTCAAGAGAAGGAAAGGACAAAGGTGCAAGGAAACCATTGACAGAGGGTGCCACAGGTCTTCAGGTGTTTTTTCTCAGGGAATCCTGCTGGCCGAGAACCATGGTTTTTTGCATTTTCCCGAGGAGGAAGCAAGTTGCTAGTTCTCATTGAGAGATGTAGGCAGTGCCTGTTAAAAATCTCAGAAACCAGAGAGGGGGAGCTGGGTAAAAATCAGCAACTGAGGGTAGAAATTTACTTGCCTTGAAGTATAACAGCTACCTGAACCATGCAAGCACCTGTTTGCCCAGTCAGGCTTGGAATGGCTGTGAGGCAGGAATGTTTCTCAAAACCCTTCTAGCTCTACCACCAGTTTGCAATTCATGCGCTGATATATTACATTTCTATACAGCCCAACAGCTGAATAACTGAGCCGGTCACAAAAATTAAAATCCTACATTTGCAACATGAAAGAATACCATATAAATCCTTTATCCAACAGTTAAATAATCAAATTAACTGTGGAATAGTTAAAAACAATACTAGGAGTTGATAAAACAACAGATATTTTAAAGGTCCTGTCAGATGCCCAAGGATAAGTAACCTAGCACTGAAAATACGATTGTGTTGGTTGCAGGCAGAGCTCACTGGGGAGATTATTCAACAGTTGGGGTGGGGGGGGGGCACCACAAAAAAGACCCACCCCCTTTTCCATCTTCATGGCTGCTCTTGGAAAAGACACTTAAGGAGGCCCTCAGATGCTGGTTGTAATATATGGGTGGTATTGTAGGTCAAAACCAGCATGGAAACATGCAGGCAAGGGGGCCGGAACTGGTGCTTACACGCTCAGACCTCCTGGTCCCTGCTGCGGACTGGCACAAGCTTCAGGAGCAGCCCTGTGCAAGGGACACGGCAGTAATCTAATGTGGGATTTCTCCTCAGGCAACATTTATCATATTTGGTTGTTTTGTTCTAGGCCCCACAATGAAGCTAAGGAGGCCTGTGGTAGCCAAGATGTACAAAGAGCAAATAGCTCAAATTTACTTGGAAACACCAATGATCAAGTAATAGCTGAATCAACTGGCAAACCTGGCCCGCCTCTCCCAGAAGTTCTCTCTTCCGCTCCTCTCTGCTGTCTTTGTAAATATGACCCGGTCTTTCCATGGATTTGCTTGGCCCAGGAGAAATTCCCTCTCTTTCCCCCCTAAAAAACGAGGTTTCAATAAAGGCAGCTCCCTGAACCCAGCTGTCCTTTTCTCTCTCCTTCCCCGCATCCCTACTCAGCACCCTGCATGTCTTGGTTGCAAAGCCTCAGGAGTGCTTGTTGCCTTCTTTCTCTTGGGCCACTTTGGGATTGCCTCCCGGGATCTACCATTTTTTTGAAGAATACTGGAAGACAATCACTGCTTTCTCCAAAGTTCGTATTTTCCCTCTCCTGATTGTGCTGAAACAAAGATATCAAGAACTTGATTCCAGAATCACTTGAGGAAAATTTCTCTCTCTGCGATTGTACATCACTCTGTAAAGCAAACACTTTTTCCTCCGTCACAGGATGCTCTTCTAGAAACCTGAGGAGATGTTGGCCAGACGTATCTCCGTACTATTACTAGACTATCTGTGAATGTTGCTTGCTTAGGTCTGTCCGTGCGGTGAAGTAGCTTATGGTTCAAGACTTCACAAAGCCCGTTCCCACCCTGCTCCCCAAAGTCCCACAGACAATGACTTTGCACATGCGATGGATCACTTTGAATAGCAGGAAATCCAGCACGGGTATTGCCTTTGGGTGGTGCACACGGGTTGTCTGCTTAGTACTAACAAGGCTCAGCTTGGGGGTGCCAGCTGCCTTTTGAAGCGTTATGCACAGCTCCTTGATGGACATCTATTTCTCCAACGCCTGACGATGTCGAGCTGGTCACTCTGATAACTAGTTCTGACACTTCCTCAGCCGTGGAGGTAAAATTGGAAGAAACCGGAGGTTTTTCTAGGGATGTGGATGCCTGTGCCATTTCCTACCCCCTATGCTACCAGCAAAAAGGATCATGAGGTGCATCCAACATGCTTCCCAGGAGGATTTGAACTTCTCCAGAACTTCTCCAGAGTGGAGAAGAGATGAGCTGCTGGGAACCATCTGAAGTTGTTTTTTCCTTTTTCATTTAGGTAGTCTGCACATGTGTTTGATTTTTGCATGTGATGGAAACCCAAGACCTACCTCCCATTAAATTGTCAGGGAAATGCTAGGTGTGTTCCCCTTATTCCTCTCCCCACCTCCTTTTTATATGAACCCCCCTCTATTTATATGAATTCACAGCAATTGTGACTAGTGTATAACAAAAAACACTGGGCTATCCAAAGAGATGCAGGCTGTGCTTCGGGGTACCGTTTCTGTCGAGCATGTATTTGCACGGGTGGCTTTGACACAAGCACAGTTCACGTGTACTGAGTATGGATTGTTGTGTTACTGGGTTGCTGACAAATCACGGGTTATTGTTACATGCAAACTCTATACTGTGGTTTAACCCTAACTATGAACAACCCAGAAAGAGAACTTACAGTTTGTTGCTGAGTTGTAAACTCTGAGCTGTTCATGGTTAAGAAACCATACTGCAGGGTTTGCATGTTAAAGCGGCCTGGGCACTCATGCATACCTGTGGAGAAAGGAGATTCATGTGGAGTAGGAAAGACATCTGGAATGTAACACTACTGGATCCTTGGTGGTTGTGGATGCAGTATAATCATGGAAGGGTTGTTATTGGGTTTGGGTTTTTTAAACCCTAAAAGACTCATTCAGAGTTAATTTGCTCCTATTCTGTTTTGCTACAAATAATGTTGAATAAATATATGAATGGCTCACAGTGTCTGTATTTTTTTTCTCCTTCCCCAATCCACAAATGCTTGTTCTTGGTTGAACTTTTGAAAATCAGATTAATGCTGCAAGTTAAACATGGAATTCCCTATACCTTTTTATTTAGAATGAGTCTATTGCATTTGTTTGTTTGTTTATTAAAACATTTCTATTATTTATTTATTAATTAAAACATTCTATTCTATTTGCTAAACTGTAGCTCAGCTAAATCAGCATTAGTCAGGCTGACAAGGAGAAAATTTTGATTTTTTTTTTAAGAATCTTGCTCTATTTATTTATTTATTTAGGGAATTTCTATGCCGCCCCATTCGCCGAAGCCTCGGGGTGGCTCACAATCATAAATAACACAAAACAATATAATCATTAAACCTACAGTACTTCCATTTCTCCCTCTCAGATATTTCAGGTCAATTACTTGTGCTGCTTTGGGACAAGTATCTCATCTTAATGTGAGTAAAACAAATATGCTAAATTAGACAACACTCTAAGCCCTAGAATAAAATTCCAATTGCATTTTTATTTTGGTTGTCATAGAAGCCAGAGCATTAAAAAAATCCAATGTGAGCTGAAATGACTAGGCACGTATTAGGTCATTTGCATGGGAAAATTTTCCAGAAAACCCAATTCACCAAGTGTTGTTTGAAGTTAAACAAGGGTGTGCCTTTCAGAGAAATGTTAGTTTTAGGATATAACCCTCATGTAGGACTTCTGTCAAAACATGCACTTCCCAGCATCCCCCAACCAACCATACCTTCTTCCAGAAAAAAAAGGGAAGCTGCTGACATTTGGATGACTGGACTAATTCACCACATTAGTTGCTTACACGGGATTGTCCAGTCGTGTGTGCAGGTTAGTGCGTGATGATCAGAGACAGCATTCATCCAGGAACTTGTTCTTGAGCTGTTACAAGGTAACCAGGTGTTACAACAGGGATCTTGATGTATGGATTGCCCTGTTGCTGTAGTTCTCCAGCAGCATCTCAAGAACAATGAAACGTATTGGAAGAATAATGCACTATCAGGACTATAATCATCCGATTTCAGGCCGTGGGTAGGCTTGCCTTCAGAAATAAGGACATAGTCAGTGTGAGAGAGGATGAATGTGGGAATGCTTGCTTGGAAAAGCGAGGCATTCCCCAGTGTGAGAGATTAGACACAACAGCCCTGCAAGGAGGAGGGCATGTTGTCCCTAGAAATCACCCCATCAACAGTGTCCCATAAATACGGTCAGAGACCATAGAAAATGGGCATCTCACACCCTTCCTCCCCCCACAAAGGATCTGAGCTAGCTAATATTGCTAATGAGCATCATGGACCATATTTATATGTAAACTGCTTTTAGTTTTTTTATGTTAAGTACTATATAGTTTTTAATAAATTTAACAAGGGAATGATTGATTTCTAATTGAATTTAAAATAGATTTTACGTTTTTACACCATCCCTCTTTGAGTTCCATCTTAACTGCAAAAATTCAACAATTGCAAAGATGTCCCAATAACTTTGACAAAAGTTGGAGTCCTCTGCGTATATTTTCTTGTATGTGTGTTCCCCTTTTCTGACACTAGAGGGAAGGGGGGATCTCTCGACTGTTTTGTTTCAAGAGAAAAGGGATTGTGTCTGTGGCTAGTTTAGAATCACTTCAGTGACTGCATGTGGCCAACTAAAGTGGCTAGTCCTAAGGAAGGCCAGGGTTCCGAATGCAAGAGTGTGCATAGTATTGCCAGCAATTTTCAGCACCTGTTACTGTGTGTGAGGCCACCCATAAGCACACAGACGCAACCATGACTACTGAAATGCAATGCACCCATCCACAGTGGGCAGGTCTGAGGGGTTGCCCACATGTGCCAATTGCATGTGGTGCCCAGGTGGGGCCAACTTGACCCTTTGCCGCTGAAAAGACTACATCCTGAGCAGCATAAGAAAGGTTTTCACAATGGTCAAGGACTCCCAGAGCATGGGCAGAGTGCCTTTCTCAGGCTAGAAAGTGAAGAAAGATGGTGCAGGATGCAACCAGGCCAGGTGAGCCTCTTCAAACACTTAGAATGAAAAGGGGTGGCAGATTGATTCTGAAGGTACAGATCTGCAAAAATAAGTATTTTTATTCTAATGTTTAATTTCTGGGGAGGCATGCATAGGATTGCACTGTCTTTCAGTGTAAAAAAAGATGCAACCTCTCCACTTATTTGCAGCTGAACAATGAAACATTTTTGTTCTACTAGCTGAAGGGCTTTCTTGAGTATACTCAGGGGCACTTGGCTTCTGAAAGAGAAAAAAGGGTCCTTTTCATCAGGTTCAAGCCTTTTAAAAAGAAAACTTTAAAGGGTTCTTGAATTATTTGTGTAATAGAACAGGGCTCTGGATGGGGAGAGAATGGCACTCTGCATGTGCTCAGAGGCGCGCCCGTCCGAGATGAGCTGGACAGGCCCTCTCGCGCCAAAATGCGCGCCAACTGCCCGCTCCGCCCACTTCCCTCAGGCTCACTGCTATTGGCCGCCGCCTCCCCTAGGACGCAGCCCAATCAACGCGCGACCACAGCCAGTCCTCAGTCCTGGAACATAGGGAAGGGGCCGTGGCCGGGCGTGCGGCGCGTGACGTAGCGCGGGAGGCTAGCAACAGTTGCCTCGAAACCCCGCGCGAGGAGGCGCCATAGTGACCGTAGCCCTGGAGACGATTCCTTGCCAACGGGAGCCGCCGCTGCCGCCGCCCCGCCCGAGCCCCGGAGGAGGCCAGCCCGGCGGTGTCGCCGCCCCTAGGGAGTCAGGTAAATCGATCCGCCGCGCTGCGCTCCTCTTGCTTCCTGGAATCACTTCGCGTCTGGACCCGGAGTCACTCCGGATTAGTGCCCTACCCCAGCACGCGTGGCCGTCCAGGAGCGCAGCCCCAGCCGGAGTGACTCCGGGGCCACCAAGCGCGGGAGAGAAGAAGGGAAGAGCGATCGGAAGGGGACTCACGATCCGGAGCGAATCCGTATTGAGCAGTGGCGCGAGGATTTCGGAGAAAAGGTTTTCGAAAGCACATTGTTTTTACGATTATAATTGTTCCCGGAGGCTAGAGAAGTGCGCGTGTTGTGTGCGGCTCTGTGGGCCAAGGAGGGACGGTTTGATGAACCCGGAGTCATAGTGCACATCAACTCCGGATTGTAGCCGGGGTGACCCCGCATGACCGTATGTGCTATAGAACTTGGAGCTGTGGTGAAAAAGGAGAGCGCCTCGGGGTGGAATGGGAGAGGAAGTTTTTCTGGAGACACCGAAGTGACTCCGGGTCGTTCCCGGGTTGACGTGGGAACAGTCGTGACTTTCCTGGGGAGAGAGAGCGAGAATTCGGAGTGTCTTAGCTGGTGGCAAGAAGGTACTTTTCTTGGAAAGGGAGCAAGAGAAAGTGAGAGCGAGAATTAGGAGTGACTTCTCTTCCGGGCAAGAAGGTGGCACGCTTAGAAAGGAAACGCTAGAGGGAGGGAGATAATTTGGAGTGATTTCTGCCTGGGGGAAGAAGAGGTCACGCTTGAAAAGAGAGCAGGAGAACGGGAGAGGTATAGGGAACCTGTAATGAGGCTGAACTGACAGAGGGGAAGGTGTGATTTGGGAGTGGAATTGAAAGCTACTCCATATTAGACCACAGAGGGAACCAAGAGACTCTCCAAATTAAGGCCATTAGAAATTGACGGGAAATTCTGGAATCGGGGCCAGGATAGGAGGCGTATAATCTACACACACAAGTCCAGAGTCAGTGAGTGATGTCTTTTGATTCCAACCGGTCCTTCCTTCCCAAAGTTACTGACCTCCAGACAACCGCAAGATACCAGCTGTCAAAATTTCCACCCAGGAAGAGTTTTGTGCACTCAGAGTGCGAGTCCGTATTCTTCCCATCCTATTTTGGGATTCATCATTTCCCCTCCTTCATGGTGCTTAAGCAACAGGCTGTACCAGAAACTCTAACTTTTGGCACGGCAGGCAAGGTAACTGCAGAGAGTGGATTGCCAGGGTTCCAATGTGATTTCTCAATTTCTCTTTTCTACCTTCCGGTTTCATGTATCTCCATGATCAAAATGCAATGCTCAGAAGTAAGTCCTGTTGTGTTCAGTGGGGCTTGTCCCTGTGTAAGCATGAACCCCAATTCTTCTAGCAAATATTCCGTTGATTTATTTATACCTATAAGCTGGCAGAGGTGCTAAATAAAAAAAAAGTAAGATTAAAAATCAGATGGCTTGCAATTTTAAAACTTCTTCCTTTTGCTGTCAGGTGAGAGCACTTCTACACAAAACCTTGCTTGCTTCCACCAGGCTCTTGCATGCAGCTTGGATTGCTTGCCTCAAGTTCTCTCACATTGGTTCTTTCTGACTGTGATGTTGGATTGTCATTTGAACAGGAACTTAGACTTGATCTTGAAAGGCCTGTGAGGATGTCTTATTTATGGGTTTGAAATGACTGTTGAAATATTGCAATTAAAAACCTCCAGTGCAGCTAACAAAATGACATTGGATTGGTGTCTCTCTCCCTGGCCCCACTTCCACAACTTGCACTTTGTTTACATGCTTCAAATTCTTTGCAGGTCAGTTTCCTGCTTCTCAATGCAGTACAACAGCTTTAAAGCAAAGCAAGAGGAAACATAGCAAAGTTGTGGGTGCATTTCTGGTTAGTGTCATGCGATTTAAAGCTTTGTGATAATTGGGTAAGGACCAGGCCATTTCCATAGCCCTGAAATTACATCGATGTGACTCTCATATAAAATAACCAATTATCATTCTCTGTCATCTGGGTTGGAGCAAGGGGGAAGGGGACTCTTCCAAATTCATAGGTGCCAATGCCAAATTTCCATGCCTTGGCATCCTCAACAAAGGGTTTAAGATTTCATCCTCCCTGCCTCCCCCACCCCAACCTTTATTTTAAGGGCTTTTTATTTTTAAGTGTGCAGAGTCCACTCAATAAGACATTTTCAGCCTGTGAGTTCAGTTAGGAATGGCCAGCAGAATTCAATTGCATCTGGCAGAAAAATAACCCATCTTTTAAAACTCTCCAGCTGTGGAAGCAAAATGAATTATGCAGACATTGAGCAGAACGCAACCTCTTGGCACATGCTCATTCTGTGCCTGAATTCTAGTGTTTGTGTGTAGCCCAAACTGCTTCTCCTCAGTGTGTGCACATTTCCTATTGCTATTTGTAGCGCAGCAGAAAGAAGTGAGCAGCTCCTGCACTCCCTTCCAAAGGGTTTGAATCAACCTTTGGTCTCACCATGCCTGTTGTCAAATCTTCTCACAGCCCCAGTGCCTTTTACGAGCATGGAGGCATGCCACGGGTAGGGGTGGGGTGCGGATCCGCAAGGCACCTCTCACCATTCAGCAAAGGGTTGTTCTTGCTGAGGGCTGTTGAGATATATTTAAAACATTCTCTCCCCCACTCTTGAGGCTTCAAATGCCAGCACAGTTGAAGTCTGGCTAGCATTCCTTCTGGAGCTGAATTCTGTCTGGTTGGCGTGCCAGGACTTGCTGTTAGAAAGCACAACTGCGCCTGTTGAGCATTCGGCCTGACTTGTGATTTGATTTCAGATGTGTGAGACCCCGATTTCCTTTCCCTTTTTATGCTTGGCTACTGTGAGGCTTTTAACCATCAGACTTGATTCCTCGGCTCAGGATGTCCACAGGCCCAAGGCAGCCGTCTTCCCAGATCTTTCAGTGTGAAGCTTCTAATGTGTGACCTGCTCCCTGTTTCACGAGCCTCAGCTGCAATGTTGGAGCAAAGCCTCTGCAATACCTCAGTTCCCTTCGCAGGGGTATAAACTTGTTGATAGCTCAGCACTAAGGTCTCGCAAGTCTCACCAGAGCGACAAGAGGTATTTTGCCTTTGGCAGGTATGGAAATGCTCTGTCTGTTGGGGGGCTGGACAGCCTGACCCACGGAGAGCTGGTGTGTGTCTTGCCTGGCATGGAATGCATCCGTCCAAAGTGAGGGATAAACACGTGGGGCAAATAATCCAGCTTCCTAAATACACTGGTGGGAAGCAGAGCACTGACTGGCCCAGGAGGAACTCTGAGGGTTGTGGTGGACAGTTTGATGAAAACGCTGACCCTGCTGTGAAAAGACAAGATAATGTTGTGAGCATAATTAGGAAAGGAAGTTCAAACAGAGCTGCCAATATCATCCTGCTCTATACAACTCTGTGGGGTGACCATTCTTGGTGCAGCATAGTCACTTCACCACAAAACGTGTATTGCAGAGTTGGAAAGAAGGCAGAAAGGGGCAGCTCAGGTAATCGGGGGCAGGAGTAACTCCTCTAGGAGGAAAGAGTATGACTTCTGGGATTGTTTAGCTTGAAAAAGGGTGACGAAGAGGAGACAGGCTGGAGGGGCACAGAACAATGCCTGGTGTGGAAAAATGCAGAAGCAGAGATTGCTCTTCCTCTCCTGACAGGAGCATCCTGTGAAACTGACTGGTGGGAGACTCAGGATGGTCCAAAGGAGGGCTTTTCACACAATGCAGGGATAAAACTATGGAATTCATTTCTGCTCAATGGCAACCAATTTGGGCAGCTCTAGAGGGCAGTTGGACAAGTTGGACATCCTCCTCCTCTCCTCCTCCTCCTCCTCCCCTCTCCAAGAATGAGGCTGTCAGCAGCTACAAGGTGGCACCCTCAGGTTCAGAGGCAGTGTGTCTGGGTACATCATTTGCTGGGGAACATGGGTGAGAGGTGCTTTTGCCCTTCTGTCCTGCTCATGGGCTTCCTCCAGGAAGCTGGCTGGCCACTGTGGGAACAGGATGCTGGACCAGATCAGAGCCCTGTTCTGATTCAGCACATCTTTTCTGTTCTTCCTATGAGTCCATACCTTTGTGCATGCGCTTTGCCTTGTGCCACTTCTTCTTGACAGGCCATAATCAGCCAGAAAGGTATCCATTCCCTGAAGCTGCCACCTCATGTGGATCAGGGGATGCTGCCTTCCAAACAGTAAACAAATCTGGGGATCTCCAGACATATCTAGCACCTGCCTCTGCTCAACTGTGATGTGCTAAGGCGAGGAGGGAAAAGGCATTTCATGCGTGCAAATAAGCACTGCTCATTTTCTGGATGCAGCCAACACCAATGCAGAGTTTAAGCATAGAGTAAGAAGGGTGGAAAAGGCAGGCAGGGCTATCAGTCATAATTAAGATCTAGATTAGCAGCAGGGCTTTCTATGGGGTTAGGGTTAGTCAAGTCTGGGGTTAGCCAACCCTGAGGTTAGAAACATAGAAACAGAGCAAGTCAGAAGGGATCTGCTGGGCCATCTAGTCTGACCCCTGACTCCAGCCGGCTCTGCTCATGACATGCATGCTATTTGCATGTCCAGCCTATCCTTGAACACCCTCACCGATGGGGCCTCAACCACCTCCTGTGAAAGCCCAGGGTTACCTAACCCTAACCCATCCTCTGAACTAAAAGGGATGCAGCCCAGCAGTATTTGTGCAACTGGTTGACCCTGTGGCTGAGGAAGATGGGGGTTGTAGTTCACATCTGGAGAAGCCCCATATTGGGCCAGGTGGGGAGTACTTCCTTGCCCTGTTGCTTCTGCAGGAAGGTCCATTTTTGCCATCCCTGCCCATCTGGTCTGGATGCACACGGGGCAGAGAATTGGGCCTGAAGAAGAAGGTGCACCTGACCTTTCAAGCTGCTTCTGGACCCCTGCCCAGCTTGAGAGGCAAGAGACTGTTTGAAAAACAAGAGGTGTGTCAGTGGTTGCAGCCTGTCCCACACTTCACATATTTTAAGGTGTCGCTAAATTGCGTGTGAGATTTGAGCAAACCCTAATGAATCAGACCCTTCTAGCTTGAGAGAAAGAGTCAGGCAGCTTCTGCACTTAACGTTAAGCCTGCTTTTCCCAAGGTGCTGGCCAGGGGATGCTGGGAGTTGTGGGCCAACCTGCCCCGAGGGCTGCAGGTGGGAGGAGGCTGAAGCAACCTATTCTCAATCAAGTTGTGCAGTTCTGAGGCTAACAAGGATACATGCTGATGTATGTTATGGGTCTGGCGTAGTTCTGG